TAAATAAAATTAAGAAACAGAACGTCTAGTAAACCGCGGAATTAATAATATTCGTAATAAATTTACAAAATCTCGAAAAAGCCTTCAAACCTAAGGTTGGTATAATAAATAAAGAATTACGAAAGATAATCCCTATAAAAATATATAATTACTTATTCGTTTAAAAGTAAAAAAAGGTTAATAAAATTAATCCTAACCGCCTAAGCATCGACTACAAAATCGAATTTAAGAGAAATAAAAATAATAAGGAGCTACCTCTCCCCTATAATTATTTTTATAATATATTACGAAAAGAACTTTTAATATTAAATAAAACCCTTAAAAATCTTTTTAATAAAGGTTTTATTCGTATTAATAATTTAATTACCGCTACGCTAATTCTCTTTATTAGGAAGCCGGAAAGAGGTCTTCGGTTCTATTACAATTATAAAACTCTTAATATTATTATTAAACTAGATTAGTACCTATTACACTTAATTAAAAAAAATTTTAAAGTTATTATTAAAGCGAAATAGCTTACCAAAATAAATATTATATAAACGTTCTATACAATCAATATAGCCGAAGGAAAGGAAAAGAAAACGGTATTTCGAATTCAATATAAATTATTTAAATAATTAGTTATACTTTTTAGACTATTAAAAGCACTGGCGACGTTTTAATAATATATTAATAATATTTTAAGAAATTACTTCAATAATTTTAATTTAATATATATAGATAATATACTAATTGTTTTATTAAATTCTAAGGTAAACTATTTAATTAAGGTACGTAAAGTAATTAAACGTATAACTATGGCTAAATTCCATTTAAACCCTAAAAAATTTAAATTTGTAGTAACGAATATTGAATATTTAAATTTTATTATTATTATAAGAATTAATATTTAAACGGACCTAGAGAAGATTAAAGTAATTATTGAATAGAAAATACTTACGTTTTAAAAAAGGGTACGAAGCTTCTTTAAATTTATTAATTATTATCAGATATTCGTTAAGAATTTCTTTTCAATTATAGAACTATTAATAGCCTTTATAAATAAAGGAGTCCCCTTTAAATAAACCGAATAATAGGACGTAATTTTTAAAAAATTAAAAGAATTATTTATTAAAGCCCCGATTCTTATCCAATAGAATTCTAATTTATTTATTTTTTAGAAGTAGATTATAACGGGTATAATTTTAATAATATCCTTATCTAAAAGAAGGATAGGTAAAAGATAGCGGTTATTGATTATTCCTAAAAGTTTACCCTTGCCGAGCGCAATTACCCTATTTACAATAAGGAAATACTCGTAATTATTAAGTATATAAAGGAATAATCTATAGAATTCAAGAGTTATAAAAAATTCGTTATGGTTACTAATTATTACAATTTTAAATAATTTATAAAGAGGTAAAACTTTTCTAAATAGTAAGCGCGATAGGCTAAATGTCTCTTATAATTTAATTTCGAAATCTTCTACCGCCCGGGGAAATTTATTATAATTTTTAATATTCTATTCTATTGGGACTAAGACTGCTCCAACGAAGAGGATGTAAAAACTAAGGAAATATAGTTAATTCCCTAATCCGCTTTCAAAAATTATATTCGCATAATTACTTCTTCTATTATAGCGGGAGAAGGTATGAAAATATTTAAAAATTTAAATTTATAATAATTCTTCGAAAAAGTCTTTTAAGAAAACGAAATCTATTAAGTAGTCAGTTAAATTATTATTAATAAAAATAAGACCCTCTTAATTTCCGCACAAGGCCTAAAAATTCAATTTAATGAATATACTATCGATAAACTTAGTAAATTATACTATAAAGGCCGTATGTAAATTCTAAAAGCCTCCGTTATTATTAAAATTATAACTTTATATATATCCCTAAAAAACGCTAAAAAGAACGTTTTCCGTACCTGTATTATTTAAGAAGTATATAATTCGAAAGTTTTTAGGTACCCTAGAAAAGAAGGTACTATTTACGCTATAAATAAAGATTTCTATTAATTGTTAATAAGTATTTATATCCGTCGATTCTTAGTTGATTATAATATTTCTAGTAAAGTAAAGTATTAGAAAAATTAAAAAAAAAAAGCTATTAAAACCCTTTCCCATCTTAAATTAATTCTTTAAAGATATTTAAATAAATTTTATTATTAATTTCCTTCCTATAAGAGGTTGCGTTAACCTCTTCGTTATTGAAAATAAATTTAATAAATTAATAATTTTAGAACTAATACCTACTATCGAGGTAAAAGTAATAGTGGAAGCTTTCTTTAAATATTTTGTATAATATTATAAGTAGTTACAATCTATCGTTAGTAATAGGGGTATTGATGAAACTAATTAATTTTAGAAGTATTTCTATAATTTACTAAATATTAATTAATTTTTTAGTATTACTTTTTACTCTTAAACTGATGGTAGTCCTAAAAGAATAAATTAAGAAGTATAAGCCTTTTTAAAAAGAATTTGTTAATTACGCCTAAAATAATTAGGATTGTTAGTACCTAATAATATAATTAGTAATTAATAGCCGAATTAATATTTCTATTAATATATTTCTATTTTTATTACTTATAATTATTATCCGCAATCCCTAATAGCCGTAGTAATTCCCCTAGCAAAAGCAAATCTTAAGAACCTATAAGTAAAAACCGAGGATTTTATTATAATACTATAATAAATTATAGATTTATATTAAATAATTATAGTAATTTCTACATAAAAGTAAAAGTATTTTACTAATTATAAAAGGTAATTAATTGAAGTTTTTAAAATAGGGAATAAAATTTAGTTAAGTTTTAAGAATTTTATTATAATGTACCCTAAAAAGAAATTCGATTAAATTTATATAAAATATATAGTATTTAAAATTCTTAGCCCTTTCGTAATAGAATTCTCCGACTTTTTATTAAAGGTCTTTAATAAATTCTATATAAATCTATTTAAGAAGGTTCGTAAGGACCCTTTATTAAATTAAATCACTACCGACTGTCAATTGCTAACTATTATAATAAATAAGGAGAAAGAATACTATATAAATAAAAACCTTTACTATACGATTAAAAAAAGTTGCAACATAATTTTAATTAATTAAATTAATGAAATATAATAATTTTAGGAGCTACTAAAATAATTTATTAATATAATGGCCTTAAACCGTTTTAAAGCGAAATATAGCCTAGCCGATATTAATAATAGGTTAATCGAATATTTTAGTACGGAATATACGAAGTAATAAAGATAGCAATAAAGGAAAAAAAAGGGAAGGTAATAAATATTAATTCTAAATTTCTCTAATTCTTTTTTAATATTTTATATTTTTAATTATTCCTAATCTCTATAATTTCCAAGCGCTTCTTAAATAATTCGAAACGGGCTACCAACTCTATTATAGTAAACTCCCTAAAAGGGAGGGCGGGGGTCGGGGGAGCGGTTAGAATAGTAAGAGCGGCGGAGGTTAGAAGAACGGTAACGACGTTACCGGAGGCCGAAAGAAAGTGGCTATATTCCTATTTAAAAGTTTTAATTAACTGAAATTTATTTTATTAAAATAAACAAAATAAAAGAAATTTATAAGGAAATAGCGCTATCTTTATGTAGTTTGGCATATAATATTAAATTATTATAATTCTACGGACGTATCTAAAAATTTTCGTTTTTTTTTATTAAAGGTCGCCGCTTCTTAGATCGCGACGAACCTTTAAATTAGAAATAAGGCCCAATCGCACTACTTACTATTATTATGGTAAACTATATACGATTAATTTCTAAATTTAATATAATACTCGTATAGGATATTTAAATATAAAATATGTAGGACCGTAGAGAATTCACAATCCGCCTAAAGAATAAATAAAATTAGTAATGATTTCTTAAACTAAGAATAATAAAGAAGATTTATTAATAGATATTTAAATTTAATAAATTTAAGTTTCTTAGGAGTAGCGATAAAGTTTTTAATATACTTACGATGGGCGGCGGTTTCTTAGGAAGAGGATTAGGAATTGTACGAAAACGGCGAAAATAGGCCTTCGTTCTCAAATAATTAAAATAGGGACGGGGATAGGGATAGTTCGGACGAAATTAAACGAAGTATTTATTTTAATTAAGAAGGGTAGGCGAATAATTAGATAGGAGATAGTAATACTTACTTTAATAATTTAAACGACAGCTAGAGAAAAAAGAGGAAAAGAGAGAGAAAGGGAAAAGAAGTTGGAGGAGGAGTTTTTATATATAATTCTAGAAGTGCGTATATACGTACGCCGCTACCTACTACCTACGTCGGTCAAAATAGAAAGAACGAACGCATAGAGGGGCAAGAGGAGGGAGGAGGGGGGTAATATTATAGGGCTAAAGCCTGGGCTATAGCGCTCTAGTTATCGATTAGAGTTGTTATGAGGCGCTGTGGTTATGCCTATGTAGCCCCTATCAAAACCTCGCATCTCCGGTAGAGCCGCCTCTCAGACAGAACTCTCTTTCTTCATAAAACCTCAATTAAACTATACGACCAGCACCTATGTTAACCGTACTGTTCCTGTTACAAAAATACTCTAGTACGTACTAAATACTAGAGTACTAATTAGTATTAGTACGGGTCTATTACTAATACTAGAGGTCTAGTATTAGTACGGGTCAAATACTAGACTAGACTAATATTAATCCCAATTCTGACCTTATCCCAATACATTCTTTCCTCCTCTTCTGAATCCTCTACCTCGGGTCTAACTAGTGGTATTGGTGTGGGAGCTACTCGATAGAAGTCGGAAGATTACTAAGGTCAATTACGGTGCCGCTAATAATCTTTCTACTAATGCTAGTAGCTCCCATACTAATACTACTGGCCAGACCCGAGGTAGAGGATTCGGAAGAAGAGGAAAGAACATATCAGGGCAAGGTCGGAGGAATAATTACTAACGCCGATGTTACTGGTGCGCAGGTGATCATTTCCAGTACTCTTGTCAAAAGATGATCGACGACCCCCCCTCCCCCCCACAAGCTCAAAGAGACACACAGTCTCTACTCTCTACCTCTCCCTACAACCCCCAATCATTCTGTCCAAGCATCATACTCCTCCATCAACTTATTAAACCTAACCCCGTTCGGAAACTTCTCACTGCCCAAATGCGTCGTATGCGCCCACGGCTTCTCCTCAAGCTCGGCTCTCAGCGCCTTACTAAAACACCTGGACCATCCACACCTCTTCCACGTCCTCGCGACCTCCTCCCTCGTTTGCGGGTGCACCAAATACGGCATTTCGCTCATGTTATCATAGACAGTCGCCAGCTGGATCAGCTGCCCCAGAAAGGTGATGGTGCCCACGGTTCCCTGGTCCTGGTGGCGGATGATGGCCTCGGCGACGGCTTCGGCTTGGGATTGCGCACCGCCGAGTTTGTGCTGGATTAGGTTAAGGGCGATGAAGCCGCCTTGGAACTCGAAGGAGAGTTGGGTGCTGGCGCGGGCGGCGGGGGTGGTGCCGATGTCGTGGAGGAGGCAGGTGAGGGCGAGGGTGGAGGGGGAGAGGGAGGAGGCGTAGGTGGGGAATTGTTGGCGGGCGATTATGGTTGCTTTTTGGGGTGTTAGCATCTCGGTTTTATGTTGGACGATGGGAGAGAATATGGCTTACCCCAGTGGAAGACGCGCATGGAGTGGTTGTAGGTCTCAATGGGAAGCTTCTCCTTGGCGTATTCTTGGACTTTGGCTACAATGGGGTCATCGGATGGCCAGGCGATATCAGAGAGAGAGACGGGAGTTGGCTCGTTGAGGTACGGCTTCCCTTCGAAGATGGCATCGGCATCGACAGGCACGGCAGTCCAGCCGTGGAGGGCGACGGTATCGGTGTTGGGGCACATGGTGATGTTTTGTTCTTGGTAGATGATCTGGGACACAAGCGATCAAGTTTTGAGAATCTTTTGTCTCTTCTTTCGTTCTGGATGTTGGTATTTATTTCTATCAGGCTTGGCGAGGCGAACAATGAGCATCTCTCCACAAATAACGTCGATCACGAAGAACTGGGGAAGATGACTCATCCTTTACCCACTGTCTTGGGGTTCTCCACGTCGACCCGCCTCTCCCGGTGAAGCAATTCCCGTGGACGGTTCAACGCTGGTGTGGGTTCGGGTAGTGACGGCGACTCGGCGAGAGTGGAATAATGCTCGGTGGGTTTTACGTCTCCATCAACACACGCCCTTGTGTTAACATGCATGCGATGTTTTGGACTCTTGAATCACAACATATTCTCATCCATCCGAAACGTTGTACCGCTTGTAATGACCGCATCGTCATCAATGTCGATGGAGAGATTTGTCATCAAGACGTCAGCCGGAAACCTGCGCCGCGATGTTATCACCAGAACGGTGGATTTGTTACGGGAAGACCTCTATAACGAGCATAAGATGGCTTTGGGAATAGGTATCCCAGTATCTAAGTGCCATTTACAGCTGTTATGGGGAACCCAATAGTGGGTTCCGCGGGCTGCGTCCGAGTGCGGACCGTGTGGGGATCACTAACTGCCCTGTTTGAGGGCGGATGACTTGATGAGGTTTTTCACTTGCATCTTCCACAGACTATCTGCTATTGCCGCGGTGGATCAATTCAAGACGATTTGAAGTATCAGCGATGGGAGTTTGTTTTGTGAGTTGTTGATTTGCTCCACATTCATCCTTCCCGTCGTTCAGCCCTCGCTAGCTGACAACCCAAGTCGAGCTGGTACCCTGTATTTCCATTTCACCAGAACGAAGCCTAGGACGCAACTGGAACGGTAATTGAATGTAACATTGTAACTTACGAACTTCCACATCTCGTCACATCCACAGCAGCGTACACAGCATGCCTTTTTCACTTGAAGGACATAAGGGAAGATACCCATTCAGCTGATCCGCAACTGGACTTGTAACCCGGGATTTCTGCCTCTAATGTAGTAGGTAGTAGGTAGGTATGTAGTTGATGTCCATCTTGTCCAAAAAAAAACCCCCGAAGCTCGCTTTTCTTGTTGACGTCGAAACAAAATCCTCCACTTCCAGGTATCGGCTCTTTCCAAGCTGGAATTTCCAGTCACCACTGTGGCTTCACATCCTCTCAGCTTCCACCTTTCGTCTTCCACTTCCAGCCCAACCCTCCGTCTTATCTCATGACGCTACCCCTTCTCCCTCCCCAAGAAGACTTCTCAAGCAGCTGCTCACTCGCCCCTCTTCACTTCACCTCTTGCCACCAACACCGCATCACCTCCCACGCCCAGACAGCCCTTGCATTATTGCTCACAGAAGCACGCCTTGCAAGTCTTCATAAAGTTATTATGGAACCCCTGCGCGTCGCAGTACGCATTGGCATTGCTGGCCATGCAAAGCGCGTCGAGCCGTGAGTCGGGGCACCTGGGCTTGCCGTAGTTGACCTGGACGGCGTTGACGTTGGGTGTCGCGGGGCCCTCGGTGGCCTGTTGGGCAGTAGGCAAGGCGATAGCGCCGGCGGTGAAGAAGCTGAGGAGGGTGATGAGGGTGATGGAGGTCTTTTGCAAAGGGGGGAAGAGTTAGTTTGTTGATTTGTCTGATGAGTGCGAAGGGGGATGAGGATGAAGGTTGTAAATGGGGGAAGTGAGGATTGGGAGAGTGAGGGAAGCGGTAAGGGGCAGAAAATAAGGTTGTACAAGACGAGAATTACTTGCCTTCATTTTGACGACGGTGCGTTTAGAAAGGGATAAATGCTGGTAAGGAAGTTGATTTGGCTACAATTGTTGTTAGGTCTAAGTCTCGTCGATCAAAAACACGGGTTGTACTGGGTATCCAAAATTCTAGATGGTACGGACTGAGGGGTTGGGGTAGTGTAGATGAACGAGAGAGGCTGGCTGCGTTGCATGTGTCGTGTGTCGTGTGTCGTGTGTCGTGTGTCGTGTGTCGTGTGTTGTGTGTCGTGTGTCGTGTTGTTGCACATGTTGTGCAATGGGAATAAAGTATTGGCTGGGGATGATCCGTAACGCAGGGAGGGCAGCTCGGCAGGAGGCTCACCTAAAATAGCGGGCACGGATCAAGGTATGGTGATCGACGCTGTCAGGTCCGGGTGTGATGATCTGCTCCCCAGAACCACTTTTCGTATTTTGATGGTATTGGGAGGAGGGTTTTATACCCAAGAGGATGGGAAGTCGTTGTCGCTTTTTAGGATACACCCTTGTTAAGAAAAAAAGAAAAGCCAAAACTTCGGACTAAAAGACCAGGTGATGCGAGGCAACCTTGTTCATGATGCTTGCTTGGGATCGAAAGCTAAGCCGTTGAGGTTTAGAACGTTGAGATGGTCCCAAATACTTGCGCAGAAAATGGAAAAAGATGAAACCAACCGCCAACGCTAGGTCTGAGCTGCCTCTTTTGACACCTGTGTTGAGCCGAAGAAGCAAACAGCTTGTTGGGTCCGATGACTGACGCCAGAAAGCCAAATGAAGCGGGAAAAGGTGACTGCTTGGGCGGAAAGTAGGCAAATGATATTATATGGACAAAAGAAGGTGACGGATAGTGAGAGGCCTGGATGACACTTTGACTTTATTCCACCTCAAACCGGGCAGCCGTGTGTATGCTGGTACCGTACCAAGATTCGGTTCCGATGGACGAGCCTTGAGACAGCATTTATACATCAGGAACTTGTTTCGATCCACTGAAGAGTGGCAACTACTGTTCCCGGAAATCTTGAGACCTGCCGCTGTAATGGAATGCGACCCCAAGGCATGGATCGGGGCGGCGGGGAACGGTTGACCGAGGGAGGGTAACCCGGAATATGGGAACCCAGCAGGAGTAGTGACATTCGCCGAACCAGGGACTAAAGTAGCTGGATGAGCACAGATTTCCGGACGGAAAAAGAGCCTCAATAGAGTGAAGACGTGGGAACCGAGAATGCCATCTCGTATTTCTGGTCGCAACTTCGAGGTCCTGCTGTTGATTCCCCGGCTTGGACCCAACAGACTGAAATCAGATGTGTTGGTTCTATGTCAAGCAGACCGGGATGTAAGATGGTTGAAATGTCGGCTTGAATTGCTCGAAAACAATGAGTATGTACCTGACCAAGGGATGTGTTAGTTGTGCTATATATACATCTGCCAAGTCGATGAGAGACATGTTGAAGCAAGGGATCAGTACCCTCGAGGTCTTGGAAAAATGAATCTGGACATGTAACGCAACAGCAATCCGCCAATCTCGGACGAGGAACATGCCAGGACGACTAGAAATGGAAATGATAATCAACGGTCTCACCTTCCGCTCGCCTCTTTCTATCGGGTTCCCCTGATTCCATGTACCCCGCCGTCGGTACCTGAAAATCGGCGGTATGAACATGCCCTGTCCTTCTTAGGAGGCAGATATAGGGCCAGGGTTCCAGCCGTTCGGATTTAGTCAGTCAGACCGGCGAATGTCAAGTCGAGTGGCACTCAACACCCTTCATGCAGTTGCTGACACCACTGAGTATTCTGCATGTGCTTGAAATCGTGGGTTAGATAAAGAGCAAGAGGTGAAGGAAGTCCACAATTGTGCAGAACCCCATCGTCAATTGGAAAACAGATGGGACCTTATGACGAACCCCGGACGCAGCGCCCTATGCGGCCAGATGGGCATGCGTTGCCGAGAGACAAATGCCACGTTTGATCGGGAAATGGTCCGTCGAATGATATGCCGTCCCGAATAATGCACAATGTATTCGCTATAGGACTGGTAGCCGGGGCCGGTGCCGTGTTGATGGTCCAATGGATGCCGCCTGTAGAATAAAGTGGTTTTGTTAATTATCCATATTCACCCGCGTTGGCCTCCGGAAAAAGCCAAATTACATACCCACCTGCTGCAGATACTTTATTAGCACACGGTAAGAATCTTTGAAGGAGGGATGAAAATGTCAAGATGCATAATTCTATATTGTGGCTGTGTAAATGCATAAGTCATCGTCATCATCGGTATCGTAGCGTTGCGTGAACGTACCAAGCCGTAAACGCCTCTTCTAATCCCATATCCAACTAACAGCTCGTACCCACCCTTTTGTCTTGCCTTCTTCGGGTTCCTCGAAAATGGCGTCTTCGGCTTGCTTAAAGGCAATATCGAGGGGTATATCGTCGAGTGACACGACCTTGGTCTTTTTGTACAACTTCCAAGCCAGATAGGCGATGAGGACGATCGGAATATCCCTGATCACTCGTTAGCTTCGTTGCGGCTACAACTTGGACGAAGTGGAGCGGACTTACAAGTAAGAAGAGACAAACGTGGCGGCATCCCAGTTACCCTTGGTAAAGACGCTGAAACCTCCTGTCAGGAGAATGATGATGCACATGAAAAGGGCTACGGGTGAGCTGTAGACTATACACCGGGAAAGTGGTTAGCATCAGATCTGGAATGCAGCTTGAAGACAACAACTTACCAGTCCACCAGCTGGACCATGGCAGCCTCGTATATGCGATGCCTTGCCTGTCCATCGCCTTTCTCAAGCGAATGTGATTCACCAAGATGGATGACCAAGACACCAACACTCCCGCCGATGTCAAGCGTACCAACCACCAGAACACGTTGATAGCGCGCTCCGACAGGCTCATAAAGCTGAGAGACATGAAGACTCCAAACAGAAGTACGCACATGTAGGGTGTCCCCCACGACGTGGTCCGCAAGAAGATCTTGGGTGCCTGTCCCTTGAGCGCCAGCCCATACAACACCCTCGTGCCCGCCAACAAGCTCTGGTTAGACGCCGACCACGCCGAAGTGATCACAATGGCGTTCACCACCGACGGAATCGCCTTGATGCCCGCCGCCGAAGCCGCGATCACGAACGGGCTTTGAGCAACACTATCCCCGCTGCCATCCAGCCTCGGATCATCGCTCGCCACCAACATCCCCACCACCAGCACCGCCAGCATATAAAACAACACCACCCTCGCAAACACGCGCTTGCAAGCCCTGGGTATCGCCTTCCGCGGATTCCTCGTCTCCGCCGCCGCCATCGCCAGACTCTCCACGCCCGCAAACGAGAACACCGCGCCGGTCATGACGCTCCAAAACCCCAAAAACCTCCCCCAATCCCCCGTGGCAATATACTCCACAAACGGCCCCGGACTCTTCCAATACCTAAACCCGATCCTCTCCGTGCCCGGGATCCCGCCCAAATCAATCACCAGTCCCAGCACAATCAAAAACACCACCAACACCACTTTTAGTAAAGCAAAAACAAACTCCACCTCCCCAAACACCCTCACCAGCGCCATCCCCATCCCGACCGTAACCACCACAAAGAAAACGATAAACACCGCCGGACTTATGCGGCCTTCAGTCCAATACTCAAACAAGACACAAATCGCCGTGATCTCACTCGGTATAGACAAAACATTTCCATACACCAGATTCCAGCCAATCGCGAATCCCCACGCCGGATCGACCAGAAACTCTGCATGCCTTACAAAACTGCCCGTGACGGGTAAGAGGGAAGCCACCTCCCCCAAAGCGAACTGCACCGCGCACACGATCAGGCCGATGATAAAGTACCCCAATAAGGCGCCGAGGGGGCCGCCACGCGCGACGGCCCCGCCTAGCCCTAGAAACAAACCGGTGCCGATGGAGCCGGCGATGCCGAGCATGGAGAGGTGGCGCTGGGCGAGGCCGCGGGTGAGGGAGCGGGATTCGGTGGTGGTTAGGAGGTCGGCTGAGTCGTCGGGGCTGCCATCTTGGTCTCCTCCTTGACGTCTGGCCCGGGGAAGGTGCTGCTGGGACTCCAAGATGGGTGAGGAGGAGGAGGAGGAGGAGGAACCCATGGTGTCGTCGTTGTCGGAGGAGTCGTACAAGGGCTCGGGATCGAGGTAGGTCAGGTCTGCGGATGATCGGGGACTGTCAACGTAGCGATTGTTGTTGATGGTGTGGTAGTTCACAACACCCGTCATTGCTGCTTTGGAGTCGCCGCGTCCGCCGCTGTTGTTGTTGTTGTCGCTGAGAAGCCCACTGCGGGCATCGTCGTCCCTTTTGGAGGCACCACCTGATGGCGCCATTTTCGCGGTGATGTGATTGAATGCCTGCGACTCTAAACCAAATCAATGCCCGCCCGCCGGATTCCTTTTTCGGAAAGCCGAGTGTGCGGTGAGTGAGTGTGTTCAGCGCAACATGGGATTTTGTATGTTGTACTGACTGAGTGACTGTTACGGTTGCATTGGATGTGATGTGATTGGTGAGAATATCGAGTTTGTGAGAGGGGACTTGGATGGTGTGACTAACGCTTGCTGTCAGCAATATCTGGGTTAGGGTTAATGCTGGAGAGACAGATGGCGTGGTAGCGTTCACTGAAGGTTTCTTCGTCATTCAGGGCATGTGAAAGAGAGTGAGAAATCCGATAAAAGGTCAATGATATGGTAGTCAACTGTCCAATGTTGTTTGTGTTATATATCATATCATTCATAGGATGATACTAAAAATTACAAAAATATGCCATGATATACTTCGGTAACCCTAACAGACGTAAACAATCTGGCTGCCCTGGACGGACGACAGGAACAGACAGCCACACAAAAACACACAAAAATCGGACACACTTGCGCGCTCAAAAAGTAAATAGGGGGCTCCAAAAGATGGTATCAAAGAACAAAGACGAACAGCAAAAGAGCAGGTATGGAGTACGTGTCAGCAAAGCAGAAAACTCCCAGCACCCATGCGATCCGCGCGCCTAAATGCAAACAACAAGAAACGAATGATGTGGAAGCCCCCAGCGCATTCCTTCCTGACTTCCTTCTCGTGTCTGCCCATTGGATGGATCAATCTCGAGCACACTACCTTCCGCCAATCTTTTGATCATCCTGCCACTCTGAACAGCCCGAAACATTTTACTTTCAACCGATGTCTGGTCCGTGAATCTCCTTGAGATTCAGTATAATTCCGCCTGAGCCGCCACCTCCTGAACCCACTCATGGGTGGGAGCCAATATCAGAGAAGCATATCCAACTGATCGTAGCTCATCTGACCTCGCAACCACCGGGTATCACCACAACCTCATTCATTCTTCAACCCCTTTTCAAAGCTTTCAAAGCTCATCTTCCTCCCACACGACATTACCGCCGCCCCTATCATCAAGCACCTCCACCTTCGTCCCCAGCGCCTCCTTCCCCTGCCGAATCATCTGCAAAAGCTTCTCATTGAACGCATCAATATTCGCATCCGCATCCCTGTCGGCAGCCATCTTCTTCTTAGCAAGATGCTTTGCCTCGCCATCCAGTCTAGGGCTGGCCTTCAGTCCGTCCTCGATATAAGCACCATGGAGACTCAGTCCTCTGCTCCTACGCATGGACGACCCAGGCCTTGACGAGGAACCGTGACTGGGACCGGCAGCGCCGCTGCTTTCACCGCGGCGGTGGTTGGTGGGGGATTTTAAGACCTTGGCGGCTGAACTAGACGAAGGTCTGGGGATGGCGGGAGAAGAGAGCTGGATGGGCGCTTGAAGACTTCGCCTGGTGGTGCTGCTACCACCACCACCACCGCCGCCGCCGCCGCCGCCGCTGCCAAAACCAACGCTCTGGCGACTCGAGGGGCGCGAGGCGGAGGAGGACTGGTATGCAGGTGAGGAGAATGCAAAGGGGGTGGGGTTTGCGTAGCTAGGACTTTGGCGGCCGTTGAAAGCAGCAGGACTTTGTCGGCCGTTGGAAACGGCCGCATTGAGACCGCCAAAACTGGGACGAGCCCCTCCACTTCCTGGCCCTCCACCGGCGGAGGCTGGAAGGGGTATTCGGCTCACGGGAGCTGCCGTCGTTGTAGGTGTAGAAAACGAAGGAGTCGGCGTGTCCCTGACAGGTGGTGACCTTGGAGCGCCAAAACTAGGGAGTTCTTGGGCGCCCACACTAGGCGCCACAGTATGTTGCGATAGTCTTGATGGAGCCCGCGTCCGGGGAAGCATAGATGGACCGCCAGTAAACCTCTGTGAGGGAGCAGTAATACGTCTTGCGGCATTACTTGAGGATAATCCTGGCGTCCTTGCCCGTAAAGAAGATGGAGGTCTCAGTCCGGGCGTTGCCCGACCTGATGGCACAGCGCCAAAGCTAGGCAAGACAGGGGAAGGCGATGGGCTGCCACCATTGCCGTTCTCGTCTACCACTACCCAGTTCCTGTTGAGGTCGTCTTGTGCCTCGCTTACTTGTCTCCGTTTGACGGCCGGTCGGGTCAACGAGTCTGGATTGCTCGTCTCGTGATACTCGGGCGCATAAGGCATATAATCGGACACTGGAAGGGGTAGTGGGGATGAAAACTCCTGGGGTGCCACAAATTCCTGCACTGGAGGTGATATGGGCGTTATCACCGTCTCCTGAGGAGGCATCGACGTGTCTTGATCGGCCTCCATGGTAAAATGAATGGGATGTTCTTGTTGCTCGCTAGCCCACGGCTGGCCAACGGCAGTGGCCTGGACAGATGGGGTAACTGTTGAACCGTTAACCTCGTATCCTGTGCCGCCTCCGGCTTGGAAGCCACGAAATGCTCCGCCTTTACAAAACTCCCAAACCTTGCCCATTACTTGGCCTATGGATTGCAAGCCTAAGAACCCCCATTTCGACGAGTTCGCCGAGTGCTGCTGTTGTGTGGAAGGGTCAACCTGACCCTCCACCTGAGGCGACGGACCATCGGGGTCGTCATGGGCTCGCTTGGAGCCTGCGGCTCTCCTGTAGTCTAGATCAGAGTACATGCTCTCTTCCAGCCTACCGTTGACCGTAACGGTGCCGCCCGTTGGGGTAGCATTCAGCTGGCCGGCCAAGTTGTATCTTGTCTGACCCGCATCCGCCATCCCTGTTGTCTCTGCCTTTCCGTCGTTCATACCATCCACCTGCATGTTGTGATCGTTCAGGGTCCCTCCCCGTACACCCAATCCCAAACGTTTCCGCTTCGCATTTGCTTGTTCTGGTGTTTGTATGGGGCTTGTCCCGTTGGACATGGATATGTCGGAGAAGAGGCTACCGGTGGATTTGCCGAGATTGTGGTTCGAGTCGGCCGGTGATGCTGGCGGCCGGAAGATGCCAGCGCTTAGGGTTTGTGATGGATTATTGCCCGTGTCAAAGTAGCCACCAGGAAGGTGGTAATCTGGGCCAAAGGACATGGTGGGTTGATTATCGAAGGTCGGATGAAATGCGACGGGGTTTCATTCAAGGAGCCGCCGTGCAGGTTGGGTAGATTTTCGATGGGTCGCGATGCGTTAAGAAAGTTCTAGCGTTGGAGCTAGCCAACTCAAGAATGACGATTCGATGACCGCGACGGTGACTGCGTTGCTGAGTGGTTCGTTCGGTCCAATGGTTGTCGAGTCTGGATGCTTTGCTTGCCGCAGGAGCGTCTCTGCATGGTAAGCCGGGCGGTCAGGGTCTAGTTGTGCTTCGCCCTGACTGATTTGAAGGATTCGGTGTTCGACCGTAGAATCTCGGCCCTGCTTTTCCCTCCGTGATTCTCTCTTCAGACGATCGAGGACAGGTGCGCACGAGTTGGAGTAAGGAGGTGGCCGCGGCGGGGGCGCGTGATCGCGGGGAACGGTATCGGGAGCCTGAGCTATCGGTTGTCGAGCACTGTGAGACCGCACCCACTGCTGGTAGGAAAGACGACCGGATGGGGCAAAGTTGGACGAAAGGAATGTGCGCGCGTCAGAGCCGGTAGAAGTCCCCAAAGTCGCACAGACACGAGACAGCAAAGGGCGAGCTGAGACGAGAGACAAGAAGTTGGAGACAAGGGCGACTCCTCGGATTCGGGAGCAGGCCGTAGTCGGTGAGAGATCGGACGGCGATAACAGCCTTTCGAGGGAATATGTATGCGACGCGCAGCGCGAAAAAAAGGACGGTTGGATTTATTCTTTCCCAAGCGCCTGATGGACACCAGGCCGACAATAGTTGTTCGGAGAATTGAAGAAGTGGAGGACGGCGTTGACACTTTCTCAAACCCAGCCGGGTATCGGAGAGGGGCGGTCAACAATTATCGAGATTCGAGGGGTATCGTAGCAGGCTTGGCTGTTCTATAGTCACCTGGGGCTTGTGACTTTTGCTGCTTCTCACTGATCAAGGTTTCGTTGGACGAGAACCTTGGGCGGGCACAACAGAAACTGATAAGTCGAGGGTCGACTAGTTGAAGAGTAGATGGTTGTCAACTCAAGCGGTTTTGAGCTCACGGCAAGGTGCTGTCGATATTGATCGCATGAGAGATGAAAGGGGAATCCGAACCCGATCATGGGGTCTCCTGATCAATGACCGGGGCGATCCCGTTCTGGAGATGCAAAGCCCCTCACCCCCTGCAGTTGGCGAAAGTCAACAAAATCTGAACTCCGCGGCCTGCGCCAACCAAACAGCGCTGTCACAGGCCGTTGGCGCGGCAAGCTCAGTGGGGTTGGCGCAACGACTTTGGGGGTCACTACCCGGCAGCCTACTGGGTTGAGGGGACAAGTTGAAACACAAAACTCTAATGCCAATATTGATGGTCTATCGGGTATGCTAGTCTGGCTATTAGTTCATGCTTCTCTTGTATGATATCATGATGTTGGTGCAAATCATCCGATTTCACCTGGGTATTCCATACAAATCCACGTCGAATGCGACAGCGCCCTTTGGATGCCATAATCACAAATCCCATGCGAGCGCCCAAATCCCATAACTCCCCTCCACTCCACAAGTCTCCCAAGGCTGATGATAACAACGGGGTATGATGTCAATGTCCGTTGGCCGTCAAGTTCTACTCCTTCCGCCCATGGCCGGCATAGTATGCCTCTTGCATCTTCTCCTTCTCCTGAGTGATGACTCCTTCATCACCCCCGTCACGGCGAATATGCTCCTTTCCTGCCCAGAATTCTTCGCGCTCCTTGATAATCTCGTCTGCCCAGGCCCTCATCTCGTTAAGTCCGACCTTGGTCTTGACAAAAGTGAACTCGCCTAGATCAAGCTTGCCCTTTCCGCGCTTTTCGTACTCTACCATCTGCAGAAGTAGTTCGATCTTGTCAATGTCGTGGACAAATAGACTTTCGAGCGTCTTAGAGTCCTCGTATTCTTGCCAGATAGCACGTATTTGCTCGCCCTGCTTTCCACCATCGACATTGCCCAACAATCGCTTTGTGATGTAGTCCATGGTCGAGGCTTCGCGCCTGTTCTTCTCGGTCTTTGGGACGTTGTCGACGGGGGTGATGTCGCCGACAAGGGATTCGGCCATGTCGTGGATCAGTGCCATCTTGATGCACCTGTTGACGTCGATCTTCTCGGCAAGGGAGGCGGGGGCGAGCATGGTCATCATGGACATTCTGTACATGTGGTCGGAAATCGACTCTCCTCTGTAGGGAAGCGCTTGTTAGTATCCTTTAACCTGGACGGGTTCAGAATAAAGGCGGACGCTTACCGGTTGATGTCAAACCGCCTCCAGCCCTCGCGCTTGGTGGTCTTGAGGCGCTCGAGGAGATGGAAGTAGCCAATTGGGGAGTTGGATGCTTCAGTGTATTTCCCGGTGCCGATAGTATCAACCGCCTTGTCTACCGTCCAATCGCCCTCCACCTTGGGAACGGGGACAATTCCAAGATCTGCTTTCACGTTCAGTCCATTAGCTAGGCGAGAAGACCACGATTGCGTGAAGGAGGAGAGACGTGACGCACCTGTCTCGATGACGCCATTTGCCTTGGCGCCGTTCTCAGTTGCGCTCGGCGACATGTTTGTAGTATTTCGTGTGAAATTTGTATGTGTCTCGTTTGTGCGTTCAGGTTCGGTTCGCGATGTTGAGCATAGGGTTCGTTGACGCAAGTCTAGAACTGTGATGGTAAAATGTGAGCAAATGGTCTAGATCGGTAGCGCTTGCTTTCTAAAGTTGGTACACACCAGAGTATTTATACACTGCTGAGATTCGAACGGTGAGATTCTTGTTTGGACAATCAATGCAAACAGAAGTCAGAGCTTCAACAATGGAGAAGAGGAATGAAAGTGGACAAGACGGGACGGTTTTGGTGACAACCACACAAGGCTGACAAGCGCATGTCAAACAGAATCTCCAGCCCCCACCATTGGTGGAGGAAACCACAAGTGGATACAAATGGCCCTGGCATTCAGGCACTGTGGGATTTGATTGGTGCGCATTCGTCGGCAGCGGCCGAGCAGCAAGTGATGTCACTTTTGACTTTGCACCTTCCCGTCTCCAAGCGGGGCGTGGGGGCATATCGCCGTGTCCCTTGCAGTTTTACAGCACTGCACCGCCTATAACCGCGCTTCTGGCCCGTCCGAGTCTTTTCATCGCTTTTTGTTCCTGACGTTCCGGATCAGTATCACCCTCCATACCGTCGGGTGCAACCAAACACCATCTTGTACCACAGAGTGTTTCGATATTACTTCTCTTTCTTATTACACCTCCCAAGAGTCTCCCGGCTAGTCCTACATACTTGGGACCATGTGAACCCCAACCGACCATCAGTCCACCAGATTCAGGCACCCGAGCTTGCAACGGGCCTCCACTGAGGTGACCACCACAAGGAAATGAAACATCCCAGGAATCGATCTCTGCACGGCGGCTCAGCCCGTTGGATATTTCCAGCCGCTTCTGGAGAACCCAGACCGATCCGGCTCGACTTGCCTGTCTTTCTTCCGAGCTTCCAGCCGTTGGTGGAGGTTGCGTGTGGATATTCAGCAGCACGATCCTAGCTGTCTGAGCTGCGGACAACTTCGTTTTCCTCTTTGTAGGCACTCTGAATATCTTCATGGACCATGGAGTCGGGTAAAACTTGTCAAATGCAACCTAGAACTTCGTATTCAGCCCTACTTAAACACCAAAACAAAGAGTAACCATACTGGATCAAAAAACTTGAACAAGCCACGAACGAGCACACCCGAATCCAGGCATACATATCCTCCCCCACAATCTTCATTTGCTCCCCTTTTGTTGCCTCAATCAACCCTAACCCTCCACCCGTTTCTCTTCATCCCCTTTTCCATTTTTCCCGCATCACCAACCACCAACTCTCTCCCTCCCTTTCCACCTTTTCCCAATCCCTCCCGTCGCTCCCATCCCTTCCTTCCCTCCCCTCTCCCCTCTCCCTTTACACCACAGTAACGTTCCCCGGGTACGCCCCCACCAAATTCCCCCTAGGCCAAAACTCGCAATAAAACCACCAATCCTGATTCGGGTTCTGCACGCATCTGTTGGTACTGAACGCGCACCCAATTCGTGTACTCGCCTTCCACACCGTCTGCGTGAAGTGCCCCCCTCCTAACAAGTCGCCGTTCTGGTACGCCGTGATCTCGGTCTGGGAGGTCCAGGAACTAAACGCTCTGGTGACGGTGGTAGCGAAGTTGGGAGTACTGGTGGCGGGGACGGTCCACCACCAGTAGGCGTTTTCGCCGTAGGGTAGACCCTGGGGGGGTTGGTTGGTTAGTGGGAAGATGGATTGATGGGAGGAGGGGGGGGGAATGGGGGAGGATGGATGATAAGGTAGGAAGGGAGAGAGAGAGGGAGGGAGGGAAAAGTGAAATGAAAAGGAACACATGATAGTAAAACCTACAGTATGATTCAACTTGCAACCATTACTCTTAGTCAAAGCAGCACTCGCAAGCGTAGCATCCCAAGCGAGGGGGTTAGCCTTGTACTTGGCCCGGATGGGGTTGACAGTCGCCAGGACGTTTTTGATGAAGGTGGTGTCGGTTGGGCCGGGCGAGGCACGCTTGAACAGATGGGCTTCGGCCGCAGCGGTGTCGTGTTCGAGAGCCGCCAAGTCAGCTTCAGCTGCTGGGAGGGCGATGGCGGATGTCGTCGCGGAGAGGAAGAGAGCCGTGATGGCGAGGATGGATGAGTGAAGCATTGCTGCTGCTCTTTTGGTTTTCTGGTTGCGTTGCTTGGGATTTGGGATTTGAAGTAGTAAACTTTGTTGCAAACTAATGCTCCCCTTAAGTGGATGCGCTATGCGTTGTCCCAGTCCAAGATATGCAGGGGCCGAGTGCCCTATTTAACCTATTTTCGTTTTGAATACTTCAAATTCAGCTTCGGCTGTTGTCTCTAATATCTCCTCTTTGCATTCCTTCCCCCCCTTCTTGTCTAGTTTTGAGCTCAAGATCTCACGTCCCCACCACCTTGAAACGATCCGTGGCGCGGCTCACTGGAATGAGGCATGTCTCGCCTATGATCAGCTCCAAGACAATGAAACATACACACCACGTTGCCCGTCGGGGAAAGTACCTATTGACGACCTCGGGGATATTTCCTATTCTTCGACGTCACGCTCCGGAGGGCTCAGCCTATCATTTTTCCTCTCGTTGACTTTTTGGATAGTCATCATCATTGCTTGCTGAAAGAACCGCGGGGCTGTTCTCTTGAAGGTGGTGTGCGGGCAAAAACATAATCAGTCGAGAAACATATGTCCTTCAAGGATACGACGACGTAAGTGGTTGGTATTGAGGTGTGATGATTTCTAATGACCTAGACTGCGGTCGGTTGCTGTGATATTGGCGGCTCAGTATGGGAACTTGGCTGTCCGTATTCGATATTCTGCCAACCGCTCTAGTTTTTCTTCATGAAGATGTGCCGCTTGTGAGACGATTAGGACAGAGCGGTATCTCTGTCATCCACCTGTGCCGTCACTGCGAGCACGGAAGTTGAGATGGCCGGAAAAGGATGAGACAGGAGTTGTGGTAATGATCGACTTGCTCATACTGACATCAAAAATCTGAATGCGAGTTCGGTACGTGCAGTTCATCAGAACCAAACGGGGCAAACGAGAAACAGCTACAAACAAAGGCTTGCAGGGTACGTCTATACATTGACAATCCTACATCGGTTTTTTCCTTGAAGCATACCTCGGGAATAAGTAACTAGAGGCCTAATAACAAAGCCAGATCCGATTCCATCACAAGTACGCCACCGAGAAGAAGAATAACCCACGGAGCTGCGTATTTCCGGGCTCTTCTCGTCATTGTTCTCTGGGAGAAAGCAACGACAAGTCAGTCCTCAAGCAAATGTCTTGTGGAACTTCTCCTCAAACTCCCGTTGAAGTGCTGAGAAATTTCGGAAGATCTCCATCAATGACGGACCACCATTGTCAGCCCATCTGGGCGCCTGAGGATAACCAGAGGCTGAACTAGACCACGAATCGTCACCGTGATTGGCCGTTTTTGTATCATCCTCTGTGTCTTCATCACTGCTCTCATCATCCCATGATTCGGCCACCACTTTCTTTTTCGCCTTGTTCTTCTTCTGTTCCTTCTGCGGTGGAGCGGGAGCGCCGCAGACATCATTCCTCATACCATTCCCCTCATCCCCGCTCAAGAGAGGTCCATCATCATCTGCGATCTCGAGCTCGTCCTCCTCCTCAAACCCGAAGTCACCATCGGCATTTGGAAGCTCCAGAAAATTGGCGAAGCTCGTCACAATTGTAGAAAGGATGAGCGAGAAGTCTTTTAGGTGGTACCAGACATCGCCACCCTTAATCATATTGACATGCTTGAGTGCCTCCATATCTCCATGCTTGAAAAAGTCATAAAGGTAGGCGTTCCAAGGTACGCCATCCGTTTCCTTTGGTGCGATCGGAATGTACGGGACTGCAGACTCTTCAAGGAAAACGCCTGCGCGGACAGTCTCGCAAAGCTCGTGAATAGTGTGAAATTCGTCCGTAAAGCCAGAGAGTGCAGAGAATGGAGATCGAACAACGGTGGGCGGCCGAGGTGAGTCAGACGAGGGAAGTACAGTTGAAAGGTCCAGCATTGGTTGAGCATAGACAGAATCAACCTTGTACTCGGTAAAGGGAAGACAGTTATCCGGCGTCCCGGTCAGATGTTGATTGGCGTAAGAGCTGACATAATTCTGGAAGATGGACAAGGTCTGCTGGTTGTGGCGCTCTAGGACCTCACTTGCTTTCTGGGGAAGATCTGGGAGAATTCCAACTGACGGAGAGCGATGCACACGCTCGAGGAACTGCTTGTCTTTGTGTTGGGGGCAAGCGTGGCGACAGAACAAGTGGCTCAAGACAAGCATGATTTCGAGGATAATGTCTTCCCGGCTTCGGTTGCTATAACTGAGGTCGTGAAAATATCCGTCCTTGAGAAGGGCATGGAATGCAAAGACCGCATTCTCTGTGTAGGACAGATGTCCCACAAGGCCAGAGAAGTTAAGTGGGACACCATTCTCGGATAACAGGTGTTCGCGTCTGAGGTAGTCAATCGAAAATCTAAGATGATGTGCGATCGACATTTTCGCATCAGGTCCGCCCAAGCAGAGTCTGCTTTGGGTCAGCAGGCCCTTTACAGCGTTAGCTGCAAACTCAGAGTTCTGTGTTCCGTGTAGGAGTATGAAAAGCCGGAGGATGAGTGTGACTGATGTAGGAAACTGTCCGCGAAGATCCGGAAGCTTCGCAGACATTATTTCAAGAACCCGGTGCGGATGAAGGCCGTGAAAGACGACGTTTCCAAGGAGGTCGAAGCCACGCCGGCCAGCACGGCCAGAGGCTTGGCGGTAATTGAGTGCGGTCAGAAAAACTGAATCGCCGGTAAAGACAACAGTCTTACAAGGCATGTTGAGGCCCATGGCAAGTGTCCCAGTTGCGACGACCACAGTCAAAAAGCCTTTACGGAAAAGCACCTCGACTCTAAGCAGCACGGATCAGTCAGTGACAATGAAACACCACGGATGGGTACGTATTAGCAGTGGAAAGACTTACATCTGTCTATACTGGCGGTTCATACCTGCATGGTGTACGCCAATTCCTCGGTAAAGTGCATCCAGGATCCAGGGACGGACGGTGTCTGCTCTAAGGGACTTCAATCGCGCGTTAAGCTCTCCCTGCGAGAGCTTGGTGTTATCAGCAAAGCTGTATTGCTGAAGGGGGCCTTCCGGGTCGAAGCTATCCCAAACGCTCAGCTCTCGATTTGCCTCGTCGCGGGTTCGGTCTCCTTTACTCATTGCGCCATCGTCGTCATCATTTCTCGAACGGGTCTTTTTGGTTTCCTTCATCTTTGCCTCCTTCATTTTGGCCGTCTCACGGTATTTCTTCCATTCTTCGAAAGCCGCCAGCTTCTTCAGCCACTGTGGATTATGTTGCTTATATGCTGCTTCCGCGGCCTCAAGAGTGTCGTTTAGTTCCCGAAGAATGGTCTCACAGCCAACCCGATCATAGTTGAAGAGGATAGCAGGCAATGCTCCATGTGACCTAAGATCAGTCACAAGTGAGAAAATGGAACGTCTGGATACAATAGGTCCACATTGACTAGGCGGTAAGTCGATGGACTCGGGTTGACCGTACGTTGATGACAGTCGAGCAAACCGTTCTCCACGCAAATGGTTTCGAAGTTCGTCGAACGGGGAATTGGGGTCAAGCATCCAGTTAGCCAAGACGTCCTTCAGGGCCGATTCCCACTTTGTAACGTCGGATTTCTTGACAAGTGACGGCAACATCTTCTCCGGATCCAGGGACTTCGGAACTTGATACTGGCCATTCTGATGCTTGGTCATGTGTCTCCAAAGCTCGATACAGTCTCGCGGTTCAAGACTGGCATCGTTAAGAGTGTCCCGGCTCCTATGATTTGGGAGTTAGCATGAGATCTTGCTGCTTGTTAAGACATGATCGCACAATATTACCTATCAATGATACCTGCGATTGGATGTAAGAATAAGAAAGGCAACGGACTCTCGCAATCAGAGTCAAGTCCTGGAAATGGGAGACGTTCAACGGGCTCGAAGCCTGCGAATTCATATGTACCCGGAGACGGATCATGGATGAACTTGCGGAGGTCTGAGTACCTGGATGAGTGTACCACCATCTCCAGATCAAATCCCTTGGCCTTCTGAGCATTAAAAAGCCAGTCTCGGAATTCGAGGGGGTTTGCCACGGTGGCCGATAGGGCAATGATGGGACATGGTGCAAGAAGCAAAAGCTGCTCCCAAACAATCCCGTCTTCGGACTGGCCAATACAGTGAACCTCGTCGAAAATGATCATCTTGATTCTCCTGGCGAAAGACGCTGGGCCTGTTGCATTGGAAGGAGCCAGCAGAAGAATCTGCAATATGTCAGGGACGGTTACAAGGATTTGGCACCCCTTCACATTATTGATGCGGTAATCCCTAGTATGAATAGCCCAGACAGACCGTGCTTCTTGATCATATCGCTTGGAAAATCTGGCTTGGATCTCGGCGGCAATTTGGTTGACGAGAGCTTTGGTCGGGGCAATATACACCAGTACATCGTCATTGTTGGCTTCGAGGATCTTCTTCATAGCGTAGAAGGAGATGAACGTCTTGCCAGCCGACGTTGGGGCAACCACGAGTAGACTCTTGTTCTCATCGATAGCGTCAAGTACCTTTCTCTGCCAGGCATCGGGCTCAAAAGGCACACGAGGATCTGGGGCAGAGTCGAAGCTTCGTTCAAGGAACGGTCCGCAAGATTCGAGCTGGAAGTCAAGCGAAGACTTTCCAGGAGGCAGTAGATCCCCGTTCACGATATCCAGGAACTCAAATGGAAGCTTTCTCTTTGGAAGGGGCGCCGGGATCTTGTATAGTGGGAGTTTGAAGGACTGTAAAACTCTGGTCACAAGGGTGTGGACTTCTTCGGTCATGGTCAATTTGGCGGTCTCCTGGATTTGGGACCAGAGCATCGCCAAAACAGAGGAGTCTATGTGGATAAGAGTTAGCGTCTGCGTGAATAATCCCGAAGTGTATAAACAGTCGCATCACTTACGAGTCATTGCGGCCGGGTTGTAACGACCTTGGGTTTGGCGAAGAACGTGGCAAAGATACAGAGAGACTTCCGCCCCAATCACAGACAAATGAACTGGACTCAAGCCCAAGAGATATTTCTCGACCCGCAAATATCGCTTAACCAGAGATGCCTCTTTCGAGAACTCGAGACACCTTTCTTTCCAGAAGGTGATGATTGCCGGCGATTTGTCCTGAAACTTGGCTGCTCTGCGTAGTTCAGCCTCTTCAAGAGCCTTTTGCTTGCCACTCTTTTTCAGGGGTTTGTTGGAGTTGGCCTGTTTCTTGCCCTTGTTCACTGCATGCCTACTAGCGGGCTTGCTTTGCTCGACCGAACTGCGAACAACAACGATTTCCGGCTCGATAATCTTCCCAGATGCACCGGTAAGACTAGCAGAGTAGGCAATGATGTCGGCCATGAAGCGTTGGTTTCGTCGTCTTGCCCTAAAGCCAGGAGCCTTGGTGGGTTGCTTGGGGTCAATTGGCCTTTGATTGTGCCAGTGTGTCAGCTCCTTGTGAACTTTATGGTCAACTGGTGAGGAGATGACAGCTTCCGTGCGTAGGTGCACTGAAGTGAGAAACTCGTCCAATACGGGATGGCTGAAAGGCAATACCGACAACGACGGTACGGACTGATCAGGTTGGCGGTCGGCGTTCTTGAGGCGAGCTTCTCCTCCATCGGTATCCGTCAAATTTGCCGGCCACTTGGCAGTGACATTGTACCCACAGAGATGCTCGAGTAGTGCACCGAGTTGGATAAACTCTTCATGAAGTGCACTGGACAAGTTTATGTTGTGTGAAGAACGTAGCAAGGCCAGGTAGAGCCGCCCGTCAAAAAGATCAAATGCATCCCATGCTGAGTTTGTGAACGGTCCTGAACCCCAGGAGTTGAGAACACGTTGGGCCGGCTCAGACAAGGAACAAATGAAAGAATTGGCGGCATTGCCCAGATCTAGTCCCGATCCTTGCGGTTCAAAGCTCCGGCCTGTAATACTACAGTGTCTCATGAAGACTAGCTGGAGGAGTAGCACTGTAACTTGTTGCCCAATCTCGGTGGCCTCGCCGGCATCGGGCGCGTACTGGCCAAGTACATGAGCCAATGAATACAAGGAAATAATTTCCCGGGCAGTCAGGTTGTGCGTCTTGATCAGTCCTCCAAGACGATCTCCAATGTTGTCCTCAACGGGGGAAGTGTCGGGAATCGGAGAAAAGGCGTCGCCATTTAGCGGTCTTTGCGCCCCTCTGGGAGAGGCAATCAGTAGGAAAGCCCTTGAGCTCTTGAACTCCAGATGCTCAACACATGCAACATGATATCCTGCCGAATTGATACGGTACAGCATGTGAAGGGGCGTCAGAAGTTGCGGGCCACCCGTCCACCACGGCGTTGTACCATCGGATCCCAAGAAGAAATGCGGATGATGTTCTTCAAGATATCGAGTGACAGAATCGCCGCCCAGGCTCGTGAATACAAAACTGAAAACAAGTTGTTTGTCATTCTGTGCGTGAGCGAAGTGCTGGATCAGAATTTTTCGAGTGAGCTGGTATTTGTAGGTTATCTCGGCTGAAGTTTCCGTGGGGATGGATAGTTGATATTCTCGGTTGAACCAGAGGATGTGGAAGTTGCATCCTCGATCACGCAGCCTCAGGAGAAGAGTCTCAACGGCGTGAACGGCATGGAGAATCTGGAAGCCATCTGTACAATTAGCACATGGTTAGCAGTGAGTACAAAATGCAGAGATGAGGGACACGGATGGGGTCAAACACACAGTCAAAGTCGACTTTCATGGTATGAAGACAATGTGCAAGCAGGGCTTCTCCATGAATGGCAAAGCGCTCTTTGCCGGCGAAATCGCCGACGATGTCAACCTTTGTCGGGGACAAAGATCGGAACCAGCTCTTCAGGCGGTCGTCGGTGGCGTCTGGACCGTCACCAGGCGACTCGCTGGAATGATCAGGACCAGCCATTCTGGCCAGATTTGGGAGTGTCGTCCTGTGCAGTAATTAGATTAGCTTGCCGACTATGGGTAAAAACAATGCTCTCGAGTGTTAAATATAAAGAGGGTAAGGGGGCATACTCTGCGCGAAAGTTGCCCGTACGACAAGATCTGGATTCTGGAATGATCAAATTCGGTGTCGGGTGTTGAAGGAAGAATGTGAGTAGTCAGCCGAGCCGGGAAAAAGTGGTGGGCTAGTGAAAAGGTGAAGTATAGTAAAGCGGTGGGCGTCAATTTCTGCCTGGATGTTGAATGACCGGGACCGCACACTGACACGGAAGGCGCGTCTCCCATCCTGATACCTACCCGCTACTTCCTCTGTACCCTTACCGACAAGCGTACATGTAAGTAACACCAAGCGGCCTCGTAAGGGGAGGTATGACAACGATAACAATACAACAACGTTGCTTCGTTGGCTGGTCCGGCATGCCTCAACCATTCCTCGCAGGAATATCCCATTCCGATAGCAGACACTTAGCAACAAACTTATGCATCCATCCAGACGCCAAACAGAAAACTCCCATCATTTTTGAAGAGGTTTGCCGGACCTGAAAATTACCATCAGCCGATTCTAGGTAATATGCGTGCTTGTGTTGGCAAAGGCAGGCCGCCGTCACATCACTCGACGGTAATGCCGGTTGCTGACTTCCATCTGGAGTCAAGAGGCCCTTTCCTGGGCCGACAACAACACCGCATAGCTCTAGTCCTACGTGGAGCTTCAAGGATCAACTTCGTACTTCAAGTGACTCTGGATAAGGAACCAAAAAAATAATATGGGGAAGTTGCATGTCATACGTGAGGGCCTCTCGCACGCCGGCTGCATGTAAGCACCCAAAGTCCGACATATTCCATTCTCGTAGCTGCCCGTTTGGCAAATAATGAGAAACAGTCGGCCTCAATTCATCCGTGAGGACTAGGTCTTGCGCGGTCGGGATGGTCTTTCAACTCCATGATTGGCAGTGGACGGGGAGACTTTCCTCGTGAACTGACGTTGAAATTGGAGGCGTCAGGTACAAGTTGGAAGTCAATACTGCTAACATAGAGTGTCACCAGCTGGCAACGGCCCGAAAGCACAGCTCTATGCTGCCAAGGATGCGGCGAATAACACCAAACACGAAGGCCATCGCGTTGCCGGTCGTTGTTCGAGGCACTCAGGCTGTGCCATAAGTTGCTTGCCTCTTGGAACTCTGATCCGACAATTCAGACTCTGTTTGTACTACTTTTATGAATATTTTCCATTGCCTCGGATGATGGCTGTCCAACCTTTGAGGTTGAAGTTGGTGTTAGTGTTAAGGGATACCAGAGAGCAACTGCGGCCGTGTCCCGCCCCACCCGCACATTGCCCTGGGCAGGCGGCCACGACAGATCGGTGCAACGCAGTCCGCCCCTGACAGCGCTGATGGTGCCGCGAAATAACGGACAGGCGCGAAGGAAGCTTGGCCGTGAACTATCGGCAGAACAAGTGGAAGCTCCCATCGCGCCGTAAGCACCAACCGACTGCAACCAACAACTTTGCACGACTCCGAACTCTGTAGACTGGATTCTGCAATGGCTCTCGGCCACCGTCCGCCGACTTCATTCTCAAATCTCTCAGTGTCCGCGCTCGAATGAAACGAACGGCACCATGCCGGTGACCTTGCCTCGATCGCGGTTCCAACGCCAGCTCGTGTCGCGGTCCACCATCCGGAAGCTGATCGCCGCCTTCATCATCTGGGCCATTGTCGAGGCTCAACTCATATACTACCGAGTCGCCCATGCCGAGAGAGACACCCAGGCCCAAGCTACGACGCTTCTCAAGCCGACCCGTGTGTACATTGCCAGCTTGCACTGGAACAATGCCGCCATCTTGCGCTCCGACTGGAACAAGGGGGTTGTGGACCTGACCAAGGCTCTGGGAGTAGACAACGTCTTTGTCAGTGTCTACGAGAGCGGTAGCTGGGATGATTCCAAGGGCGCTCTCCGGGAGCTGGACCGCGAGTTGGGCAAACTTGGAGTTCAGAGGCAGATCACGCTTGACAAGGAAACGCACCAAGACGCGATAGACGCACCGCCAGCCGAACGCGGATGGATTACCAGCCCCAGTGGTGAAAAAAGGCTGCGAAGAGTACCTTACTTGGCTGGCATGCGGAATCTTTCCCTTCAACCACTACTGGATATGGCAGAGAACGGGACCACATTCGACTACGTGTTGTTCCTGGGCGACGTGGTGTTCTCAGTGAGTCTTAGTGGCCAGTTGCGCCTGTCTCCGAACCTCCTCGCTAACGCTGGTCTTCTTGCAGGTTCCTGATATCGTGGCTCTGCTAAACACCAACGACGGACAGTACGCCGCAGCATGCTCGCTCGACTTTAGCAAGCCGCCTCGCTTCTACGACACCTTTGCCCTGCGAGATTCGGGCGGCCATGAATACGCGACCCAGACCTGGCCGTACTTCCGATCCTCCAACTCGAGGAAAGCGATGCTCCGCGGTGCTCCCGTGCCAGTGTCCAGCTGTTGGAACGGGATTGCAGCAATGCACCCGTCTGTCTTTACTGGGGTCAAAGGCCTCAAGTTTCGGGGTATCGACGACACTCTGGCCGAATACCACCTGGAGGGCTCCGAGTGCTGTCTTATCCATGCTGACAATCCGGCATCGCGCACCAGGGGTGTCTTCCTCAACCCCAACGTCCGGGTGGGATATTCCAGAAAGGCGTACGATGCGGTGCATCCGCCTGGAGGCTGGCTTTCTCTGTCGCAAGTCTTCTCTGGTTTGTGGAAGAACAGAGTCGCCAGATGGTTCACCACCCCTCTTTTCAAGGAGTTGCAAGTTCGCTGGCGCGTTCGCAAGTGGGCGGAGAAAGCGGAAGGTCGCGAGGAACCTGGACCATTTTGCCTCATCAACGAAATGCAGGTCATTGTACACAACGGATGGGCTCATTTATAGGTGGTAGGGGACTTCTTGGATAGACAAATACTAATCATTTTACGTTTCTACTGACCCATGTGGAGATCTGGTCTGTCTTTCAAGGCTCTCGGCTGTTGTTGGAGCAGCTGGCCCGGAAATAAATCGCTTTGGGATCTCGCTGTTCACCTCCGGCTCCTCCGGGTGGGCCGGCTTTTGTCTACGACATCATGATATCACCACTACACTTCGTCCTCCAATTGGACCCGGGCCAAATCCTCCACCCATCAACAGTGCCTCCAACTTGGACATGCTGACATGCATGCAACTGGGCCATGATGCAGCAGTTACCCTGTTGCTCAGCACGACGGTCTCGATGCACAGCATCTCCTTTGAGAATAAACAAGCTTTTTGGTCGACTAGTCTTATCGGCTCAAGTTCCGGCAAGGCGATCGCTCCTACCCCGCGGGTCGGGACATCTGGCGAGCTATTCTAGCAAGACCCATACCCAGATCCTGCCAATGACTGTCCACTCGAAAGCCAAACAGAATGCACCTGACAGCCAACGGCGTCACTAATAATGGTCGTGGGGGTATAGGGGAAGAGGGGAAGAGGGGCATATTTTGACCATTTCCCCTCTCGACCGAGGGCCGTGTCCCTTCTCTCTCCTCTCCGTTAGCCATCATCGACCTATCCAACAACACCAAACTCACGGCTCACTCTTCAACATGGGACCCCCGGAGCCAAACGCAATCCCATTTCGCCCAAAGGGCAAGTTGCCCGTTTTCGAGGAGGAATTGGAAGGTTGGAAGGGATACATTGAATGGGAAAAGTACCCCGAGAAGAAAAAGCAGGTGGAGGAGATTCTGAAGCAATATGACTTTCCCGACCCTCCTGAATTCCAGCTCGAACCTTTGCCCAAGACGAATCCCATCTTGACCGGAGAGCGGTTCAAACAGTACCACTATGCTACGGGCCTCCGCTATATTGTCGACACCAGCTGGCAGTATGTGCTCAAGGAAAAGGCCGAGGACATGATCCATGTTCTCCAGTTTCCCTACAATGGAGAACCCCCCGGAGTAAGTCTGATGGCGGTCATCGTCCGTGTCGATGGAAAATGTCATATCTAACCAAGAGCTTCGCCGTGTCTAGGACCGCCTTGTTTCAACCGAGATCACCCGCAACGAAGACTTCTTCGTCCGCAACCATGGCGGCGTTCCCGAAATTGATCCTGACAAGTATTTCCTCGAGATCGAGGGCCTCGTCAACAACCCCAAGCGTCTCACTCTTGCCGAGCTGCAGAACGAAGAGCTCTTCCCTCGCCAGACCAAGGTCGTCAGTCTCCAATGTTCCGGTACTCGCCGGCTTGAACAAATCCGCCAATATCCCGGCGATGGCGACGAGCTCATCAACGCTCCTTGGGGCGAAGGCGCCATCGGTACCGCCCGCTGGACCGGTGTCTCTCTCAAGAAGGTCATCAAGTATTGCGGTGGACTGAAAGACGGCGCAATGCACGTCGAGTTTTTCGGTGCTGACACTTACTTCAAGAAGGGCAAGGTGTACAACTACGTCGTATCTGTTCCCTGGCGCAAGGTTAAGGTCCACGAAGTGCTACTTGCATGGGAGATGAACGGCAAGCCGCTGCCCAAGATCCACGGCTTCCCCCTCCGCGCGGTCGTCTTCGGGTACATCGGCGCCAGAAGCTGCAAGTGGCTGTACAAGATCCGCGGTATCAAGGACCCGAGCGAGGCGCCTGTCCAGAGAAAGGAGTACCTCTACTACACTCCCCAGATCGGCAAGCAGAACGCCATGTACAGCAACGGCTTCTCGATCCAGGACATGCCTGTGTCTTCGGCGATCATCTCACCCAAGGATATGGATGTCATTACGCACGACGGAAAGATCAAGCTTAGGGGATGGGCGTTCTCAGGTGGTGGACACTGGCCGGTTCGCGTGGAGGTCAGTCCAGATGGAGGCAGTATTTGGTATGAAGTGCCTACCGAGAATATATCGACCAAGTATTTCCATGCTTGGAGACTATGGGAGATCGATCTGCCCCTTGATCCCGAGGGCTGGCTGGAGTTTTGCGTGAGGACGTGGGATAATGCGATGAATACGCAGCCGACCTTTGTCAGATCTGCATGGTGAGTGCTTTCCTTCTCCCTAATTTGTTTGAAGTTCAAAAAGATACTAACAAGAATCTAATCGCAGGAACTGGGATCTGCACGTCACTTCCTCTTGCCATCGTATCAAAGTCTACAGCGTCAACCGCTCGAAGCCTGCTACCGCAGCCCGGTTGAAGGCGTTGGAGGAGCATGGCTTGTCCATTACACCCATTACGAAGCCTTTGGAGATCGAACTCGAGACAGACGAGCAATACCATGCGTCCATGAAAGAGCAGCACGGACGGGACCCTCTTGAGTGAGGATGTCTGGGCAGCTGCTGGTATGGTGAGCGTCGAAAGTTGGAGGGCCGTTTACTATTGTGCACATTGTTTCTGTTCTCGTTCAAAGTTTTTTTTCTTTTCACCATCCAGAACTGAACGAAGTCTCCATTGATAGTTACAAATTGTGAAAGCGACGGCCCCGAGATGCCTGCTAGAAGTTATCATCACAGTCATTCATACCTGCGCCATTTAAGATCCGTGGAATACCTGTTCTCTCGACTCATGATCCCAGACACCAAGCAAAAAAAAGGAAGGCCGTTCAGAACAACCAGGGACCCCAGGTGATTGATTGACTACCATGTCGACAACAGCAAAAAGCCCAACGTGGGACTCGAACCCACAGCCTCAAGATTGCGATCTCGAAGGAGAATAGAAGTCTTGCGCGCTACCGATTGCGCCAGCCGGGCAAGTTATTGTTTGGGTCGGTTATTTTGTGAGTCTATATCAGCAGATTTTGTAAATGTGGACGAAATGTTTTGGACCACGAACGGCGTGTGCACAACAGGTGCAGAGACAATAAAAGTCCATCTGTACGATAGAGACACTCAGTCAAGAATTCAACCTGACCAGTTGTCATTGGACTTGGCTCTTGTTAAGTGTTGGACGAGATCATAACGAAATGATCAATTTTCAGTGCGGCCGTTGTCTAGTTTCTAGGGAAAAACCACATCTGACATCGTGCACCCAACATCCCGTCATGCTACCTACCGCCTTCCAGCAACCACAATTGGTCTCATCTGCCCAAGGGGGATATAAGCGTCAGAGGGGATATGACCGTGAGAGCAAAGCAAGTACAGCTTGCGTATCGGTTTAGAGAATATATGCTCGCAGGGCACCTTTGCAACAAATAATCAAAGCGCTCAACAGGAAAATCTCTGATTTCTAGCAGTGTAGTAGGTAGTGGGGGTGGTAGGTACTCTGCAACTCTTAAGGATCACGTCAACCCTGGATATCCAATCAAGCGAGCGGGTTTAGCTCAGTTGGGAGAGCGTCAGACTGAAGTCCACTTCACTCATAAATCTGAAGGTCGTGTGTTCGATCCACACAAACCGCAATCTTTTTTTTGCAAATTTCTACTCTGATGCTTTTGTTTGTTTGTACCTTTTTCCTTTCCTTGTTTGTGCTGGCTGGATTGGATAGATTTGTTTACTTTTTGTGGCCATGTATATATATGATATAGCACTTCTACAGTTCCCAAGCTCAAACGTCTTGACAGTCGCCAAGACTTCCCGAGAATTGAGCTAACCACAAGTTTTTGGCAAACGGACCTTCGAAACGAAAGACGAAAGACGAAAATCAAGAAACTCAATTATATTACCAGAAAGGGTACTATATTGATAATCATGCACGCTGATGTCGAATCCACAATCAGTTTTCTTATATATGCTCCTTTGGCGGAGATACAAGCAAATGAAGTCTTATTCGTTTGGTTTCGAAGACCCGTTTGCCCAAAAGTTGTGGTCAGCTCAATTCTCGGGAAGTCTTGGCGACTGTCAAGACGTTTGAGCTTGGGAAAGAGAACCCAAGCTTGGAAGAGTTTGCGATTAGAGGTTCGTTCATTATATTTGCATGTGATTTTCTCCTCTTTTCCGGTTGTTGTTATTGTTCATGACGTCGAATGCGTGAGACTATTGAAGCAGAAAGAGAATGCTAGAAAAGGATGAGAAGGGAAGGTGAGCTGAGGAGGTTTGTCAGCTTAGTCTGTCTGGGCTCATGATCGCTTCATGCATTCTCTCTTTTGGAGGGAGACCTCGGAGACTTCATTCAGCTGAATGGGTGTTGCGATCTTGGCTGAATGAATGTGTGCACTTTCTTCGGTTCGGACTTCTTCATCCATGGAAGAATGATGATGATCATGTTCCTGAAAAAGATAAGCTTGCGAATGCAACCTTCCCCCGCTTTGGGCCACGACGATCAACGTCACCTCAACTCCGCAACTTGCGGGCCTGTGGGAAAGAGCCCCAACCCATATAGTCCACAATCCCGGTGTGATGTCAAGTCCCGGTGTGAATGATTTCGAGAATGGGGGGCACCTAACAGGAAGGGATTCACACGCGCGTGAGGTCGTGGTGTTGAGGGCATCCTCACCGATTGTGTGATACCCCCCTCTCCATGCAGATAGTGCGAAGTGCCAGACCGTGGTTGTAGTGTAGGATTCCGAAAGGCTGGGGATCGACCGAAGAATGGAAAAGGACGAGCGATCGATGCCATCGACAGTTTAGCTTCACAGCAAGCACGCTAGGATGGGATACGGCCACCAGGATGCCTAGGGATCCAAGGATCCAAGGACCTGGGAACTCGGGGGCACTTATATATAAATGGCCCGGTGCTCTCCTGGTGCTTATTCGACATACTTACTTTGATAAGCCATTCTTACTCCGCAGATTACGGGATTCCCAGGGTCGTCAAGCTTCGATAAGATGATTCTCACCTCCAGGACTGCGGTGCTCCTCAGCACCGTCACCTTGTTCGCTCAAGTCGCTTTCGGTCTGCCCACCACATCCGGACCGGAGCGCCGTAACAATGCCCGGGCTGTCGGACAAATCTCTAACAGGAACGAGTCCAGCACACTTCGCGAAGCTCCGGAAAGCGAATCTGACCTCCAAAGCCGACTAGACGGCATCTGGGCCAGCACGACTGATTCAAACGGTGCTGATACTTTCTGGGACAAGGTCGTCCGCCAGGCACACCAGAACATCCTGCCCGGCCAGGGCATCGACATCAACTACATCGACGAGCCCGACACTATAACCGATACCCTGGTTGGCCCTCTCGATCCTCGCGACAGCTTCAGCAACCTAAACAACCCAGACGTCCCAGGGGTTCACTACCCCCGGTCCTCAGATGTGGACCCCTCCTTCACCATCCCCGAAGAGGCCCTCCGCGCCGCCATCTACCTTCCACCGGGCTTCACCGCGTCCAGCAACCGCCAAGTAGTCCTCTTCGTCCCCGGCACCGGTTCCTACGGCCACGAAGCCTTCGGCCCCAACCTGCTCAAAGTCATCACCTCAGCCGGCGCCGCCGACGCCGTGTGGCTCAACGTGCCCGCCGCCATGCTAAACGACGCGCAGTCAAACGCCGAGTTCATCGCCTACGCCATCAGCTACGTGAAGGCGCTCATCGGCGACGACCGCGAGCTGAACGTGATCGGTTGGTCCCAGGGAAACCTGGCCACGCAGTGGGTGTTCACCTACTGGCCGAGCACGGTGCCCAAAGTGCGCCAGCTGATCTCCGTCAGTCCGGATTTCCACGGCACCGTGCTGGCGAACGGGCTGTGCTTGAACGCGGGAAATCTCACGAACGATATCAAGGAGGGATTGCCTTGCCCGCCGTCGGTGCTGCAGCAGGAGTATAACTCGAACTTGATCAGCACCCTGCGGGCGGCGGGTGGCGGGGACGCGTACGTCCCTACAACGTCGTTTTGGTCGAGTCTCTTTGACGAGGTTGTGCAGCCGCAGATTGGCTTGACGGCGTCGGCGAGGATTGGGAACGCGCGCAAGAAGGGCGTGACGAATGTCGAGGTGCAAACGGTTTGCGGAGTGTCGCCCGGCGGTGGGTTCTACGGCCATTCGAGCCTGTTGTCCCATCCGCTTGTTGCGGCGCTGACGCTCGATGCGTTGCGGAATGGAGGACCGGCGAGCCTGGAGAGAATCGAGTCGGATATTCATGACATCTGTCAGAATGTTGTCGCGCCGGGGTTGGAGCTCGCGGATGGAATCAAGACGGCGGGAGACATTGTGCTTGCGGCTGTCAGGTTGATTGCCTATCCGGCCAAGTTGAAGGAGGAGCCTGTCCTGAGAGCGTACGCAGTTTGATCCATCATAGCTAGGATTGCAGAAAGAATCTGGATGAGATGGGTAGCGTAGTAATCGTAATAGTAATTGGATGTTTTGGAAACAATTTCGAGACTGATATTTGTGATCATAAATACCCCGTCGCGGCAGGCACCCCCCACAAACATGCATCTTCCCGTCAGTATGCAACACTGGTAATGTTGACACCTATCAGCCTCTGTCACATCTTCACAAAAAAAGAGGTTTGGAATCTTCATTGCAAAAAGAAAAATCGGCAAGTGGGAAAAAAGGAAAATAGAAGAAAAAACAATGGACTATACCGGATTTGAACCGGTGACCTTTCACAAGGCGCATTGCACAATGCGAAGCGAAAATCATACCCCTAGACCAATAGCCCTTGATTTGTTATTTGATCATTCTGGAGTTATAGTTATATTGTTGACAGGATTCCTGAGTCGTCTATAGCTTCTAGGTGTCGGCACAGAAAAGAAGGCAAGACAATGAGAGATCACTCATAGAATCAACGTCCCACGGATTCCGATAGAAAAGAGGATGTCCAAGAGAAATTAGCTCTCAAAGAGCCAGGTTTGCAAAATCAACCAACACATCTCCCCCCCTGTTATCGATATCTCCTTCATGTACATGTCCGTCCCGTCCGGGATCTGCCCGATATTTCGGCTTGCAAGCCCCAGTTTTTATGTCATTGCACGGCCCCACTACGGCCCGGCCCGGCTGTGTCACGGTGCTTCCATGTCTGGGCTGTGAGCAGAATACATTTGGGAACTTCATAATGTCTCATCAAGTACAAAAAAATGGTGACGATCACATCTTGAAAAGGGTCTCTAGTATTCTTCTTACAATGCTTCCTATAGCTAGCACGGCGGTAGACTGTGCACTGAGGGAGAGGATGATACAATCAAATACTAGTTTGTTTGTTAGCTTGGTACTCCTGGTATACTGGACGAGATACTATCCCGAATTGTCCTAAACCTTATAAAGGTAAAATGAATAGTTAGGTACGGATCGGAAAGGCATTAACAAGATTTAATATAGCATATCAAATTTTCAAAATAGTATATGCAAGGTAAGATCACGCTTTGGTTGTAGAACGAAACGGATCACAGAGATATGAAAACGCTTAGGGAAGTTGATCCGAGGTCTTGAGCTAACAATCAAACCAGTATTGTACTGTATCTTCCACCATAAGAATGCATTGTACGCTGAACTGAACCATAAGAATTTTTCGACAGAATCCTACCCTATATAAACAACACGGTTCCCATAAACTGTTTTATACACTGCTCAGCCAAACCAAAACGCCAAGAAATATCACCCAGAACTCTACTCTGTATCACGGCCACGAGGGGGTATTGGAGAGCTGGCTCAGACTGGAAGTCGACCGTCTTGAAGTAAGTGGTGATCGGGATTTGGCGCGCAACGACTCGTCCTCAATGGGTGCCACGATAGTTTCGCCGTCCAAACCAGCAGAGGTCGATGGCTTGGCGCGCAATGGTACATCTTCAACGTATTCCGTCAAGGAAGCGCCGCCGCCGTGGCTTGAAGTAGACTCGGATGCCGAATCATCAAGTCCCATTGCGTCTCCAAAGATAACCGGCCAAAGATCCTCCAATATGACGGCAGAACAATCCTCGATGTCTTTGATCAGGCGTTCACCAAATTCGCCCCACAAATTCCTTGCTGATGCGTCGATGCCATCGTTGGAAAAATCAATTTCCTCTTGGTCGTCAGTATCGTAAGGTGAGATAAAATCATCACCATCTCCATCATGCACCTGGCACCACCGTCGCCAAGAGTCAAGAAACCCTTCCTTGCTCGGAGTGGTGGTGGATTCGAAACAGTAGTCGAGATAGTCGCATAAGGCCGAGATGTGGTAAGGGTAGATTTTGACTCCCAGCAAATGTACAAGAACGAAGGTTCCGTAGTGACAGGTTGCTGCCTGATAATCCTCATTCCTCGACAATCGAATATTTTCCAAGACCCGCCGCTCATCCTCCGCATCGAATCGGAAATTCAGGTAGCGGAGGTTGATTGGCTTTTCGATTTTCCTCTTTTCTATAATCCACCGAATGTCGTTATCGGCACAGGTAATCCAAGGCAAACCGAGGAGAAAGGGAATAGTACAGCCGAACATCTTCTTATGCCCTTTATAGTGCATTTCTCTTTTGAAGACCTGAACCGGTTGCATGCTCTCGATTCTATGCTCGGTCCCAAACGCACGCTCGAAGAATGGGTTGTTAAAGTCGGTGATCTTGATGCCAGGTACCGAAGGTTGGTTATTGCGACTTGGATCAGGGTTGCACACCAGTCTGTTGCACACCCCGACATTATCGAACTTCAATTTGTCTAGTGCAAATACAATATCACGGCCGGTAACATCCTCGAGGTTGAGGGGCGGTGTTCGTTCAGGAGACCATGACAGTGCCGCAATAACCACCGTTCCAGGAAGCAAGGGGGTGAGTCCTTTGGTTAGGGCAGCCAGGGATTGATTGACCTCCTCTGGAAAGTACTCTCCCGTCAGGCTATAGGATGCCACAAACACGAAGTTGCTCATCGTGGTCACGGGGACATCTCTCGGGGTGGTAACTTTGTAGCAGGGGTAAAACACTTGCAGACCTCCTCTCTCCTTCCAATATTCGACAATGTCCGGATTCTGGACAACAAGCGACGATGAAACCTCACTATCTTCTTGGAGCCGACCCTAACAGCAGACTGGATTGTTTCCGTCTTTTGGGAAGTAAACAAGGCGACGATAATCGGGACCCGGGCGTTGGCTGTCGTTGAACTCGTGTGCGAATTGATTGCAAAGAGGTGACTGTGGCGAATGTATATTCTCGAACTCCCTAACGTGGGAGCTAGAACACCAGCCAATATCTGACTCGCGGCCGCACCACATACATGGCACGGTTGCTGGCTTGTCGCACATGACGCACACATTCGTGACTTTGGGGAGCAATGGATCCTCAGGTATTGTCTCATGTTTGATCTTGATCACGAACTCCGATTCAGTATTGATCCATGTCGAGACTGTAGTGTGGCTCCAGCTGCTGCTCGACGAAACGTCGTCGTCCGAGACGTAATCGTCAGAGAACTGTGTGGATTCGTCTTCCATTTCGTTCTCTTCAGAGCTGTGAGTTCGAATTTGTATCTTGATACGCTTTCTGACGGCACGTACACTTGAAGCGCTGGAGGGGCTATCCGGATCCACGGCCTCACTAGTCGGTTGTGGTGATGGCAGTGGTGTGCGTTTGCGTTTGCTATCGCTATTTTGGCTCTCCGCAGGAACAGATTGGGACGACGGTGTGGGAAGCATGCTTGGGACACACCCGGGTGCCGTGTGAAACCTAAGGATAGGCAGATATTGGAATATTTGGGTTATCGTCTGTAGCAAGCCTTTGCCTAGAAGAAACAAGGAATGCATTGTATATGGAATGTCTGGCATAATGGTTATCTGAGACTCAAAGGTGGAGGGGTTGAGCAGGAAAGATTCTGGTTACCAGAAGAAGTGGAAGGACGAAGTGACGATGGATGAATGCCCGGTTCCAATTGTTTGTGCCTTCCCCGATATGCAGAGCTACTCGCCTGGGCTGTAAACGCCTTGTAGACACGCCTTGGGTCGCAACGGGCGATTCTAGTCCAGACGAGTACGGCCCTTGGCCGTACCTTCCTTCTTAGAGATGCCAAAGAGCCCGAGGTTCCTTCCATCCTGGACGTGCCCCTCTACTTGTAGGCGGGTGTCTGCAATAAATGGCTGGTGGGTCCTGGAACTGGAAAAAAGATAGGGAAGGAAGGAGTCATGTGCTATATGTTTCTTCAAAACCGACCGTCTGACTAGCGGGCGGGCCACTAGTCAGGGCCAGCGACTCGTACACGACCAGCGACTCGTACCGAGCGGGGTACATCCACTTCCTAGCGTTCCCCATACAAACGCAAGTCTTCCACCCGGAGCCAATAGTTTTTTATAATAATATATCCATATTTCTTGGTCGCATGCAATATCGCTTCGACAGTCAACATATGCACGTAAAAATGAAATATCGTTATTTTGCATGGCCATTATCACACACCTATTTTGACATGCACTACCTTACAACTTCAACCTCCTCACAACAGAGGGACTGAACAAAGGGGGTTGAATGCAATCAAGACTGATTGCACGTAAATATGGGTATAATTATCGATATTATCGACTCGAGCAAGCAATTCAGCGGTTGAGTGCAAATGGCTGGTGCACATTCAGAGATGTTGGGCAGTGCGGTGAATTGGGCTGCATGCAACTAAAAAAATATGCTGTTGAACAGATCTACATTGATTTGCTAGCAAAATGGCGGTGTGGGGAGGTACCCCCAGTTTCAGGTACGAGTCGCTGGTCGTGTAGTGGCCCGCCCGCTAGTCAGACGGTCGGTTTTGAAGACCTGACGAGTAGATACCTCTAGGGTATCCCCGAGCATATTGGTCAATTGGCCACAAGGAAATGCTGCGGCCAAAATGCCAAGGTCGATTTATTCTTTCACCTTCGTTTCTCTCACTTTTTGTCCGTCTGAACCCTCACGTCGCTCTTCTTCTGGTCTTGAAAGGAAGATATTTTGGAGCCAGCCAAGTACTTTCGTTTGTTCACCGCGCTCCTACCATGTCTTAACGTCCCCTTTCATCTCTGACTTAATTCGTCTCATACTCGTTATTTCCTGTCGGCATGATGGAACGCGGAAACAGGCACTCATCAAGCGGCGCGACTGCTGTCTCGAACGAATCGGCCATGAACTCAGACCTCATGAGTTTTACCGCCCTGGAAGGAGAGGATCCTTACCTCCCAAATCTCTGGATTTGTGATGTGAATCTCACAGACGACCAGGAGCTCGTCATGGAGCATCTAATCGCACACCTGAATCATCCTCGCGTGGTGTCACTTCAAGCCACTGCTAACGCTATTCATGCGCTGATGCCACTGAAGACCGTTCCAGAAAACTATATGTCGTCCGACACGACGGCGCGTCCACTGTCCTCCAGCAGTATGCAGTTGAGACACCCAGCCGCCAGAGTGATGCGAGAGTTTTGGTGCGTTTTCTTCGACGTCGCGAAGAATATACCCCATTGGCATCCTGCCCAGGAGAGACTCCAGAACCTCATCAAGAACCTGGCAGACCTCTACGAAGCAGGTGCGGAGGTCGAGAAGAAGGAGTGGATGAGGCGCGAACGCGATGGCCTTGGAACAAATGTCTGTTTTGCACCTCTCTCCCCGTCTATTTCTCCCCTTCCGTCCTTTCTTCACAGACGTCTCATCGATTGCTAACATTTCTTTCCATCATTAAGCCCTTTTGCCATCTCACATGGTGGGAGCCCTTGCCCTACTTCTCGGACTCTCTCTACAAGTTTGTCCTACGTGTGTTCACCCTCTCCTCGACTCTTTGCATTCTCTCTCCGAGAGTGCAATCTGACTAACGTCTGAACCGTCAACAGCCTACCCACGCGACGAAAGAGATCAAGAAGTCATGTGGCACTGGACCAACTTCTCTTCGTTCCAAGCTCGAACCGCGGCCACCGGCCTCCACAGAATCATTCCCACCGCCACTTGGGTGTTGCGCGCTGCTCTCGAAGATTTCCACCCGGTCACCATCGAACAGTAGGAATGTTTCATGGCGTCGGCCGCGGAGTGGATGAAATTCGCCGCGCATCTCTTGTGGCAGCAAGCGCTCGACTGGGACAACCCCGCAAGCGACAAGTCCGGGAAGAAATCGTCCTACATCTGGGACTGGGGCTCGCCAACCGGTGTCATGTACGGAGGGGAGCCGGGAATGCACATGGATCGGTGGATGCATTGGTACGCCACGTTTCGCAGCATCATCAAGAAATGCAGCAAACTGGAGGAAGCAAAGCTGGTGGTTCATTATGCGCAGGTATCGATGACTGCCATGGACCGAGTTATGGGGGTGCCGGAGTCTAACATCGTTGGAGCTGACCAGTCAAATGAATCGAAGGGCGAAGTAACAGGCTATCTGACTTGCGAGGATCTCATTGCGGAGGGTATTGCTGGTCTTCGCCTCGGTAATTCCGGTACTTCCGGATATGGCGCTGTTGGTGACGTGGTTGAGGGTATTGCTGGTCTCACCCTTCAGCCTACTGTGTTCAAAGAAGAGGTTGTTTCAAGCGAAACGACTTCTAGCGAGAAAGCGGACGCGAAGACCGAAGCGGTTGCCAAGGGCAAGCTGGTCATCAAGAGCGAAGCTTTCGTTTGACGGGTGCGGTGTTATCCTGTCTGTTTGTGGGACCTTCAGAAAGGAGTATGATTCTACTGAAGCTTCTCAGTTATTCTGTATGTCTTTTCCTCTTTCTCTTCGGGTTCTGATTCTTCTCATCTTGTGTGGTTTTTTTCCACAATCTTCTCTTCGGGGTTTGCTTTTCCTTTGGTGTGGTCTCAAGTCTTTGAAGTCAAAGACTCCTATAGGATAGGGCAGGTATCCAAGCAGATAGCTGTCTCTTTTCCCAGTTTAGTACACGGTATCTCTACCTAATCATCAACACGATGGATTTTCTTTGCTTTGTCCAATAACCAGGTTTCAGCCATTGATCCGTGACCGTACGCAAAAAGGTTCACTCCTCACCAGCAACACACCCCATACTTCCTCAACCACCACTCTTAAAACCCTCCAGTCCCCTGAACCCTCTTCACCGCGCCCACCGCCCCCTTAGCCCACCTCTTCATCCTCCCACCGGGATCAACACCAATGACCCCATCGGCCTCCTTCCCCTCCGCATCCAGCCACATCCCTTTCTCCTTATCCAACGCCCCATAGATCGCCGTATTCTGATTCCTCCTAATTCCCTCCATCCACGTCCCACAAACCTCCTCGCTATCAATCATCACATTGATCTCCTGGCTATGAAACCAGCTTTGCGTGTCCTGGTTCCCATTTCCCATGATCCCCACGCGCCCATCCACAACCATCAACTTGATATGACAGCTCCTCAACCCTTTGGACTGCACCAGCGGCTTTGTCTGGTCTTTGCCTACGTACCAGTAGTAATGTAGATTCTGCCTAGCTTCAGGAGACAGGGATGAGTACAGATGGTGCGCAATCTTCTCGTTGTGACCATTCTGGTGAGGGAGCAGTTCGCCTGCGTCGTTGTACCCCAGGCATACGTAGCAAGTAACTTGGACGCCGCGGTTGCAGGCATCTAGTATAGCGGGGAGCAAGGGAGCAGCGTTCAGCGTCGGGGTCTGGATGAAGACGGAGTGGGTGGCGTTGCGGAGGGCAGAGAGCCAGGCGGCGTTTTGCGGATTGGAGACGGAGGAGTGGTTCGGCGGTCCGTAGGGGGCGCGGTTGACTAGGGCCATTGGGACGGGTTCGGGGGTTTGGCCTTGTTCTTGGGAGAGAGTTTGGTGGTGAGGGAGGAACAGGTAAGGTGTCATTTTGTCGTCTGGGCTGTTGACTGGATCAGGAGCGAGCGGGTCGGCGGTGAAGTTCGGGTTTCGAGTGTGGTTGAGGAGACGGGTGACGGCTTGGAGATGTGTCTCGACGACGTTGCTGTCTGGGTCGAGTTTATCTGCCAGGGAGGCTTGGATGCGGAGGACTTCGGTGGCAATAGAAGTGTCGTAGTGAGGATCCTCGATTATATGCTGTGGAACGTTGGGGATGAGTGTCGGTTGCGTCGTAGTCCCAGTTTTAGGTGGTTCCTCGGTTAGAACAAGCATCTTAACTTCCACTTTCCTCTCAACCTTGCCCACCCCCGTCTTTTCCACTTCCATCCCACCCTCCCACGCCTCCCTAGCCGGTGTATTAACACACGGCATCACAGGCCCCAAGTGTTTATGCCAACTAATCATCGCCATATCCCAAAGCGAATCCACCACGGGTCCCTCCAAGTGCGTCGCCATCTCCAGGTTATCGTTGTCCTGGATATTATTGCTCTGCAACACCGCCACGCGCCGGTCCACCACCATGTACTTGGCGTGGAACGTGCCCACGATGGGCGTGTGGAAGTTCATCACTTGCATGTCGATGAACGGGATCTCGTCCGGGCCAGGAAGACCGATGGTGGAGGCGTTGGTGTAAGTATCTGGCGAAACGATCTGGTGGTGTGAGAGGAGCTGTTTGGGGGTGCCGCGGTCGTAGAGGATTTTGAGGACTATTTTCTTCCTTTGTGGTGGAGAGCTCGAGGAGAAGGATGCTTCGAATTCGGAGGCAAGACGTCGGTTGAGGTCCTTTATGGCGTTTGTTAGGTAGGTTGAGGCAACGCTTGATTGCCAGTAGTTGGTTGCTAAAAAGATTTCGTGTTTTGCGCGGTAGATCAGGTTGGCCATGTGGCGGGCTATGTCGGGGATGCTGTTTGGTGGATGGTCAGTTAACAAAAAATGGCCTTAAAAGGAGAGGTGTTATGTCGTCGTTTGGGGTGGACTGATGGCTTACACGGAGATTATCGTCAACGGAACAGTACCGCATGTTCCCAAAAGCGGCGGACTGACCATACCCTTGAGGGGATCATCGTCAAGTGTGCAAAGCGCATCGTGATATATCTTTGACCAAAATTGTCAGCAAACTCCCTCCCATTCATCCATTAATCCCATAGAAAGGAAGCCCCAGTGAGTAAGTACCTGCAAAAAAAGATCACTCGGTCTCTTCCCTCCCCACTTCCCACACTTCGCTGCCCGATCAAGGTGTTCCTGGGCTGAACGAGGCGAATGAGGTGGCGTGGGTGGTGACTTGCAACTCGAGCCCTGTCCAATGTCATCCTCACTGCTTGTACTCTGTCCCTCCTTCTCCTCCTCGTCCCCTAGAGGCCTCTTCTTTAGAGCATGCTGGCCGTAAAGTTTTTTCCAGGCGTCGCTGGGGGAAAGACCAGGGTCTTTCGCCAGGAGAGACGAGACCGTCTCTGAGGAAGTACAGAGGTCCAAGACGCGGTCCGAGATGTAGTCTGGGAACTTGGATTTGGTCATCACGGGAGGTTAGGTAGATCTGTGTTCACACCTTCTGTCGTAGTAATATGAGATATGGGGCTATTAGAGACGAAGAACGGATGTTGATGTGGGATATAACAGTAGGTATATAGTTACGGCCGACGTGATGATGAGGAAGATGATGTAGGGGTAGTATCCTCTACTGAGGTGGATATTCTAGCTTAATCTCCGGGAGTAGCAGGGGAATAAGTCCAAAGAAAGGCGTGTCACTTGGGGCTATGGGGCAGGTGTCATGATGAACGAGATGACTTCAAAGTTACGCTCGGAGCTTTTCCTGACAGGACATGGACCCTGCAATGTGCCTTCCCAACCGCATGTCTGATACCAGTATCTGGAAGATGCTGAGAACCTTGTTGGCTCGAGCGCCAAGAATCTTGGTTAGGGGCGCCAAGAATCTTGGTTAGGGGCGCCAAGAATCTTGGTTAAGTGCGTCCAAAGGGTCGGGATACCCATCTCTCCAAGACCTCTCAATGTTATTAAACTTTCGTTGTCATGGACGATCATTCGCCTGCAAGTTCAAAAGTCATCACCGACACTTGTTGATGACGTCAGCGGTTGGGTGGATGGTGTCGGTCCCGAGTCGGCACTGGTTGCGGGGAAGTGAGGAACGACTACACAGAATGCATGAGATGATCCAACTCGGGACGATCGATTTTATGCGTTTAATGATGCAGTATGTTGAAGACGAGCACAGGATCCCTTATTATGGTGATATTCGAGAGTGTGTGCGGTAAACCAGGCGTTGGAGCAAACTGCGGACACTGCGCAATGGGTCGACGCCCGGACCAAGTTATTAATCATGTTCATCCTATCTGCCATTATTCATAACCATCCATAAACCCAAAAATCATGGATATCCCAAGAAAAACCGCTCTTGTCCCAAATGGAGCAGCGCTATACTATGTTGACCTAATGCCAACTTGAATACCCCATTAAAGATCACCGTGCTTAGATCCCTTCTCCAACTTGGCAAAGTCGGCAAAGGCCAGCTCGTAGGCAAAAGCCAGAGTCATGCGCGCGTGCTGGAGCATGTGGTCGAACGAGAGATACTTAATGAGATCGTCGGTAGTATGAATGTGGTTGTCCGAATACTCAAAAGCAGACTCGATGACGAAGGCAGAGGGGTACCCAGCCTTGGAAGCAGAAGCGTGATCAGAGCAGGCATAGCCGCACTTGGTCTCGACGTAGGGGATATCGCAGTATTCGACGATAACCTTCTTGATGAAATCAGTCAGGTTTGGGTCGACATAGTCAACAATAACACCGACACTCTCCACCTGACCGGCCTGGAGGGTGCGGGATACGAAGCCGGTCATGTCCTGCTGGAGCATGGCCTTGACATCTCGCCGAGTCTTCTCGTACGTGGTGAAGACGGCCTGGCTGCCAAGAAGACCACCCTCCTCAGCACTGTACCAGTGGAACTCGATGGTGTTTTCGTGGTTGCCCTTGATAATGTCCTCGGACTGCAGGAGCACACGGAAAGCCTCCAGGATAGTGACGGTACCGCTGCCATCGTCATCAGCGCCAGGGGCGGCGAGAATGGAAGGGAGCCAGAGGTTGATCGAGTCCTGGTGCGCGCCGATAACTACGGTGGCATTGGTCTTGCCGGGAATGGTGGCAATGATACTGTTCTGACCCCAAGCATGCTCGAAATGGCGGGCAGTAACGGTGTCGTCGGCGCCAGCGGCCTTGATGGTGTCACGCACTTGCTGGAGAAGCCATTCGCTCGATTGACGTCCGCTCTCGGACTATTGACATGCCGAGGTTAGCTCATCATGTCGCGAGCAATGGAATGCCGTGAAAGCATGCTGCGCGCACATACCTTGTAATACCGCGTGTGGAAAGAGGTGAAAGTTGTGAGGTGGTCTTCCATCCCAGTCTTGGACAGGTTCTTGAGCAATGGCTCGAGATCCTTCTTGTGTGTCGGCTTCTCTGGGAAGACACTCTTCTTGTAGGGGCGCTTGTTGAAAGTACCGAGCTCGGCATGGTCGGTGATGTCGAAGAAGCGCTGGCCATTCTATGGGCAAAACAGCTGTTAGCACCTCGCCCGATGATTCCCAGTCCCCGATTAGGTTTACATACACGTCTGAGTTCCCACTTCTCATCCTCTGTAACCCATTTTGTGTTTCCGGGCGAGAGCTCAATGTGATACTTCTCGGTCGACTTGGGCTCCTCGGGAATGCCATCGGGGAAGAGCATGACGTGATTCTGCTCGGCCTGTTCAACGAAGCGGGCGCTTGCCGCGGGGAGCAGCAACGCAAGAAGCGATGCGTTTGAGATCTTCATGGTGGCTGTTCGTGGATGTCGCGATGGTGTTTGAGGTGGTGTTGACTTGGTTGATGGATGAAAGAGGGAGGAAATGGCAATGAAGAGGATGCGCCGCGACGGAATGGGAAAGAGCCGACCTCACCGATGGGACCTGGGGACCAACAAGGTGCCTGTTCCAAGGCCCTGGAGACTGATGTGTCACGCATCCGGCTTGTTTCGGAAGCTGCTTTGGCTGGCTGATAAGGCCCCGATAAGCACTCCGCGCGGGGAGGCACCACTAAAGCCCCTGCTGCCTGGGGCGGTCAGGGCGGATCTGCCCCTGCCAAGGCGCTAGTGACGAACCCGTGGTTGCGCACTGGTCACTGCAACGCGTGGCTCTCCACAGGCCTGCATCAACTGTGACAAAGCGACAAGACACTGAAGAGCAATCGACGAGGTCTCGAACTTCACTCAGGAGCTCTTTGTGTTCAATGTTCTCTCTTTACAATTCAGGTCTAAATGTATGTATAAGATTGTGCATCTTACGACTCTGCTCTGTGCAAATGAATCACGGCTGAATCACAGCTGAAATCCGACCACGGCATTCCTCATAGGCGGACGGACGACCTATTATAAAGCGCCGTAGTTGTATCCGTACAACCCCTATTAAAATTACGTATCTCCGGACCGACGAGGGGAACAAATATCACCTATCTGGGTCTCATACTCCGGAGAACAAGACGGCTATTGTTGAAAGTGTCGAGGTCGATACCGAAAGGTCTTGGAGCAGGGTGTTGACATAGCGTCTTGTTGGGAGCTGGCTGAGGACATCTATCAGGAACTCGAGGAAGCGCTCGCAGTACATGACCTGGTCTTGTTTGGCGTTTTCGGTGACCACCACCTATGCTACGAGTGGAGCCGTCAAGCCTGGAACTGGCCTCGGTGTGCCGGCCATTCGCCCCGGAAACGACTGGAAGGAGATCTACAGGGTCAGAGAGGAAAAGTCATCACCAAGAAAACAGCCATAGAGGTCCTTACTTTCTTTGTTTACTTTGGATAGGGGCTACTGGGGCTTCATGACTCGTGGGCACCATGCTGCCATCCTCACTCGTGGCTCTTTAAGGTATGTTCAGCCAAAGCCCAGATTGGCGTCTTACCATTCGGCAAAGCTCTTATGGTGTGTCTTACGATAAGTAAACAAACAAAGGACGATTGAGTCCATTATCAGGGTGGCAGAGAGAGTCCGATTATCAACCTCGACTGTACGACCGGAAGCCAGGACCGAGCCGTCAAGATAAGGTTTCCGGTCTCCGCTTGCCCGCTGTGGCCCCGTAACATTAACAGCGGGATGACACTACCAATGACTTCATTCCTCGCTATAACTGAGCACCATTCGACGCTAACTCTCCGTTATAGAGTGGGGTGAAGCGGAGAAGCTGGTATGGTGTCCGAGCTCCGAGATGCTTATGAGTGAACAAAGAAGAGTAACGGATGACAAAATGATTGCATCCTATTATTGGGCAGCTGAGCTGGTCTTCTATCCCTCTCGTACAGTATTTGTGGGGATTAAGGTCAGTCGAGTTAGGTTTCACATACCTTATTAGTGCATTTGGGAAACAGCAACCATGACGTTAACTGAATAAAGTGTAGCGTCTTACATGACTGTTAAGCTGCAGACAAACGGCAACACTCTCCGGGAACTGTATCTCCCCTCTTTAACTCGGTTCTTCCAGGTCTTCTCCCGTCTCTTCATCCAAGTCAACCTCGACCCAAGACCAAACCAAACTAAACTAAACAACCTACACCACCAATTCACATCACCAACAAGCACTCACTCATAGCCAAACCACCACCACCATGACCTCAGTCGAGGCTTTCCCTCCCTCCATGGGATTGGGACCAGAACACACCAATGGCAGCAACAAGACCGCCGACGGCAAGCCCCCCTCCTTCGACGGCAAAATCGACAGCAAGCTGAACGGCAAGCACCACGCCGAACCCAACGGCAAACACGCCGCCTCTGAGCCCAACGGCAAGTCCCACATCAGCGAGCCCAACGGCAACAGCAAGACCAGCAGCAGCGGCGGCAAGACCGCGCCCTCCTCCGCTCTCGGCTCCCGGAACCCCCAGGACCTGATCCAACGGGGCGTGTACAAGTCCAACATGCTGGGCACCGCCACCTTCATCGGCCTCCGCGCTCTCGACCCGCTGCTACAGTACAAGTTACTCGCGGGCGACTGGGGCACGCGCCTGCTGTCCAAGCTGAACATCTCTTCCATCCCTCTGTACGACTATTTTGTAGAGACGACCACTTCGGGGGGGACCACCAGGTCGTCCATCATCCGCCACCTGCCCCTGCCGCGCCTTTTGTTGCTGCTCATGTCCGCGGGATCCAGTCTCAAGCAGATCTACTGGCTTTTGAGCCTTTCTCGCGAGGAGCTGACCCCTGCTGCGGCTGTGGAAGTGTCGTTGTTCAACACGGTCATCAACACTATGGGCTCTTTGCTTTTGTTGAGCACCTCAACTTCGGCCTCCCTCTCAACCCCGCGCATCACCCTCCCCTTCACTTACAACTCAGCCACCGGCACGTCCATGTCTTTGCCTCTGCCCATCGCCATCGGCACAATCATGTACGTGACCGGCATGGCGATCGAGACCCTCACGGAGCGAACGCGCAAGAAATTTAAGGATGACGAGGCCAACGAGGGCAAGATCTGCCGCGAAGGGCTCTGGAACAAGGCGCGCCACATCAACTATGGCGGGTACACGCTGTGGAGGGCCGGGTACGCGATGGCGGCGGGCGGCTGGATCCCGGCGCTGGGCGTGGCGGCGTTCCATATCTGGCACTTTGTCAGCAGGAGCACGGTGTTTATGAGCGAGTACATGCAGAGTCGGTATGGAGAGCAGTGGGAGAAGTATAAGAAGGAGGTGCCGTATGTTTTGATTCCTGGGATTTACTAAGGGGTAGTTTCGAGGTTTCGCTAGAGGGCCAGAGGAGGGAAGTCCACCGCTGTGGGTTTATCTGTGTGATCGGTTTGGGAAACTCGGGTGTCTGTGATGATGTATGGTGGTGAGAGTGTGAGGTAAGTAGGTTAGTACTCAGGAGTGAGTGGGGGTACAATATTGAGGGTTTTGATCCCTGTAACAATGCTGTATTATTAGAAGAATCGTGAAAGGTATCCAAGTCAAACTTCATTCCCTCCCGCAGCACAGCTTGACGTCTGAGTGGACAGCATGCTATAAGACATAATGAAGCTAAGTATCCAAACCTGACCAGAGAAACGGCACCAAGATCCGCTGCCATTAGGAATAGCGCCAAAAAGGATCCAGAAAAAAGGAAATGAAGGACGATAACCACCAATGCATGCTTTTTCCTGGCTCACGCCTCTTGCAGACGAGCCGTGTGGGTAGTATAAGTGAAGTGACTGTCGCTCTGTCTTTCGGGGTATCGATTCTTTAACCAAACAACCGCATCTCTTCTTCATCCTTTTCTTCACCTCTGTTGTCCTACATGCTGTCTTCCATCTGCCTGCTCCTAGTCTTCGCCCAACTATCACGCTCAGGCTTACCACCCTTGTTCTCCAGACCCATACCACGCTCGACCCACATCTTGCTGCCCATTTCAGTCAAGCGCGATAGCGCACGCGCGAACGCAAAGGCTTCCTCGTCACCGGTAAACAAGTTTGACTTGGAGAGCTTGTCGGCATTCTGCTCGGGATCGTCCATCATGTGGCTCATCACATCTTCGACAGACTGCGTCTGGTCCAAAGCCTTGCCCTGCTTCTTGAGCGACTCCTCAACTTCTTGCCGGGAAACGAACAATTCTGTTAGGGGCACGGCGGTCGTCAGGACGAGCTTGGCGTGCGACTCGTATACGGCGTCGATGAAAGTGATGAAGCGGCGGGCCAGGTCGCGTTGACGGTAGGTCATGCCGGGGATGTCGGTGACAATGAAGGCGTCGTAAGAGCGCATCAGCTCAATGTAGTCGGCGGCACCCGTCGGCTGGCCGATTAGCTCGTTGAAAGTGAACCAGGCGCAACGCCCGCTGACACGAGGAACGTGAATCTCGCGGCCCCAGACGGTTTGTACCTCGGAGTGTGGCTCGGGGTTTTCGGGATCGCCCAAAAAGCGGAACCACTTCTCGGCGTGGGAGGCAGCGTGGGCGTCGAGCGCGGTGTGGTAGACACCGGAAGGAGGGCGGGGGATCTTGCGGTAATCGGTGTTCGAGTTGAGGTTGATGATGTGCAGTCGGTTCTTGAGCAGTTCGATGGCGGGGATGAAGGACTCGCGCTGGACACCGTTCATGTAGAGCTCGTCAGGGTGTCGGTTGGAGGTCGTGACAAGCACAACACCGTGGGACATGAGAGACTCGAGGAGGCGGCGAAGAATCATGGCGTCGGCTACGTCGGTACACTGGAACTCGTCAAAGCAGAGAACACTTCCCTGCTGAGCAATGTCGGCCGCAACAAAGGGAATGGCGTCAATGTCGTTGCCGTACTGCATCTTCATCTTGTGGAGGCGCTTGTGGACATCCTGCATGAAGTTGTGAAAGTGTATCCTCGTCTTGGACTTGATGTTGTGGGGTAATGTGTCGTAAAAGAGATCCATGAGCATGGTCTTGCCGCAGCCGACATCGCCATAGAGGTAGAGTCCGCGGGGGAGGTTGGCAGGAATTTCGGCGATGGCGCTCTTGGGCTTGCCGCCGAAGAAGGAGAAAAGAGACTTGTGCGGTTTTAGGGAGTCGAGGGTCGGGTGGACGACGGGCGGCGCCGCGTAATTCCGGAGATCTTCGTGAAGATGCTGTAGGTTTTGGATGATTCCTGGTTGCGCAACAGAATGCGCATTCTTTAGCGATTGCTCTTCTTCAGAATAGAGGTTAAGCTTCCAAGTGTCGGGTGCTCACTCACCTCTTTGGTGGTCGTCATTTCGTAACTCCCCGTTGGCGACTCGGCGGTCGTATTCTTGGATGGGGCCGAGGTTTTCTGGGTTTACTGTGGGCAGAAAGGAGTCAATTCAAGATCTCTCGTTACGGGAGGAATGGCGCCAGTAACATGTCGGGGTTTGGCTAACCATTGTGAACAGCGGCTGCGGCGGTAGCGGTCGTCGCCCTCCTCCTTTGGCCAGCGGTAAATGTCGCAGGGAGGATAATGCGGGCGGTAGGACGAGCAGCATGTGCCAAGGCGCGCGACTGGTTGACGTTCCTATGTCCGCATGCTGATGTACATTGTGTCCGCCGGGGTGTGGTGTTTGTGATGATCCTCGCAGAACGGGCAGTCGAGGACCGAAAGAGGGGCTTCGCCGTAGTCGGGAGCCCAAGCGGTATACTGGTCACGCGCATCTTGACCAACCAGTTGGCTCCTATTGAGTCAGTAGACGGAGAATGGTGAGGAGGAGGAAACGGTAGCAGCCGGAGAAAGTCGACAACAGAAATTGATGATGAATCCAAAAAAAAGTAAAATGTCTAGGAGAACTCGCAGCTAGGGATGCATCATACAGCGGGTGTATGTCGGTGGGGAAGAACAGCCAGGAAAAACACGGCATGAACGGCAGAACGGGTCCAGGAAATCGGACGACAGGCGTTCCCGGGGTTCGGCCTTGTGGGGCCCGGACGGCATCTTTGAGGCTTGTGATTCTAGAAGGACAGTGAAGGGGGCAAATAAGTCGAGTTTTTATTGGTCATGTTGAAGTCAGATCCAGGTCATGACAGGGGCAGCATGGCCGGAGGAACGGATTTTCGTCGGGATCTTGTTGTCCGACTGTGGTCCAGTTAGGCGCTATGTACCCGGCTACCGGGGCGCCAGCGACCCACCTTTTGGTGTCTCTGGGCGCCTTCCAGTGGCCGGATGGCGCTTCCTGGTCTGTGCACCAGATCTTCCAAGTGCAAATACCCAGAAAGTACAAAGAAAGGCAAGGTATAATATACTGACCGTACTTCAACGTGTTCGGGTTATTCTTACGACCATTCATCACACACTTTATGTTCAACACCAAGTCGTTTGTCTCGCGATACCGTCATCTCAACAGCAACAAGATCACTCTTTGACACCAATGCCAACTCTGCTTTGATTCCGCTCCGTCATCCGAGACTTCACACGGTACGAGCAGCAACCATTCACGAGCAGCATCAGCAACATGATCACGCAGGTAAATCACAAGTGTGATGCGTTCTTCTCTCGTGCGTTTTGTCACCAACGCTTCATACACGATACTACCTTTATTAGAAGCAGACTGTGGCGTGGTCTGTTCTCGCGGAGTTGCCAAACGACTACTTTCAGTTGCAAGTGTCACAGTGCGGCCATAACCCTAACCCTTGACATCTTCATCCACTCAACCTCCTCCTCCTCTGCCATCGCCTCCATTACTCCGACTACCACATCATCATCACTGGTGGATCCCCAAGTCCGAGTCAATGATACAACTTTCCCCCGGTATGGTTTCTTCAGACCATTTTACGGCGTGCTGGATTCGTTGTCTCTGAGAGCAGGGTGGAGGATCGAGGGTTTGTTAGTGTTCCTACAGCGACACGTCCTGCGTCAAGCACAGTATAAATGTTTTCCCCCGATGAAATATTTTCGCTGTCAAGCGCCATACCCAACAACATTCTCACTATAGTTGCTGGTTGGGTAGCAGTATATCTCTGCCTATACTCAGAGAACGTCTCAGGTGATGCTACCAGTTTGCAGAAACCCAAGTCGGAGGGACTCTGGGAATGCGTGATGCCGAGACAGTGACCAAAGGTCTCGGCTCTAGGCCAGTGACGATCTCACACTACAATAAGGAAGAGAATCCTCACTATGTAGGTAGGCACCCTGGCCTGCACTGGTTCGGGCCGCTCCTTGTGCATAGCGTTGCCCCAGTGCCGAGCCTCATCGCAACGCTTTTTACCCAGTGGATACTACTCTGATAATGGAGTACTACTCTCTAGTAACTCCGAAACACCCAAGGATCAGTAACAAACACTCGACAGCGGAGTTTGTGAGAATTCTGGCTCTTTTTTGCTTGATCTAACTGAGAAAACATCAACTCCTACTGCTACATTCCGTTGCATTCTCACCTCTGGCTGCAGAATTCATGACCCATCCCGGCTTCAACTCTCGAGAAACTTCACCATTGCCGTCTTGTATGCGTTGAGGATGGGGTCAGTCGGCCAACTTACAGTGCTGGCAACGTCGTCACGGTTGCTAGATCCTGCATACGCGATGTTGGCACTTTTCACAACCCCTCACGGGTCCTCAACATTCCGTCGTTGTTGGCGTGGCTCCGATGGCGGAAGGGGATGATGAAGGGAAAGAGTCAGAATCAAGGATTCACTTGGCCTCGTCTGTATCACCAGGAAAAATCTATAAGTACCACAAAGCTCCTCGAGGATATGGCGATATTTTCATCAACATCATCATCAGCTTCTTCCTTCATCCAGCCGCTTACCCTCCAACACAGACCTTCCACCGGTCGAGGTACCAGCATCCGGAACCGTCGGCGGCTTGGGCGGGGATGGTGTGGGTTAGGGACCAAGACGTCTCCAGCAGTCTTTGGCCTCTATCACTCTCAAAAACTTCAAAACCCTCCTCTCAAAATGCTCTTCTCTACCGCCCTCCTCTCTCTGCGCGTTTGCCGCCGCCGCTCCTCTCACGCCTTCCGCGGTGAAGACAGCCGTGAGCCCTGACGGCTACACCTACATCGTCGAAACCGAGCCCTACGTCGAGGACACCTTCACCCGCAGCGACGGCCTCAACGTCACCGTCCTCGTCCACCCCGCCTTCAAGCGCTCCATCGACATGGATGCCGCCGGCCAGTCTGTCAACACCGGCGCCCTCGCCAAGCGTCTTGAGTGGAACGACGGCGCTCAGTACGCCGACTCCTGCCTCGCCTCCTCCTACATTAAAAAGACCTCGGGCGCCTCGCCCCTCGTCTCCGACTGCGCCTCCATTCGCGACTACTACGCCCAGCACCACGGCCGCTTCGTCGCCTCATGGGGTGATAGGTTCTTCAACCGTGGCTATTGCCGTCTCGTTATTACGAATACTTGTGTGTTTGGTGTCAAGAGCGTTAGTACTTATAATGTCAATGTCGGGAGCAGGGACATTTCTGATCTTACGAGGGACTCGATCAATAAGTTCCAGGGCAACAAGCGGGTGGGTGCTGAGGGACACATGATCTGCAATGGTTTCCAGCCTACTAGCGTGGACTGGGCTATTTTTACCAACTAAGGTTGGGGGATGTGATGGAGGAGATTCAGCAGGGATTCATCCGGAGAATGGATGACTGGGGACAGGAAGCCGGCTTATGTCTGCTATCTTGGAGGAGAAAGTGAAGATGGGGATGTGCCACTGGACTTGGGCCGTTCAACACACGCGCAGACAGGGTTGGAACCATGAGTTAAGGAGCGAGTCACGAGAGGAAGGTTGAGTGTTGGACCTGGCTTTGGCCAAGCTAGGTCTGTGTGGATTTTTACACTTTTTTTGTGATGGGATGAACCGGTTGTGGCATCCCACACTTGATGATTTCACGATGTTTACGAGAACGGGCAGAGATGGATTTCGACACACTCTTTTGGATATTATACCCTTCAGTTCGAGAACCGCCAATAGGGCGAAGATGCATATGCAAAACACTTTACCACTTCGCGATTGACTGACCATTTGATCCCGACTCCCGCCGGACCTATGAGTCTAGGGTATATAAGACCCCTCTCCTGCGCACCTTTCCGTGGTCCGTTGGTGTAATGGTATTGATCAACACTACTTACCTGATCGCCTGTCGTGTCGAGATGCGGCCGGCTGTCAGCATAGAAGTTACCGGTTCAAGTCCGGTACGGGCCACACTTTTTCTTTTTCTTTTTGCCTCTTTTTTTGCTTTCGTTTATTTGGTCTTTCTGTGCTGTTCCTTGGTTAAATAAACATTGCACATGAGCGTAAGATTTTGCTGGTTTGCCTTGAAAGACTCCATCCGTGTATTGTCTTGCCTCTCAATTGTGTAACTGTACCACGTCTTTCTAGTCATCTATTGTCTAAACTCTTGTCTCTATAAGCTATACCGGTATCTTGATAAAGTGAACACCGAACCTCTATAATCCTCATGACAAACACAACATTGTAGCATCAACATGCATCCCTTGGTCATAAAATCCATACAAAGCCCCACCGCTCAATCCTGACCGCACAACACCTCCCTAGCATACTCAACCTCCTCCGCTGTCCCGCACACAACCCCACCACGCTCATCACACCCCTCCACCCCCTTCTCCCCCAAGATATCCTCCCCACTCACCGGGTCTACCGCCCGTCCACCACAGCACTCCACCACCAGCGCCAGCGGGAACAGCTCATACAACCTCCTCAACTTCGCCTTGCTAGTCTCCGTCACCGGGCTCAGATACACTCCGTGCCCCTTGACCAGCGCATGCACCACATCCGGCACCAACCCACCGCAGTACCTCAGCGTGTAGTTCTCTGCCATATAGTGCGACACCAGCTTAGCATACGCCGCGTGCGTGTTAGTCGAGCGCAGATTCGCAGGCGCAAAGTACCGTGTCTTAAAAGGCGGCGGGGCGTAAGCGACGGAAGAGCGGATGAGATCCCATTCCTGACCCTTCCCTGCCTCGCTTGAATCCGACAGTCCAACCTCAAAACAAACCCCCCTCTCCTCCCCCGGGAACCTCAACGCAACCACCGCCGTAGTCCTCGGTCCATAAACCCCCAACACCGCACCAATCTGCTTCTCCCGCGGACTAGCACCCAGCGCTGACGTCCCATCCCACAGCGAGAAAATCGTTCCCACCGTCCAATTCGGCGCAATAATAGAGGACCCATCAAGCGGGTCAAACGCGACCGTGTAGACCTCGCCGTGGGTGCGATCCTGCTCGGCCTCGACGACCTGGAACGGAAGGCCGGTGTGCTGAACGGGTTTCTCCACGGGGTCCTCTTCGCTGGAGGCGGTGACGACGGAGGGGCATTGTGCGAGGCAGAGCCGGATGGCTTCTTCGGCGAGCACGTCGACGTTGAGCTGGTCGTCGCCGAAGGAGTTGGACGAGCCGGCGAGGGAGACGTGTTGGGCGGCGCGGAGGGCAGTGGAGGTGGCGGCGATGGCAGTGAGGAGGGAGGGGAGGACGGAGGTGCGGAGGCTGTCCCTGGAGTTTGAGGAGGAGGAGGGGAGGAGGGAGGCGAGGCGGGTGGTGAGGGCCGCGGTGAGGGGGGTTGCTGGTGGTGCAACCGCTTTGAGACTGTGGGAGGTTGTCATGGTGGGGTAATTGGCGAGATGGGCGTAAAGATTAGAAGACGGGAAATGAAGATGGTTTAGGTTGGATACTGAGAATACTGAAGATGTACGAAGTAAGAAATGTAGATTTGAGTCTTTCAAACAGATTTCAAGCTGATAATCATGACAATCCAAAACCCTCCTCCGAAGCCGGTAAGAATGACGACAGAAACGTTGTGGATCCAGCTGTCTTATCATTGATCACCATCAGGGTTAGGGTCTGTGATGTGACAACCTCCTCCCGTTATGCCTTGAACCACTCGCACCCTCCTCCATTTGTCTTCCCAAGCTAATGCCTTGCTACCATGATTTTGCTTTTCTGGGATGTTGTGTTCTTGTATGTACTTTCAATAATGTTCACGAGCAGGATTGAAACTCCTTGTCGCAACTTGCAAGGAACCTCTGGCCTTTCTTGCATTCAATTCTCGTTCACGCCAACCAATACTGCAATGATAGCGAGTGCGTGTCTCTCACTTAAACACATTCCCAGGCTTTAACAACCGTTGATGAAGATGATAACTGCTCGAAAATGAGCTAAAAACGTTTACTCGATATTGCTGAATAATCCCCTTCTAACTCGTTTCATACGTAGGCACAAGAGAAAAGTTGGGACAGATTCCCGTTCCGGGCTGAGAAATGGCGTTTGCTCGTTCTTTTCTCGCATCTCTTTAATCAATCAATCCTTGGAAAGGTGTGGAAATGTAGTCGATAGTGATTGTGGGGAGTTGTGTTTCTAGATATGGCGGTCAGAACCCTAACCCTAGTGCTGGCTGAGCCAGAATTAGGGTTAGGGTTCCTCAACCGCAAAGAAAAGGATATTACCCCACAAAACAAGCATGCCAGGCTTGATAACTATATATCTCAAATATTAATAGGGCCTGCAAGCGAGAAAAGCTAGCAGCCAGAGAAGGGGGTGGGGTTAGAGTAGCTAGGTATTTAGTATGTTTGGCTCTAGAATGATTTATCACAGCATAGATGGTAGTATTGCATATTAGGAGGAGTGATGTACAAGCGCCCAATGGGCATGAGGTCCTTCACCTATTCCCCGAGAGAAAACCGTAGAGACTTCTGTCGAATGAAACCGCCGCCCCTTCCCCGGCTGTAAGGCCGGCCCTTACATTCCTACCGTAACGTTACTTCACCCACCGCCCAGTGAATATACACAATTAGCTTAGTATCTTCAACTCTGGTTTCTATGAGTTTAATATTTTATTATATATGAGTTCTGGTTTCTTGGAAGGATTTTCCACTAAATTACACCAGCTCGTCCTATTCAAGAGCGAAACAAAGCTTCTTTTTAGGGTTCTTGGGTCGCGGCCGACATAGGTCCAATCCATAGCGCATATCATGTCAGCACCGAAGAAGCGACGCTGATAGACCAACTCAAGAATATCGTCTGTGTAAGCGGCAACATCGTTAAGGAAAATAACAATCATATTTGCTTCGGCGGGATAGAGCTTCGAGTCCTTAGGGCCGAGCATGGGTTGCAGCGCCAGATTGCGGAGTTCGGCGAGCTTCTCAATGCGGGCTCCTTGCTTCCGGTTGATGTCGTCCGATTTGAAGTAGTATGCTGTGGTCAGGCAATCAAGCTCCGGACGCAATGCCTCCAGGACCTCAGCTGTGCCGTCATGGGAGTTACTCTCTTATGATGGAGAGTGCACAGCTTTGTGGACCGAAGAACCGGATGGCTTCTACGATGCTTCCAATGAAGCGGGGCAGCAGATGAAGGCATTCGCGGAGGTCGAGGGCAAAGAGGTATTGGATCCCCGATGAATCAGCATCGCCATCACCGTCTTGGACCGCAAGATATTCGTATTGCAAAGGATTGAAGGCGGGATATTCGAATCGTGGAAGGTTCTTTTCAGGGTTCATGATTGTGACGACGCAGGCAGTGCGGTTTGCGGCCGAGAGAACGGTCGGATTCGGGACTGGCACAGAAGGACATCAGATAAAGATAACATCAAGGCAACTGAAGGACTCACCATTGTTGGCGGGCTTGGTTGTGGTCACTCTGGTGGCGGTGATGGTCGCAATCGTGGTTCAAGTAAAAGATATCTCGGTGGGAGAGACGGAGCCCCTCCTCAACTACATTAACAATCGAACCCTCAGAAACTTCCGAGCCTGCTTGGAATACAGCGTTTTATTCCGGGCTAACATTGTGTGAATTAGGGCACGAAACGAACGTCAACAACTGCACATTATCGCACCACGGTCTAGCGGGCTTTCGTTATTTATTCATTGCCAACCTTTATTGCTCGGTCCGTCCGCACAGCACCTTCACCTCACCTCGATCATCCTTTTGTCTAGGAAAAACCGAAAAAACCATCATTCCCCACTAAGCCATAAGAGGGAAGGGGAGGGTCGGGCTGCCGTCATCATCATGGGATTAAAGAGTTATTTCATAGCAAAAACGCCCGAGCCGGCTGCCGGACAGAATGAGAAACCACAACGAGGTCGACCACCTGCCACCGGGGATCCGATATTCAATCCACTGACTCCGAATCACGATGTACTCGCTCTCCCTCACGCCCACTATAGTGCCAGAGCCCGCTCGGAAGCACGCTCCTTCCTGTCGACGACGAGCTCGATAATGCTCGAAGACATCAAGCATGAGGTCATGGTCAACTGGCTCTATCAGCAGCAGTGCTCCTACCTCTGGGTAGCAAGCGGCAGCGGTGAGATTGAGGGCGTGATGCTTCGAAAGTCAAGAGGTCGATACATGACCTGCCTGCCGGCACTTGGGAATTCCCCCTTGGCTGCGGCCTGTGCTGCGCTCAACGTCCAGGTGAGAATGATTACCCAGAATATGTTCAGGTGCTGTGTGCTGACAAGGGGCTTGGAATAATGTGCCATGACGGTCAACTCACGAGTCATCAAAACGTCCCTACAGTGGTCTCCGGAGGCTATCGAGGTTCCTCTGAACGACGACTTGCGCATCCAAATCCTTCCCACCGTCGACGATCTTCTTCGTGCCCGAAAACATCAGTTTGCGGCCTTTGTTGCCTCAGAAGGCTTGCTCGTCGTTTAGGATGACGATCCCCTCCATCTAATTCCCAGAGCCAAGCATATCGAGTCAGCGCTCATGCAGCTCGTATGGAAGGACGGCAATGAGGTTGACGACGAGGAGGAGAGTGCTCCTCCCATGGTGGAACGAATCGTTGAAGTCGATGCGGAGAGCGGCGAGCCGAAACGAGAAAAGCGACCGGTTCACTTGCTCAACACCTATCTCGTCAGCATCACGCTCTTGATCGTTACAGTATCCCTTAGGTCCGCCTGGAGGCAGCTCGCTATTGAAGTCATGGTTGATGGTGACTTTGTCCGTCTTGCTCTCGTCGTCCTGGCACAGGTCCAAATCTTCTTCACTCTATTCTTCGCTCAGGTCATTATCGGCTGCTTGGCTCAAATATTTGGACCTATTCAACAGCTCTCGGTCAACTCAAAGTTTTACTCGGCCAAACTGCCGCCGAGGCTGCAGACCCCTACCCTGCCTCACGTTACGGTGCAGTGTCCTGTCTACAAAGAAGGCCTCGCCGGTGTCATTGCTCCTACAGCCAAGTCGATCAAGCACGCCATCTCCACGTACGAGCTCCAGGGCGGTGCGACAAACATGTTTATCAATGACGATGGTCTTCAACTGATCTCCGAGGAAGACCGCCAGGAACGAATTGAGTTCTATGCAGATCACAGCATCGGTTGGGTTGCCCGCCCTAGACACGGCGAAAACGGTTTCCAGCGCCGTGGCAAGTTCAAGAAGGCACCCAACGTGAACTTAACCCTCATGATCTCGTGCAAGGTGGAAGAAAAGCTTAGCCAAATCCAGAGATCCCCGGAATGGTCTGAGTTCTCTACCCGGTCGCCTACTTCTCAGCAAAGCACACGGCTCAAGAATGCAACTACGACGTCTATGACAAGGAGTTGCTCGCCATTATTAAGGCATTGGAAGAGTGGAGGCCAGAGCTCGAGGGCGCCCAGCAACCTTTCGACATCCTCACAGATCACAAGAATTTGCAGACCTTCACAACCAACAAGCAGCTCATCCAGCGCCATATGCGGTGGTCCCAGTTCCTGTCCCGGTTCAACTTCCTGATCAAGTATATGCCGGGCTCCAAGAATCTCCGCCCAGATGCCTTGAGTCACAAGCCAAATGATCGCCCCAACGACGCAGAAGACGACAGACTCATCGCGAGGAAGAAGGCCCTGCTAGACCCCTCATGGTTCGAGGGGGGTTGCCTCGAGGACCCAGCCGCCAGCTTCTCCCTCTGCTTGCTGGGCATAGACGACCTCGAAAATGAGTCAACCGACGACCTGATCCGCGCGAGCTACGAGACATCCATCTTTTTGCAAGAGCTCGTCTCTTGTTTGATGGACGAGTCGAGACGCCAATGGCCTCCGACCATCAAAGAAAGTCTTCCACCGCGCTTTCTCCGAGTGTCACGCTGTCAACGGCATCGCGAAGTGGCGGGACAAAGTCATCATCGACCCCCACGACAAGGAACTCCAGCTCCAGCTGATCAGTCGCCAGCACAACTCCCCCGGCGCGGGCCACCCTGGCCGCGACGTCACGTATGAGCTCCTGCAACGCGATCAGCACCAGCCTCAATGGATCATACTAACCCCGTTCACCTGTCTCATCCGCAATCCAAAAAGGACTTTCTGGCTCAATACTACGCCAGGCTCTCCTTAGCGGACACGGGTGCAGACAAAAAATCTCCCATTCCTGCAACTGCCCCTTCCACTGTCACGGTTACACCTGAAGCGCCAGCCCAGCAATCCCAGATTGTCACAGAGACCACGGGCATGGGAGCCACAGGCCTCACCATCACCATGGTCACGGGCATCGCGGGCACGTCCACGCGCACCATAACCGGACCGGACGGAACCCTCCTCGTCCCACCTCCCATCCCGCCTGTATGAAGCGTAACTTGCAACCCCGCGTCTAGCATTATCCAACTTCCATCTCCCTTCTTTCTCTCTTTTTCTTCTTCGTCATTTCACCCAGCCAACACGCCAAGGAGGAATCGTCCGAGATCACCATCACCGCCCCGAGTTTTGACGCAGCAAGGAACTATTCCATGGATTCTGAAATACAGGATTTCTTCACCAAGACTTCTGCAACCCGCGAAGCCTGCGACGCAAAAGCAAGGGAGCTCGTCGGCGGTGGAGAAGTTGTCCCAGTCGACGGAGGAGAGAGAGCGACATTGTCTACTTGAACCCCGCCTGCGATGCCGACCACCAGAACATGTTTGATGTTGGGAAACGAGCGGCGCATGTTGGCAAGGGCCGTGGCGGCTGGTTCGATACCCATGCGCGGGCACACAACCATCACGACGAAGTGCGAGCCTATACGTCCTACGTGATAGAGAACGTCGTCGTCGGGAACTTCCATTGTTGTGGGGTCCTCTAGCATTCCCACCGCAGCGGTGAGTTCCAAGGGCAAGGGGGCGATCCAGCCGACTGTGTACCGAGAGGTGTCGTGTGAGGGATCTATGTGGGCAATTGTTGACATCGAACGTGATTATCTAAAACGAAGAACAACACTGTCTCAGCTTGCAAAGATACACCAAGGACCAGAGAAGGTGCTTTTGATTTTAACGTCTACTCGGGGTGGTAGAGGCAAGACCCAAGGTGGACAGAGGTAGGCTAAGGCCCAGCTCTGGCACCCTTTGCTCCAAGAGTGAGCATTGTGGCTCGGCGTCGTCGGATTGGTGGCCTCACATACCTCCACCCACCATGATGGGAAATATGGAGGGCATCCAGACCAGACAATCCCCTCTTGGCCAGGTGACCCTTCAAGCCTAAGTGTTTTATCTTCGGTGCGGAGTTGTTCTTTTGAAGCTTCTGATTGGCCGAATTTGCTTAGGACCTCTCTCGAAGTGACGGTGATCCCAGTCTAGGAGATTGGCGTCTTACTTGCAGTTGTGGGGGCAGGCGTCGCATTCAGCTTTCCCGGAAAGGATATCTTCACATTACCAATGGCACATGCGGTTGGTGGCCGACCCACGCCAGACTGGGAATTTGGGCATTAACAGGTAGTGTCCATTGGGCATCTTGACACCTAGGCTGATCTGGAAGGCCAGGCGTCAACAGCTGATGCCGCAAATGTGCACATTTCGCTAGCACATCCGCCGTCCCACAGCTTTGAGACCACCTTTGGCTGGGGATGAGTCTTCTGAGCTGCAAACCAAAAGTTTGGGGACGCTACACCTTTGAAATTTTGGCTGGCCAACCAGTTGGACAATATTCATCTCTTGGTTCCGTTCTGTCAACCCCTCGCTTTCTCCCTGAACATTGCAAGACGATCAACTCCTTTAATTCCAGACGTTTGATCTTGTAAGCAAGCATTATACACCTCCCGAAGCTCAATCCCTGCGACATGTCTTTCTACAATTCTGGTTCGGGTTTCTCCAACGCCAATACCGGCCCTGGGCCTCAGTATAACAACAACGCCGCCGGGCATCAATACAACCACAACTACTATGGACGTAGGTTTCCATTACGGGTGGTGATGGTATGGGCCTGTGCTAACATCCAACAGCTTTTTACTCTGGAACTGATCAAGAACCTGAGCGTCTCAAACGTGAGAAGGAAGGTCAGTACACTGATTCCTCACCACGTCTTCATCATGGCTGACCGGGACGCTATGCAATGTCAGAGAAGGACCAGCAATGCCTGAAGCACTTGCGCCTTACCGATCCTCGCGATGATAAAGTCCGCATCGAACGGACCAAAGGCGGCCTTTTGCAGGACTCGTATCGTTGGGTCCTCAATAACACTGACTTTCAACAATGGCGTGACGACCCACAGCACCGACTGCTCTGGATCAAGGGCGACCCTGGCAAAGGGAAGACTATGTTGCTGTGCGGCATCATCAATGAGCTGGATCAAGGCGATACTGCCAACGCGCGCCACTGCAATGTGGCCTACTTCTTCTGCCAAGCTACCGACTCTCGCATCAACAATGCAACCGCCGTACTGCGCGGCCTAATCTACCTGCTTATCGAGCAGCAGCCATCTGTCCTCCCACACCTGCGGAGGGAGTATGACCGTGCAGGCGAGAACCTCTTCAAAGATGCAAATACGTGGGTCGCCCTATCGAACATTTTCACCGATATTTTACAAGACCCAAGCCTCCGAACGACCTACCTAGTCATTGACGCGCTTGACGAGTGCATTACAACAGACCTGCCACAGCTTCTCGACTTCATTGCTCAGCAATCATCATCTGGATCTCGAGTCAAGTGGATAGTCTCAAGCCGTAATTGGCCGCAAATTGAGGAACGGTTGAAGAAAGCCGCAGATAAAGTGAAGGTCTCCCTGGAGCTAAATGCGGAATCCGTCGCAGCGGCTGTTAATGCGTTTATTCTGCAGAAGGTGGATTACCTAAAAGAGCTGAAGGAGTACGACCCAATTACGAAAAAGACCGTTCAGGACTACCTGTGCTCTAACGCGCAAGATACCTTCCTTTGGGTGGCGTTGGTCTGCCAAGCGCTTGAAAAAGTCCAGAAAGGGTTTGCCGTAGAAAAGCTACGCATGTTTCCATCTGGACTGGATGCTCTATATGCGCGGATGAGAGAGGATATGAGCCAGTTCGATGAATCCGATTACTGCAAGCACATTCTTGCTGTTGTCGCAATTGTTCGCCGGCCAATCAGCCTTCAAGAACTAGCCTCTCTCGCCGAGTTGCCCAATACCATTTGCAACAATCTTGAATCTCTAAAAGATATTATAGGGCTTTGCGGTTCATTTCTAACTTTACGAGAACAAACCATCTATTTTGTTCATCAATCAGCCAAGGACTTTCTATTGGGCAATGCTTCTGATAAAGCTGGTAACCAAGCTTCTCTGGAGACATTCAAGTGGATTTTTCCTTCTGGGAAAGAAGATGTGAATTATACCATCTTCTCCAGGTCACTTAAAGCCATGTCTACAGTATTACGACGCGACATGTACGGCTTAAGCGCACCGGGATTTCCGAGCGACAAGGTCCAAGTACCAGATCCGGACCCGCTAGCGACGGTGCGGTACTCGTGCGTCTACTGGGTTGATCACTTGTGTGACTCGGTTTCTGGCACGAACACAAAACGGCCATTGACCCCGGCACCGGCAGGGAATCTAGACGGCACGGTGCCGGCACGAGCACGCCGAGTCTGGGGCAAGCTGTCCGGAGTGGGCAACTGGGTGAAGTCCGGGAAGCCGTCGGTGGGCAACTTCGGGATGTTCTCGCGAAGAGGGGTCAAGTTGCCGCTGGTCGGGGGCCCACCCCATGGGTTTACCGGCAATCCCGAGACGCCTTCCTGGGCTTGGATCTCGCATGATCGTTTACAGGATAATGGGGTTGTTTATACATTCCTCAAGACGAAGTACCTTTACTGGCTGGAAGCTCTAAGTCTACTCCAAGTTATGCCTGCGGGCGTTGTTGCTATTAGAAAGCTCGAGGGCCTGCTAGTAAGTATAAGTCTGACTCTGCACTAGGGACTTGGTCTAACTAAAAATATAGGGAGGTAATGATCAGTCGCAGTTATCAAAGCTTGTTTGGGATGCTTACCGGTTTGCTCTGTCTTATAAGTCAATAATAGAGCAAGCTCCACTTCAAGCATACATATCAGCGCTTGTATTTGCTCCAAGCGGTAGCTTGATAAAGAGGAATTTCAGGGCAGAAGAACCTGAATGGATTCGAAGTAAGCCGGCTGTAGAATTGGATTGGAATGCATGCCTCCAAACCTTGGAAGGCCATAGCGGGGCCGTTCGCTCAGTGGCATTCTCGCCTGATGGCCAGCGGCTTGCGTCCGGTTCGAGGGACTATACGATCAAGATCTGGGATCCGGCGTCGGGGAGCTGCCTCCAGACCCTAAAAGGCCATAGCGGCGATGTTTACTCAGTGGCATTCTCGCCTGATGGCCAGCGGCTTGCGTCCGCGTCCGGTTCGGACGACCCGGACGACCACACGATCAAGATCTGGGATCCGGCGTCGGGGAGCTGCCTTCAGACCCTAGAAGGCCATAGCGACTTCGTTGCCTCAGTGGCATTCTCGCCTGATGGCCAGCGGCTTGCGTCCGCTTCGTGGGATCACACGATCAAGATCTGGGATCCGGCGTCGGGGAGCTGCCTCCAGACCCTAAAAGGCCATAGCAGTTACGTTGACTCAGTGGCATTCTCGCCTGATGGCCAGCGGCTTGCGTCCGGTTCGAAGGACTACACGATCAAGATCTGGGATCCAGCGTCGGGGAGCTGCCTCCAGACCCTAAAAGGCCATAGCGGCGATGTTTACTCAGTGGCATTCTCGCCTGATGGCCAGCGGCTTGCGTCCGCGTCCGGTTCGTGGGATAAAACGATCAAGATCTGGGATCCAGCGTCGGGGAGGTGCCTCCAGACCCTAAAAGGCGATAGCTTTTCCGTTCGCTCAGTGGCATTCTCGCCTGATGGCCAGCGGCTTGCGTCCGCTTCGTGGGATAACGCGATCAAAATCTGGGATCCAGCGTCGGGGAGCTGCCTCCAGACCCTAAAAGGCCATAGCGGCGATGTTTACTCAGTGGCATTCTCGCCTGATGGCCAGCGGCTTGCGTCCGGTTCGGACGACCACACGATCAAGATCTGGGATCCAGCGTCGGGGAGCTGCCTCCAGACCCTAAAAGGCCATAGCGGCGATGTTTACTCAGTGGCATTCTCGCCTGATGGCCAGCGGCTTGCGTCCGCGTCCGGTTCGTGGGATAAAACGATCAAGATCTGGGATCCGGCGTCGGGGAGCTGCCTCCAGACCCTAAAAGGCCATCGCGGCTTCGTTTCCTCAGTGGCATTCTCGCCTGATGGCCAGCGGCTTGCGTCCAGTTCGGGGGACTACACGATCAAGATCTGGGATCCAGCGTCGGGGAGGCATGACCAGCAGCTTTTGGGCGGTTCGGACGACCACACGATCAAGATCTGGGATCCAGCGTCGGGGAGGTGCCTCCAGACCCTAAAAGGCCATAGCAGTTCCGTTCGCTCAGTGGCATTCTCGCCTGATGGCCAGCGGCTTGCGTCCGCGTCCGGTTCGGACGACCCGGACGACCACACGATCAAGATCTGGGATCCGGCGTCGGGGAGCTGCCTCCAGACCCTAAAAGGCCATAGCAGTTCCGTTCGCTCAGTGGCATTCTCGCCTGATGGCCAGCGGCTTGCGTCCGGTTCGGACGATCACACGATCAAGATCTGGGATCCGGCGTCGGGGAGCTGCCTCCAGACCCTAAAAGGCCATAGCAGTTACGTTGACTCAGTGGCATTCTCGCCTGATGGCCAGCGGCTTGCGTCCGGTTCGGACGACCACACGATCAAGATCTGGGATCCGGCGTCGGGGAGCTGCCTCCAGACCCTTAATACTAGTACTAGCATGACCCATATATCGTTTGATGATACTAATCCCTACCTACGTACCAACGTTGGACGTATTAAAATAGTTATAGAAACTACCGAAAGCCAAGTTGTACTAGATAATCCAGAGAGCCATGGCTATGGCTTGGAACAGGATAGTTCTTGGATTACTTGCAACGGCCAAAACGTACTCTGGCTGCCACCAAATTACCGACCGTCTAGTTGTGACCTCCAGGAACGGATGATATCCATCGGCAGCGTATCGGGACTGGTTTGGTTTATTGGCTTCTCGCAAGACATATAATGTATTCCATATCTTTCTCAATTCCTTTCTCTCTATTTTATCTTTCTAGCGTGCCACCAGAAGGGTCTGGGAGGATAGGCAAATTTATAGGAATTTTGTAAATTCTGGTAACCTTCTACCATTGTCAAGATGACGTATTCCATTACGAAGAAGCAAGACTATTCCATCCCTTGACTCTCCTTTTGCAGGTGCCTGTGCGGTCCAGATGCCACGGGATTAACCCGTGACTGCCCAGTCATGGCCAAGGTTGGTACAATGGTAGAAGCCTCGATTCTCCTCGATCGGATAAGTGGTCTCTTCCTTGGTGGTGCTTGGGTGAGCCAACACACTTGCAGTAGCTTCGTCACAGCTACATGGTCTTGGTTTGGATGCAGGGAATCGCGGCTTAACCTGTGGCTTTATACCACTGACTAGGTGTTGAAGGTACTCAAGACTTTCCTTCATACTAGTAATTTCGCTTGTATGAGCGATGAAATGATACTCCTCTTTCTGGATCAACCATGCTGGATGATGAGAAGAAGCTCACAGTTTTGTGAATGGTTATCACTCCATTGCGGCATTTCCAACTCAGAATTCCACCTGCGGCTTTGAACTTGGTTGTGATAACCCAGAATAGGGCAACGAGTTCTACAACTTTACGCCCCTGCCGCTGAAGGATGAAGACGAAGATTTGAAAAGTCTAATACTAAGATAGAGGAGCTCCAACCCATTGGCAGGTAGCTCCGTCCTCGCAAGGTCCCTGGTCAAAGTACAATCAATGGAAAATGTCACGAGGCGCAGGCAAGCACTAAGATAGGACTTTGATTGTTGTGCGAGGAACAGGAAGAGAATACTGTGCACGCAGAACAGGCAATGCCTGTAACACCCTGTCCAGCTTATCCAACAAGCTCCTACAGCCCTAGTATTACAGCTAGAATCCGAAAGTGCATGCGGCCTAGCAGAGGCTGTACTAAGAAGATCTGATGTTGAGAATCCAAGAGAACGCTATACCCCGCGTTGATGATTGCTCTCATCTCCAAGCAACCACGTGCATGTTGCCTACTAAGAGCTTGGGCAACACCAGCGTCACAGCGCTAGCGGATCGCTTTCCCCCCAGGCTATGTTCCAAAAGGATACAAGTGAACAAAGCTGTCAGTTCTGGTCACCAAGCAATATCATATAGTTGTGAGGCATGCTATTCCGTCACAACGAGGGTGTGACGCGCCGTTACTAGCACAGAAGTATAGATGTCCGCGGTCGGATTCCCCATCTTCATTCATGTTATCATAACTTCACCAGGCCGGGTCGCAAGTTTTTTAACAGAACAATCCTTACTTTTGACTGATCGTATCTCTTTACCCCTATCTAATCATTCTCTATTCCCCAGAGCAATAGTGCGGGTGAAGAATCTCAGCGATGTGGCGGAAGGGAAAAAACGCCCGAATAGTGACACCAGATGATTAGCCCGCCGTTTGCATTCGAGCAAACCTCTCCCAAACCTCTGTCATCGCGTCTTTTTCTTGGATGAATGAAGCACAGAAAAGGGTAAATTCAAGATGTCCACGTTCTCATCTCATCCTCCTGATCTTCCAACACAAAATGCAGTCACATCTTTTTAAGGGCCCTTTTTTGAACATTCAACCTCTTTCACCTTCAAATAACTTTGACTCGAACACGAGAAAGTGAAGGCTTTCATCAACGTCGCACCGCGCCCTTTCTTATTTTTATTCGAAAGCATCGCTTCTAGGCATTTACTTTGCAGACAATTACACCTTCAGATCTCACGCAGTCCACGTCTTCTCGCCCACATACGGCAACGGGAACCGACGGCTGACACCTTCGGAAAAAAAAGAGTCAATCAGAATATCCTCAAAATGGACTCACCTCCTACCAAGGAGGCCTCCTCCATTGATACCATTACCAACAGCCCGACGCCATCGACCACGGCAACCAACCTTCACTCAACCACGTCAAAGCCAGATCCCAAACGCACCTTGTCCGACACAGAACCGACCACCTGCCCATCATTACCATCATCATCTCCCCTCGTCACACCAACCACAGATACAGATAGCACAGCACCCAGCACCGCCTCAGCAACCACCCCACCGAGCACCCTAGAGGCCACGTCCAGCCCTACCGCTCACTTGTCTTCCATGATCGAGTCGAAACAGCCCACCACATCCGCCATTCCTGCCGACTCACTTTCCACAGACACCCAAAGCACCACAATCTCCAAGCCAAAGATCATCATCCTCCACCACGACACCATTCTTGACGGCCGCCACATCATCACTCGCACAATCCAGAACTGTTTCGCCGCCATTCTCGGCCCAAACGTCCCGCAACCAAGTGAAGCCGCGATTCTTAACGCTTTTGCTCATAATGTTACGCTTGGCGAAGCTCTTGGTCAGCTTGGTGCTTTTAAGACTTCCGGCGGCAAGCCGGCTGCTTCCTCTTCTGCTGGAGGAGGAGGTGGTGCTGCTGCTACTACTGCTGCTGTTGCTGCAGCGAACTCTGACGCTACTACCAAATCAGATGCCAAAGGCAAAGGCAAAGCTAAAGCCATAGACCAAGACCCGAGCACACCCACACAGACACAGGAGGAACAACAGTACGACTACCAACACACAATCGCCCTCTGGACCCAAGCCTACCTCCACTACACCCACGAATTCCTCTCCGAGTTCGACATCTACTCCGATCTCGAGCCCTTCGCCAAGCAGATGAGGCAGCAGGGCGTTACCGTGGTTATTCTCATTGCCGGGGATGGCTTCGAACCTTCTTCACCCGAGCAGACCTCAAGCAAAGACGGAGACAAAGATGGGAAGAAGAAGACGCCAGCGAAGGCAGTAAAGGGAGTAAAGATAATCCAAGAGCTGATGAAACGCATGGGCGTCACTGCCGCTGGTAAGGGAGCGAGGGGGTATCAGGGTTTGGGTAGAGGTACCTCTAGACAGGCAGATGGAGGCGGAGGCGCGGGGACAGTGGTGATGGATGGTATCTACGCTTGTGGTATTGAGGGGGAGAGGGTTGCGAGGGTTTGGAGGGCGGAGATTTTGCCTTTAGTAGTTCCTTCTGATGCCGTTCCGAAGGGAGCTGTTAACAGTGACGGCAAACTCAGCAAGAAAGTCAAGGCCGACACGGGTACAGCGACGACCGATCCCCCAGTAATGCAAAAAGATGAGGTCCTGTTCGCGTGCTGCTCCAAGCAGTACCTTAGCCTGGCAAGGGCCATCGGAGCAACAGCCTGTTGGGTGGCCAGGTATGAGAACAAGGCGGCGGCCGAACAGCAGGCGGATATTGTTGTGGACGACCTGGAGAAGCTGGGTCAAGTTATCGTTGGCGAGTCGAACGGGAAGGGAGAGGAGGCTGTGGTGGATGCCAGACACAGCGGCGAGAAAAGCAAAATCAGTACCGCCGAGACGAAGGGACAGACGCCGAAGAACGGAAAAGCAACGCTCGAAACGGAGGATATCGAGATGCCGGACGCTGACCACAACGATGAAGCTGTATTGGCTCAAGGAACCAAAGGCAGAAATGACGATGGAGGTGAGCAAAAGAGCGAACGCAAACTGGCTTCGCCTAAGGCAATGAAAGCCATCAAGACCGAGCCTACCGAAGACGCTGCCGTGGCTATCATCGCCAACCAAAAGGGTCCTACCGGCAAGAAGAGAGCGAGGGATGATTTGGACGAGTGGCTGCCGGTAAAAATGGGAGGGGAAGAGGTTCCGTGTGTGGATCTGACGGAGGAACCTTGAGGGTTGACTTAAGGTTGAGTCATTCAAGAACCGTGAATGACATGAGAGGGACGCCTATGGAGATGATGGGATGCAGACGCTAGAGAAACAAATTATAGCTGCCCAATGTCCTCGAAAGGGCCCTTCCAGAAGCGTGGGCTCAGTTCTAGCAAAGACAGAGCAAGAAAAGCAAAAGGGGCAAACAATCCAAGAAGCTCTCGGACTTACATGGCAGTGATGAACTGGTAGACGGCAGGTAACAAGTTATATGATAGGGACATTGGTGAGGTGGGAAAGAGATGCGAAGTTGCCGTACGTCATTCCGTCTCCATCCACGAAAAGGGGGCAGCCATTATCGAAAAAGGGAGTAAACCTGCTCAACTTAAACAACCTCAAGCCGACGACCATGTGCAAGAGTGGGCAGTGAAGGACAATAGATAGATGAGAACCAACAGAAACCAAAAACTTGCCATTACTATGCTACCCATGATGCAATTATTTCTTCGCCTTCGCCTTCCTCTTGACCGAGTTGATCAGACCATCGATATCCGCATCGTCAGTCTTGACCTTCTTAGCGCTCTTCTCACTCTTCTCGCTCTTCTCCGTGACACTAGGACCATTCTTGCGTTTCTTCCTTCCCTCTTCAAGCAGCTTCTTCATACCCTGAGTAGCCTTGAACTTGGGGTTAGAAGGATCGATAGCGAACTCGTGGCTCTCGAAGACGGCCTTGAAACGGGGATCTTCGACGTCCATGGCGAACTCCTCCTGGAGACCATCGTTGCCCTCAACACCCTTCTTGCCCTTCTTGCCCTTCTTCTTGCCCTTGACCTTCTCGACCTTGGCAATCTGCTTCATGTCGAAGTGATCGAGACGGCCACCATCACCGTTCTCATCAGCCATGAGCAGCTCCAGCTGTGCCTTTTCGGCGGCGTTGGCAGCCTCCTCAGCTTCCCTCTCGGCCTTCTTCTTGAGCCTCTCCTCCTTGCGGATCGCCGTCTTGGAAGGCGCCACAGGCTCCGCGGTGAAGAAGGGATCGTTGAAACCGAGATCTTCGCCTTCGCCTTCGCCTTGCTCTTCCTCCTGCTGAGGAGCGGCATTAGGATCGCGTCCTTCCCTCCTAGCAAGCATCTCCTGCCTCTTCCTCTCCTTCCTCTCGCGCTCCTTGCGCTTGTACTTTTCGATCGTTGTCTCCTCTCTCTCCTCATCTCCCTTCTTCTTGTCGTTGGCGGAAAGCGCTGGCGTGAATGTGATTTGCATCTCGCCCACCGGAGCATCCTTCTTCGACTTTACTACGGGCTCGTCAGCAAGGCCGAGAGCTGCGCGCATCTTGCGCCTGGCAAGCTCCTTCTTTGACAAAGTCTTCTCCTCTTCTGCTTCTTCGGCGGCGGCGGCCTCCTCGGCCTTGAATTCCTCCTCCTCCTCGTTGTCTGAGCTGTCGCTCGCAAGGTAAGCGCGCAGGTCGTTCTCGGCAATGTCGTTGCGGCTACCGGTGAACGCCTTGTTGAGAGCTTCTTTCCTCGCGTAATCTTCAGGGTTCATATCCCAGGTAAGCTTGACCTTGGAATGCTGAAGAGCATCGGTCACGAACTCCACCGGCTTGTACCCTGCGGGGACGCTGTCGCACTCGTCTCTGGGCTCGTCGTCGAAGGTGACATCGTCGGGGATAAATCGCAGGTCGAGGAAGTTGGAAGAGGAGAGGTATTCGTTGCCGTCTGTCGCCTCGTAGATCTTGTGTGCTGTGTTCTTGTCGGAGCAAACCATTACGGCGTAGTAGTAACGTAACCTGTCGAGCTGGTAAGTGCGGAGGGCGTCACTGTCGAAGTCCTGGTCGTTTCCTTCCTCGAGAAGCTCCTTCTTGATGGCCTCGTCTGAGTCTGAGTCCTCGGAGTCGCTGTCGGAATCGGAGTCTGAGTCGTTCTTCTTCTTGAAGATCTCCTGGGGAGGACCTTCCAGCTCTTCTCTTTGCATCCTCTGCTTGCCGAACTCGCTGGGGTAGACGGAAACCTTCTCGATGCGACCGCCTGGGGGCACAAAGCTCGAGAAGAGGGCGAATAGGTCGATCGACTTGATATGGTCCCAATCAATGTTGACGATGGCAACTCTGTTTGTAATTTCACCTTCCTCCACAGCCTCCTTATCCTTGCGCAAGTGGATACCGGGTCGTGTTTCCGCATCGGCCTCGTCCTCGGCCTCTAGCTGTTCGTCTTCGGAATCTGAGTCGTCGGAGTCGGAGTCGTCATCGGATGAAGAGAAACCGCCGCCACGGGCAGGGTCGTATGAATTGGCAGCCTCGAGTTCGCGCTGGACAATGTCGTCGTCCTCGACCTCAAAGTCGCTCTCGTCTTCCGCGTCGGCCTTCTTGTCCTTCTTTTCCTTCTTGGGCTTCTCCTTGTCCTCGTTGTCTGTGTCGTCCTCGCTCTCGTCTTCGTACAGCCGCTCCAGAGCCTTCTTCTTGGTGTCGGTCTTTAGCTTGCGGCCGTACCTGTCGACCTTTGCGACGGCGGTGAACTCTGCATCTTTGAGGACCTTGGAGAAACGCTTGTCGAGCTTGGTCTTCAGGTTCTTTTTCGAGGGCAGCTGGAATCGCGGGTCTGTCTCGAAACTGGCAAAACGAGCGTCGGTGATAGCAGGGGCGCTATCGCGCTTCCTGGGCTTGTTGTCTTTGGGCATGGTGGATGTGGAGTTGATGTTTGATGCGATCCAAAATGGAGGATCCGACGGCAGCAAGGAAACTCCAAATTCGACATGTGCACAGCACGCAAAAGGTCCGAGAAATTTTTAGTGGAGCATTTTTCATTCTGCCAAAGGCGGTCTGCAAGCAGATGTCAATGTTCCCCACCGTAAACGCCAAGTCCTGAGCTAAAGCAGATCGATCCACTTCCCCGCATTGGTGGCATGCAGCTAAAGGCCCGCTAAAACTCCGCTAAAGTCCACTGACGCCGACTACGTCGGAATGTTCAACCTCGAAACTCCAAAACGCCATCATCCAGAAATCGACAATGTCCTCGTCCATCCACTTCCATCCAAGTCCTCAAATCCGGGTATCAATCCAACGTATAATCCTGTCATGTTCCGGCCGTCCTTCAACTTATGACCAGAGAGCTCTCATTCGACGTCACCTGCGATTGGCCATCCAGTCCCGTCCGCTGTCGCCGGTCTTCGAATCTGGATCTCCACTCGTTAGGACAATCGATATCGCATGAAATGACGGTGTTCTCGGATTGAGCACCTACCGAACAAGTTACGCAATTTTCAGTTCTTTAGCTGTTCCAGTGCCACATCATTGCGCCCAACGTAAGGACCCCAACAAGCATCAAGAGCGCCACGAGCATCGCGCCAGCCTTGTTCTCTGCCTTGACGTCCTCGTCTTGGTCTGAGGGAATGAGTCGTGAGTAGCTGTCCAGATTCATGGTTGATATATATCGTGGATCAGGCCAACAGTGCCGCGTTATAAGATGGATTGTTAACGATGTGTCTGGGACGTGCGATTCGGAGATATGAAACCAAGTGGTTAATGAGGGTTGGATGGCGAGTCTCAAAGATGAAGAGCGTCCCACGAGACTTATAATTGTTCTTCTGGTTCCGATCTGAGGAAGAATGCGCCGCTATTCGTTACTTCACCCACCATTCCACAACTTCCGGACCGAGTCAGCTGCTCTTTGTTTGCGCTGAACCAGGAAAGAGATCCTTGGGTGGTCAGGCGGGGTTACCCAGGCGAGAGTCAACAACAAGGCGTAAGGCGTCGAATGGCGTGCAAGGGCTCCCGACAGCTTGGGCAATGCCATCCCTGGGACTGAGCTCCGGACTGCCTCTCGGTGTCGCCTACTCCGCGTGCCTTGTCAACTCAACCCCGGAATGCCCTCAATCAGATGTCAATGATTTTCTTGGCATTTCACAAGTGAAGCGTCAACATCCCTGCATCACGCGAGACACCGAGCACGCCTCACTCCGTCAACAGAGTGGATCACGGAGTCCGGAGTTGGGTGTTTGTACTTACCCTGCCCGGCTGTTTGTGATGCGGCATTGACTCTTTAAGTCATCAACGACATCCGAGACCTGTGCCAATCACATTCCCGGCCGTGCCGATGCTGCTTGCCTCCCGGCCGACCTCCCGTGAGCGGCTATACCCGAGAGTCATTACGTACTCCCGGGAACTGGAGCCGGCAGAGGACGGTTGAATCTTGCGTTTACGCTGCAGGTACCATCTTCACTCACGTACCAACGAGAACTGTTTGCATTACGCCGCCGACACCTCAGAAGTCTGCAACCTACTTTTACCTGGTCCGAAAGATCTCTGATGGCTTTCTTGCAAACAACGGAGACCTCCGTTCTGTCTTTTTTTTTGTTCTCGATTTCTGCCGGCCTTTCGACGTTCTAGCTGGCTAATTCATCGTCATTGCTCGAAATAGCTGCTTTCTTACGGTAAATCCTGTAATTAAGGCACCTGGTTGATGACCCGGCCTACAAAAAACTGAAGAATGTGAGATATTCCGCCCAGGAAAGTTTCTTGGGCTAGACTACCCTCATCGAACCTCTCGGTCGCCAACCACAGATTGAACATTTATTTTCCGACTTTGAATCGTCTCTTGCCGTGTGCCCACATCAAAAGCTGAGTGGCGATGGACTCGAGGAAACTTTTCCAGATGGTACAACACAACATCCATTCCCCTCTTCCCTTCCTATGCCCACATCTCTTAAGCTTTGTCTTGTGTCATAAGGCCAATGAGTACCCCAAGTACAATGACACGATGGCCTGCACGCTCAGCCTGTCTGGCACGATGGCATTGGCCGGTATAGTGGCTTTAACCCTAATTCCGACCACTTCCCCATTTTTAATGGTATTGGTCGCCACTGGGTTCAAACTATGTCAGTCAATTCACTCTTTTGGAGCCACGTCCAGTCAGGCTGATAGCCATCAGGCAACATTTCCATCACAGCCCTTTAAGTCATTGGGGTTTTGGATGTTAACCGGTAGTGGCTTTACCTCTGCGCAAAACCCAGGGACGTACTCGTCTAGGCCAGAAGCGCCTTGCGCCTTCAAAAGGCGACAAGTAGTGGCAGGACGCAGGGATGCAAGGAGATGGAACGGTCGTGGAGGCGGTTTGATTTTTCTTGTTTCTTCTTGTTCCTGTCCAGCGTGGACACCTTGCTGAGCGGCCATTCAGGCCTCCCCGGAGACCCAAAATCCAACAGCACTCATGACGTTGATCGAAACAAAAAAGCCGTTTGCCTTTGCAAGCAACCGAATGTTTCTCCGTGAAGTCATCAGTCGAGCATCCCAACGGAAAAAAACAAGGTGATGCTTCTGCATCAGGCTCCTGTAGGGAAAGATGCGGAACATGGTCGAAGAAGTTGAAATACTATAAGATATCTTTTTGTTTCCAGTTTTCAAATCCTGAGTTTACAACAACATCATCATCGACATTCCTGTCCCATCTTGCTCTTCTACGATTACAGTACCCTGAACCACAGAACAGCCCTGTACCATGGTATTTTGTATTCTTCATCCTCTCTCCTGCTAGTGCCAAAGGTGAATCTACTCCCAAGGTTCCTTGGACCTCCCTTGCGCAGGTTGCTGGGATTGCGGTCATCGCTTCCCCTGCGATACTTACCGCACCTGCGATTGCTGGACTGGGCACAGTAGGATTTGGTGCTGCTGGTCCTGTCGCTGGTCGGTGATTCCACAATAGGTACCATGTGCAGAGGCATGGTGTGGTGTCATCACTACCACTGCCTTGGTCGAATGGAGCAAGTGCTGATCTTACCTCTACTCAGGAACTATTGCAACGATGGCCCAGTCCTCGATTGGAAGTGTTGTCGCCGGCAGTCCCTTTGCTATCGCTCAGGGTGCAGCAGTGGGCGGATATGGCGTTGGGGTCCTGAATGGAATTGCCCAAGGCGCTGGATTGGCTGTTACGGGACTCTCCACTCTGAACAGCTTGGTGTCAGATTGTGGAAAGGACAAGGACCAGGAGAAGAAGAGAAAGGACCAGGAGAAGAAGAGAAAGGACCAGGAGAAGAAGAGAAAGGACTAGACGAGTGTCATGCGGCTTTACGTGCGGGTTTGGTGATCAATATTTACCTTGATCTATATGGCACAGATCATAGAGCCGTTGCCGCAGTGTTCGGTCCCTACATTTGCTATCACTAACTTGTCGTTATCCTGTTTATTGCCTATTTCTCTTGGGGCGTATGCTTTTCCAGCAGATTTGGTGATGGACGTAACCAAACCAGCGTGCGGTTTCTCGTCGCTTAGATCTGATCGTGTTGTGTGATCTTCAGAAGTAGGTTAAATTCCTGGACTTCTACACGTGTGGGCTCTCGGTTTATCCGGCAACTTGCATCCGACTGTATCGGATCATGACCTTGCATTCATTGAATCGGGGCTCTTCTTCGTTTGCGCATTACAACCATGATGGAATGAGGCCTTCGAAAGGTTGAAGAGGTAAGTTGTATACCCAGGCCTGCAAACGACTAAACGCACCAGACAGTCTCCCAACATTTTGGCAGGTCTTTCGCGTTTCCGTTGATGAAGTCATCGACTCTGTCCAAGGATGACAGAATAATTCTTTGATCTTCCAGTAACCGATCTTGTTTGTGAAGGCCATGATCTGAATGTCTTGGATTGCGTTGAAAGCCTCTAGCTACATGTCATTTCTGTATAGGAAGACACCGACTGTGGCAGAGAAACTGGCTCTCTATAAAACCCACCCAGTGCTCGGGTTTTCAAGCTTTGAGAGGAGCACATATCAACACTTACTTCAACTTCACCAATTCATCCTGCCCTTTTGAAGCACGAAGAGCCTACAACACTGAACGCTGAAAGGATCTTTAACATGGTACACTGCGAACTCTTCACTCCCTTTCCTGCTTGTGCCAGAGCTGACAATGTCCAAAAGATTCCTTTGATTCCTGTCGTCGCCGGGCTAGCCGCTGTCGCTGTGCCTGCGATAGTTACCGCACCCATTCTTGCCGCACTGGGATTTGGTGCCGCTGGACCTGTCGCTGGTCAGTCTCTCGCCTCCATTCTCCATGTATGATGAGTATACTGTTCTAGGTTTTATTTCACACAATACCATGTCTCAATGTACACCTGCCGCGTTCACTCATGTCTTGTTCTTCGATGAACAAATGCTGATATGAACCAGGAACTGCCGCAGCCGCAGCTCATGCCGCACTTGGCAATGTTGTTGCTGGAAGTGCCTTTTCTATTGCTCAGAGTGCTGCGATGGGTGGATACGGTGCCGCAATTGTCAACGGAGCTGTCCAAGGAGCCGGATTGCTCGTTACTGGGATCTCCAGTGCCGAGTGCTTGATCTCGGGTTGCGGGGAGAACAAGAAATGAGGAGGAAAAAAGACATCATCAGATGAGTGTTGAGCATCTTAACATGCTGGTTCGGAAATAATTATATATAATTACCGCAGTCATTGTCTGTTCTGTCATCTTCATGAGTACATTCTAGGAATACCTCACATTTCACGGTAACTTGCGTCCAGCTCCATCCCGGATCATGACGTTGTGTCCTTCCCCGACGGCTTCGCTCGTTTGCGTGTCCACTTTTATGATGGAACGAGGCCTACAGAAGTCTTTTGGCGATTATATTAGCTCAACGTGAAGACACACTCCCACATCTCCACTCTAGTCATGGTCTAGTACTTCTCGATCCCTACCGTCTCCCTACCGTACTCCTTGATTATTTTTATACCCAGGTGAGCAAAGCATCAGAACGACTTTTCGGGTCGGCATGAATTTGTGAAAAAGCACATGGAATAAACCTATGACTGACCTTTTCCGCCAGGTAACCTTCAACAGTCCTCTTCAAGATGGGCTGCGTTCTATCCATCCTTGGATGGGCTGCCGCTGGCGTCAGGGCCGGTGAGTGCTACCACTTTGCAAGGTCGTGAACACCAAGTGTGTGCTAACGTTTCATGCCGTTGGCCATAGGATCATTCGCGGCCTGGATTCATTCTTTGATTGGGAATGTCATTGCGGGCAGCTGGTTCGCCATCCTCCAAAGTCTCGGAGCAACATGCGCTGGATTCTTCACGATTCTGACAAAAATGGCGGGGTGGGCATTTGGCTTGGGAATGGGAGCAGTGGTGATTGCTTCCGCCCTGTTTGGCTTCTTCAGGGGGTCCGGATAACCGCCACTGTGGTTATAACACTCATGACGGCGACACTTGGGGTCAGATAATGCTGCGACAATCTCAGTCTTAGACTCACTTTGTACCTGCTTTATCACGAAATTTGAACCTGGGCTGTGGCTTGCTACTCATGACATGAGCCTTCTAGCATTTGCCAGAAATCAACGACCGGAAACTTGAGTATCCGCTAGCTGAAGTTTTGACCACAGACATACAGTCCAATACTGGTTTGTTTGTTAGCTCGAGACCTCGGGTCAACTTCCCTAGGCGTTTTCATGCTGTGAATATGCTTTTTCCAAAATAAAATACACCGTATTGGATCTTGTTGATGCCTTTCGGATCCGTACCTAACCATTTATTTAGTCCTTATAAGGTTTGGGACAATTCGGAAGAGATCTCGTCCAGTGTACCAGGAGTAGGTACCAAGCTAACAAAAAAACCAGCACTAGATTGTATTTCATCCTTACCTTTGCACAAAAATCAACACAGTCTCGGCGGACAGCCGTTTATGTCTCCTTGCATAATGCATTCAACCACGGATGGCTCAATCGCTGATTCGTCGGCAAACTGAAAGAACCTTATCATTCACTCCTGCCGGCCTGCTAAATTTGGCTGTGGGCCTCACGCAGCTCTTGACCCCCGGCCCGGCGGCACCCCTCTTCGCGAGCTGAAGTCAAGAACGCAAACGGAAAAACAACAACCACAAACTTTACTGCTTCATCAATCGCCTCAGCCCAAAATCACTGGACTGGTTTTCCCGTTGAACTATCCCGATCTGCAAACACAAAATCCTCCACCATCAGCAGACAACCACCAAAGAGATGGCGTTCTGGGGCCACATCGCCGAATGGGGTGCAAACACCGTTGCCCCCGCCGTGGTTGGTCTAGCGATGAACGCCAAAGAACACGCTGAGCAGGTACGGTAATTTGACGCGACTTCTGGATATGGAAGGGAAATATCCTATCACAATCGCTGACCATAACTTCCAGGTCGGAGGCCAGGCTGCTGAATGGGCAGCTAAGGAAGTTGCTCCTCGTGCTGTCGGTCTTGCGATGGAGGCGCAGAAGCATGCTGAGCAGGTAAGTGCTATACTGTCAGGCTTGAAGGCCTCGCATATCCCTTGTTTAGGGTTCCTGTTAAGCGCCCTGACATATTTCTAATCTCGGATTAGGTGGCGGAATGGGGCTCCAAGGAAGTTGCTCCTCGTGCTGTCGGTCTTGCAATGGAGGCACAAAAGCATGCTGAGCAGGTGGCTCCCGCTGTTGTTGGCCTCGCTATGAACGCTAAACAGCATGCTGAAGAGGTGAGCCCTATTTTGTTCGTGTCGAACCTTGGCTTTTCTAGTCTAATTACTTGATCTGTCAGATATCGGGGCATGTCGCTGAATGGGGCGTTAATGAGGTTGCTCCTCGTGCTGTCGGTCTTGCAATGGAGGCACAGAAGCATGCTGAGCAGGTGGCTCCCGCTGTTGTTGGCCTCGCTATGAACGCTAAACAGCATGCTGAAGAGGTGAGCCCTATTTTGTTCGTGTCGAACCTTGGCTTTTCTAGTCTAATTACTTGATCTGTCAGATATCGGGGCATGTCGCTGAATGGGGCGCCAATGAGGTTGCTCCTCGTGCTGTCGGTCTTGCAATGGAGGCACAGAAGCATGCTGAGCAGGTGGCTCCTGCTGTTGTTGGCCTTGCCATGAACACCAAGGAGCATGCCGAGCAGGTAGGGTTCCTTTCCTTACGACGACATCAACATGGGACACTATCATGTCTCATTCCATTCAGCATCGTTTATTGACTGCTCCCAGATCTCCGGACACGTCGCCCACTGGGGTACCCACCATTTCGTTCCTGCTGCTGCTGGGTTAGCTCACAACGCTGCGGAAGTCGCAAAGAACGCGGAACGGCACTATGAACAGGTATGAGTGACCCCCAATGGTCGATACTTCGTCCCCGACAGAGAGACTGATACCCTGCGGTTTAGGCATCCCCAGCCGAACGAAAGGTGATACGAGGGCTAGTCTCCGTCGGCTTGACTTTGGTCGCTGAAGGCTTTGGCATATCACTTCCCAAGTTACTCATCGGTCCCATTCTCGGTGCTACTGGTTTCGGCACCGGTAAATCTGTGGATGGTCGGGGGATTGAGCTGGGCGCCGGCCAGGCACCCCGGCTCTCGCGGAGTTCGAGATCAGGACGTCCAATCGTGAAATCTTTGGGGCCTGACACTATGGCAACCAAGAAAGAAACGGAAAACGGTGCGTTAGGTGTCTTGGTTACAATTGCACAGAGCGCAATTGTTATTGAAAGCATTGTCGGGTTAATGGCGTGGCTGTTGTGAGTGTACTAGAAGAGGAGTGGTGTGAAGGTTGACAGGTACGATTGCCGTCTTGGCCCTGCCTATCTTCATCACTTCAAGAGGCAGTCGTTAGTTCCTTCCATGGTGATTTCCTGTTCTATCTTCCTCATTTTCCCCTCACCGGTTCTCAGACATCGTCCGAAGGATTATCACTAATCCCTTGTTGGCCCAAAAAGCGACCTCCTCACGCATCTGCACCGCCACTGCACGAATGAGACGGGCCTTTCGCATTATCTACACTGCCTGACAGTTGCCGTCGACGTGCCCTCGCTGTAAGTGCCGGCAAATCTCATCAGGCTACCCCTCACAGCACAACTGGGCTGCAAGTATTTCGTGTTTGTGTGCCCAACCAGGCTTCCCACCGCATCGCAGCCCAGGGGCGTGTTCCAGTTTACTCCCAGTTGATCCGATTCCCATACAAAATCGACCCCTGTTGTTGATATGCAGTAAATATGCAGTTGATCACACTGCATATGGCTCAAAACGGTCGTTCAGGAGCTTGGCACGTACCACGCTAGTTCACCCCCTTGTACGTGGCTTTTCAGCCTGCATGAGGCCCTGGTAACCGCCCAAAGCGGTAATCAGACGGCCCCCAACCTGTTGATCCAACAAAACAGAAAAAAGCTGCTTTTTTGCCGTTGATCGATAATTTCTCCACCATTTTTTGCTGCACCTCTTCGCGGCTTGAACCACCGATAGTTTGAACCCATGGCTATCGAATGCAGCCCTTTTTTTTTTCCAGTTCTGAATACCTTCAAATATCCACCAAATCGAGCTCAAAGTTCCGACCCTGGTAGTGCCAAGGCCTTGGCAAAAGGCTTTGCCCAGGTACAAGACCCCCCTTGTCAAAGCCTGCATATTTTGCTTTGTACACGGATCAACAACTTCGATCAACTGTTGGTAAACTGGAACACGCCCCAGAACCATCAACCGCCCTTCGGCCAAATTGTCCTCAAATGTTCTCCAGTAACCCGATACCCTAGGGGAGCACAAGTTTATTTCCATGTGTACCCGCGATAGCTAGGCAAGATGGACACCAAACTACCCAAAGCTCTCCGGAATTATTCCGAGACGCTCTTGGCGATGTTCAACCACGTGGTGAACCATTCGGAGCTGGTGTGTTCAACCTGCCTTTTGCCTTTGGGTACTCGTTTGATGCGTACGTTCTTGCTAACCGGTTTATCGCAATGCTAGATCCCGTTCGGACCGACCCCTAACGGTATTCCCAACTTGTTGTCAGAGTCCTCCCTAGTTCTACGCACAGAAAGACCAGATGGAAAGTTGGTACGTTACGATAAGCGGATGCTGTATTGTAATTTTCCTCCCATTTGACTGATGATTCTCATGGTACCAGATTCCAATAATACCTCTATTTGGAACTGGCCCGGTATGGTTCTTGGCTTTTTGACATCGTTGGCATGAAGACCGGATATCATGGAGCAATTCAAGAAGGTCCGTGGCATATTCTATAGGAATTCTGCATTGCAATTACATTACTGACGTCCTACGGCCTCTCTCTACAGGCTGGGAAATGGGCTGAAGAACACGCTACCTCTTCCATACTCAGTCTATTTCTTATCGGAGGCACACTGTTTGCTCTGGTGTGCCCTGGGCCGGTTTACATGGCATTCCTCGCAGCTTTAGGATTCGGACCTGAAGGCGTAAGAGCACGTAAGTGGACTACCCGTGTCTGTAAGCAAATGTTCCGTGTCCTTGGATGCTAACACGATGTTGATTATTATTAGTCTCCCTCGCAGCTCAAGGCCGATGTCCGAATGGAGTCAAGGAAGACCTCTTTGCTTACCTTTTGAATGCGTCAATGGGTAGATATGGTATGTACCCTTTTTCTACTATATTTCAGTCCGTTGTTGCCGGTGGCACGGGCCGGATCTTCATGTGGCAGTTTCCGAAAGAGCATCTTCCCCTAGTTGCGAAATTGTGACGTTATCGGCCGGTACGTGGCCGGCTTCGTCTCGGCCTCCCGCATGGTCTGCGTTGGCTCAAATATGGGCCCAACTCCACGGCCTCGGGCAGGTCAACTTGTGATTTTCTGGTCATCTTCAATACATGTCCGATCTTTCTTTTCTCAATTTCTTCCTTCCAAATATCTCAAGATTTTCCTTCCTTTACGCAGTAGTTCCAGAAGCCTTTGTAGGTAGCTAGAACACACCCGAAGCACGCGCCTTTTTGCCAGAGTTTGAGATGGAATTCCGGGGTTCTATCGGCGGCATACCGATCGAAGATGCCCGAATGGTAAGTTAGGTAGCGACATGCATTTGGCCTTCCTCGATGCAAACTGGACTAGCCTTACTGACATTTTTATCAGACTTCAGTCGGTATTCCGGAGTGGACGGGACAGGCTTGTCCTCAATGGGGTGCAGCAGTCGCCAAATTTGCGGACAGCACGGAGGAGGTCAGTTTTACCACTTACCAAGATCGAGACACTGATTGAATGAGTTCCATCGCTGACATATTTGACTTCATTCCTCAGTTCTCGCTATCAGTTCACGATGGTGGTTGGGTGTCCCATACTATTCCAATGTCCCCCGAGACACTTTCGAGTGTAATTAGCAAGGCGCCAAAACACACCAACAAGGTGGGCTGTCCTGCTATCTTGGAGTTGAGGTGGGATGAGGAATCACTGTTCACTAACTTAACCCAATTCTAGATATTTTATTATAATACTATAATAAATTATAGATTTATATTAAATAACTATAATAATTTCCTTACAAGAGTAAGAACGTTTCGCTAACCGCAAAAAGTAATTAACTAAAATCTTTAAAATAAAGAATAAGGTTTAATTAAACTTTAAAAATTTTATTCTAGCGCGCCTTAAGAAGAAATTCGATTTAATCTACGCAAAGTATACGGTATTTAAAATTCTTAACCCTTTTATAATAGAATTTTCCGACCTTTCCTTAAAGGTTTTTAATAAATTTTATATAAACCTACTTAAAAGGGCTCGCAATAACCCTCTACTGAGCTAAATTATTACCGATTCTTAACCATTAACTATTATAATAAATAAAGAGAAAAAATACCTTATAAATAAAATGCTCTACTATATAATGAGAAAAAGTCGTAAAATAATTTTAATTAATTAAATTAATTAAGTATAATAATTTTAAGAACCGTTAGAAGAATTCGCTAATACAGTAGCCTTAAACTATTTCGAAATAAAATATAGCTTAACCGATATTAATAATAAACTAATTGAATATTTTAGTATAGAATATACAAAATAATAAAGACGGTAATAAAAAAAGAAAAAAAGAAGGTAATAAATATCGATTTTAAATTTCTTTAATTTTTTTTCGGTATTTTATACTTTTAATTATTCCCAATTTCTATAACCTCCAACTACTTCTCGAATAATTCGAAGCGGGCTATTAATTCTATTATAATAAATTCTTTAAAAGGGAGAGCGGCAGTTAGAGGAACGGCTGGAATAATAAGAATAATAAAAGTCGGAGGAATAGTAGTAACGTTACTGAAGGCCGAAAGGAAATAATTATATTCATATTTAAAAATCTTAATTAATTGAAATTTATTTTTACTAAAATAAATAAAATAAAAGAAACTTATAAAAAGATAGCGCTATTTTTATATAATTTAATAATGTAACGTTAAATAATTATAGTTTTACGGACGTACCCGCAGGCCTTCGTCTTTTCCTTACTAAAAATCGCCGCTTCTTAAATCGTAATAAACCTCTAAATTAAGGATAAAGCCTAGTTATACCGTTTACCGTCATTATAATAAACTATATACGCCCGGTTTCCAGGCTTAATATAATATTCGTATAGGATATTCAAGTACAAAATATATAAAACTTCAAAAAAATTATAATCCGCTTAAAAAATAAATAGAATTAATAATAATTTCTTAAAACAAGAATAATAAGGAAACCTTACTAATAAATATTTAAATTTAATAAATTTAAAATTCTTAAGGGTAGCAATGGGGTTTTTAGTACGCCCGTAATAGGTAGCGGCCTCTTAGGAAAGGGATTAGGAACCGCGTAACAATAGCGAAAATAGAGCTTCGCTCTTAAACGGCTAGGACGGGGATAGAAATAACTCGGACAATTAAACGAAGTATTTACCTTAATTAAGAAGGGTAAGCAAAAACTTAATTAGGGGATAATAATATTTACTTTAGTAATTTAAATGACGGTTAAAAAAAAAAAAAAGGAAAAAAAGAAGGAAAAGAAATCGGGGGAGGGGTTTTTATATATAATTCTAAAAGTATATATATACGTACGCTATTACTTATTACTTACTACCTTCGTCGGTCGAAATAGAAGGAGCGAACGCGTAGAAGGGTAGGAGGAAGGAAGAGGGGGGTAATATTATAGGGTTAAAGCCCGGACTATAGCGCTCTAATTATCAACTAAAGCTATTATAAAGCGCCGTAACTATATTTATACAGCCCATATCAAAACCTCGTATTTCCGGTAGAGCCGCCTTTCAAATAGAATTTTCCTTCTTTATAGAACCTCAATTAAATTATACAACTAGCACCTATATTGACCATGCTATCCCCATTATAATTAGTACTATAAGAGAAGGAGGTATATTAATTAATATTTTAATTAGTATATAGGGTAGCCAGCGTAATATACGTATTATTAGTATATAAGGCTAATAGATGAGGCTTGGGAGGCTTGCTAATAATTAAATTATTCGATTATATAATAAATATTAAATAAATTAATAATATATAAATTAATATAGATTAAGTACGATTAATTAATTAAGTACGATTCAGTGAAATATACGATTGTGCCGTTAATTACCCTATAAGTACCTTGTAAAGTACTTTGTAAAATGACCTATATGAGGGTGTATATTTGGGTGGGGTATTTTAGTCTGGGCAAATGCTTGAAATATTAAAATGCCTAGATTTCTAAGCGAAATTTATAAAAGAATATATCGAATATGTTGGGCCTTACGAGGGTTAGGGATATGTGTGAGGAAAAAAGTGGATCCCCGTGCGAATAGAGTTTTATCCCCGTGCGAATAGAGTTTCTTATATTTTTACTCTATTAATTTAATTAAAATTTCAGGTCCCGGGTAACTAAATCGAAGATACTAGCGAAGGGGCTCGCCCTTTTAGGGCTTGCGCTTAATATAATTTATATACTGTATAGTAAAAGAAGATTCATTAATATTATTCTACAAAAAAAGAATATATTCAAAATGAATCATTTATATTTAAAAAGGATATAATAAATAAGAGAGTCTATAAAGCGGGAGCTTAAGCAATTATTCTTATAATCCTAATAAATTTATTTATTTTAAAAATATTTTAAAGAAACGAGGTTATAAACTATACCCAGTATTAGAGCGATGTTAGGGAATTAGAGCTCTCTATTTCCATCGTTGTTCTAAGTTATAATTATAATAGTATTATACCCCTTTATAAGAATCCGCTTATTTCCCGCCTATATATAATTATTAATATTTAGAAGAATAAAATCTTTGAAGCGATTAATTTTATTAAAAATATATATTATTGTACTTAAATTAAAGACTATAGAATTCTTTAATAGGTATACGGCGTTATATTTCGCTACAAGTATTAAAAAAATTACTCTTATTTACCCGGCGACTATAGAATTAATTATTTTAATCCTTATTATTCTATTACGTTCGTAAATAATTAACAGCCTCTTTAAATATTTTATCCTTTTTTAAATTAATATACGCGTACTTTTTAATTGTAGGACTTTCGATTTAACTTTTATAAGCTAACTATAATTTAGCGTAGTAATATTTATTTAAATTATAGGCCGGCTACTTATAGAGCTTATATAGGGATTGATACGGTCGTTTATTTATTAATAAGAACGAGGAGGAAGTACGCTTATTTTTATTAATATTTTTCCTAAATTTATTATTCTTATTTATAGCCTCTCCCTATCCCTCTACCTCCGGGCTAAAGTTTTATTCGTTGTTAGGAACGTCTTCCTTAGCGGGCTTACTACCTAACGTAACCGCGAATATAATACCTTTAAATAGAGGGGCGTAACCCTTTTCCTAAATAATATTCGCTATTATTACTTTACGAAAGTCTTTAATTATAGTACAGAAAAAGATTTTAAAATTAAAGTTTCTCTCGATCTCCTTAGTATACTAAAATTAATAATTATTTACCAGTCCTGCCCCGGTAGCAATTCATAGGTTGTTTTTATCTACCTACCTCTACCTGGTAGGTAGGTATCTAGATGTATCTTACACAATCACTTGTGATGAGTAACCCGACTCTCTCACCGACAACATCGAAAATTAATCCACGGACAAACATTTTTGCACCAAAACTACGTATGATACCCACTACCATGCTTCCTCCAGAGACTCTTCTCAATCTTCGCATTCCCAGATTTGGCCTTTGGCCTTATATGAAGTACGTTGTACAAATCGGGCGTTGCGAATGCAACTAGTCACGGCAACGTCACTTACTAAAAATTGTCTCAATCAACCAAAGTATATTCACCACAGGATACGAAATACATTTCATACCTCACGAAGTTTCATAATGTTGCCATGCGTGGATGGAAAGTTATGAGTAAGTGTGTTTGAAGGGGGTGGGTGCGGGGACATCATAGTCTTATTGTGATCGCCGTGCGATGTGCCAGGTACGCTCCCAGAAGGACTGACCGTCAGATCTGTCAAGCAGATCACCCAACCTGCCGTCTCACAGACCGGTCTGTCAGTCTTGCTGGCACCGCTGTTACGCCTCATCGTTTTGCGTAACGTCCTATATAGGATACTATTGTGACGTCCTCTACCTCCACTCCAATCTTGAGATTTACTCCCTCTCTCTAAGGGCTTGCCTAATCCCCGCCTGGCAGAGAAGACCCCTTGCTACGAGAGAGAAGGGATATAACCATCTGAAAATGGAGGACGAGTACGATGGGAAATGGCTAGGTATTTAAACCAGTGTTACACACAAGCCAAGTCGAGACTAAGTCAAATCAAGTCGGCCATTTAACAGTCAAATCAAGTCGACGAATTTCTAATTCAATTCAAATCAAGCCCAGAAGGCGACTCGACTCGGTTGACTCGGTTATTTCGTCAGACCATAGATTTTTTTCAGAAACATACAATCCCGGGATTTTGAGTACAAATTACTATAGAATATTCGGGTATATATACGTGTACAAATTTCGTATAGTCGCTAGAGCTCGTATGCGTCGTAAATAACCAAAACTTTAGAAAAATTTCGTTGTCATTTTATATAGACAGTCGGTTGCCGGGGCAAAGTGTTAAGGTTTCTTAGGGTAGTCCGATTATGCGAATTCAACGAGTCAAATCAAGTTCGCCTCCTCAACAAGCAAGTCAACCCTCAAAATAGTCAAATCAAATCGAGTCAGACCCCCGAATTGATTTGATTTGGCTTGTGTGTAACACTGATTTAAACTTTGATGAGAATGAAGGAGAGGAAAGGATTTTAATGGAACGGCACAACTGGATGAACGGATTTAAACTGGGCTTCTGATGATTGACTTTGATGGTAGAGGTCGGCAACGGAGATCGTTGTATTTCGGGCTGGGTTGTTGCTTGTATGGCCAGCATAGATCATCACCACCACCACCATCACACACCCACGGTTACCAATCAGCCATTTGGTTCTTCAGTATTCATAGAGAGGGCAACGAAAAGCCCTCATGCAGCCACCTGGACGTTTCCAGCTGAACCCGCGAAGGATACACTGCACAAGACTGAGCGCACCAGACCCTCCTTTAAATCGCAGAGCCGCTGCCCGATCGAGTCGCTATTGAGTTGACCAACTTCCTATAGTTCATGGAGCTTCTAACCGTTTAGTGCATTGCCACTTGGGTTCTTCTTGGACATACCGCTTTACGTTGACTCAGTTCTCCATTACCCATACCCTGGATCAGCATGAACAACCTGAGCGGTCGTCCCTTCCCCAATTTCTATCGCCCTCTTCCCCCTAAGTTCATCCGCGTCTTCGAGCTTGAGCCCGGCGAGTACTCGGACGGCATAGTCGGGCGGCTGGTGCCACAGGCAATAGATGCAGAGCCATACGAGGCCATCTCCTACGTCTGGGGCGACGCGCAAAAGCGGCGCAACATCACCATAGAAGGCTTGACGGTCTCCGTGACAGAGAACTTGCACGGAGCACTGACGGCTTTCCGACACCGACCAGCTGCTGGGAATAACAACGAGCGAGATGCGGGTACGGCACCGGCGAAAAGGCAACCAGTGCGGCGGCTTTGGGCCGACGCCGTGTGCATCAACCAGGAGGACATGCAAGAGCGTATTTCGCAAGTCGAACTCATGTCGCTCGTCTACGCCGGCGCGCGCCGTGTCCTTTCGTGGCTCGGCTGGGAAGAGGGCGAAGAGGCTCGCCGGGACATGCAGGGCGCCATTCGATTCATAAAGGCCTTCATGAAAGACGCACAGGCCGGCCTGCGCGACGCCCGCGTTCTTCTCCTTCACCATGACTTCCAGGCTGACGCCACCGATGACCTCGCTCACTTATCCAAGGACGACCGGCGCCGGTTCAAGGAGCAAGCACGCAAGTGGGAGTCCGTCAAGCTCTTCTTCGAGGTTGAGTACTTTCACCGCGCCTGGATCGTACAGGAACTTGGCCTCGCCCGCGAGGCTCTCTTGATCACGGCCCTGAAGCCCGCTGACAACGGGGTGAGAGCTGATGAGAGGGTTGCTGTCGAGGAGGAGGGCTGGGCATTGGAGATCAGCATTCTCGAATGGCCGCTGATGGGCCGCTTCGTTCGGTTCTTGGACTACAGCGGTGCCTCGCTGGTGACACATCTGGGTCTGATATCGTGGGTCGCTCACCACATCCTGATGGTATGGTCCACCAATGAGGACGGCACGCCTGACTGTGATTTCCTGACTGGTTTGCACTGGACGCGCATCCTGCGCGTAACTGACCCACGGGACCGCATATTCAGTCTGCTTGGTCACCCGATGGCCGTCCTCGACGGCGAGCTTGTAATCCACCCTGACTATACCCGTACGCGCGGTGTGATATACACGAGACTGGCCATCAACTTCATCCGGAAGACGAAAAATCTATACATCGTCAGCCTTGTCGACCACGAGGACGACCCTTCCACAGAGCACTGCGAGTGGGACTGTCAGCACGATGCCAGGATGCCCTCCTGGGTGCCTGACTGGCATAGTATTAACCGGACCACGCCGGTCGACTACCCGATAGCCGCGGCCGTGACCGAAGACGACGATATCAACTTCGAGGGCGGAGTTGACTGCGAGGACGGAACATCGCTTCCACATCTCCTCGTGCGAGGCTGGGTGGTTGATGAGGTCTCTGCCGTGTCACGTCGCATGGAGACGACAGACTTCCCCATCACGCACTTGGCACGAGAGCGGACAAAGCAAAACCCATTCTGGCTCGATCGCGTATGGGAGCTAGTCCGCCCTGCGAAACAGCAAGACGCACTAGCCGTACTGGAATCACTGTCAGTAGCCCTCCCGCTCGGTACGAGGGAAAAGGACGATCCGGTCAGCAAGGTTGGACTGAACCAAATCCTGGAGGAACACCACCGATCGTTTGCCGCCTACGTTCTCGAGTATCACGAACTGCTTCGCGGCGCGTTGTCTGAGGCCGGCCGTGTTAACGAAGACGGGAACAACACATGCAGCTTTTTGCCTGTTCGCTCCGTCTTCGACAGCCTGCCGGCCGACGCGCAGGCTGTGCTCCGGCGGCGCGGAGAAGGCGCCACCGCCGCTGGGTTCCTCGAGTGCATGACGTGGCCGTCCATGTGCCGTCTCGTGTACCGTACGGCATCGGGCCTCGTTGGCATGGGCTCGCGCGTTACGCGGCCAGGGGATCTGGTTTGCCGCATAAGGGGTTCAGCCGTGCTGATGACGTTACGGAGGATCGATGATTCCAGCGCCAGCGAGGTGACTGTGCCAACGACGCACACCGAAATGACTGAATCAATTCGTTGCGCTCATATTGGGCCCACTGTGATACCGGCTCGTATGAAGGAGGGAGTCATCGATGGCGCAGATTTTGGCGAAAAGGCTTGTAACTTCCGAATTGTACAGGCGACAAGGCTGGTGCTGTTCTTGCTGCTTTGTCCAAGTTGAAGCCTTGATCATTATGGACGTCGCCGGTTTCCTTCATTCGTGCTTCGTTCTTGTTGGATGTTGACATCACATTTGTTGTGGCGGTTCACCGGTTGAAAAATGTATAAAACATATTCGCTCAATGTGTGGTTGCCCCTAACAGGAGCGACATCTTTCTCGCCGTAGGTACCTATCAATCAGGTGTGGCTACGCATAACCCCGCCAACAGTAAACAGAATATTTAAACCAAAAACGTTGAAAGAGCTTGCCATCCAATGATCAATGCCGTCGGGCAACTGCGGGCTGCCGACAACTCATCCTTCTATCCCCGCTGGCACCGGGTCCCGTCGGTCCAGTCAACAACCGCTCCCGTCGGGCCTGCGGGCTCCGGCAGGATATGCAGTTGCCAAACAACACCCAACATGGGTGGGGTATCGGGCAGTTGCAATACCACTACAACATCTCGCAGCCCTCCGTGACTTCCTTGACTGCTTGGGTCAAAGTTCACCATCAGTATCCATCCACCATCTCGGGAGGCGCGCAGACAAGACAGCAAGATGGCACCCTGGGATCTCCTTGGCGATATACTTGCTCAAAACGCCGAAAAGGTGATGTCGGTTCGCTCGTCGCCCTGCCTGATCATTCTCTGACTGACTGCGAATGCTCTTCCCAGATTTCGACCGATGCATCGCAGTGGGCAAATAATTTCCTCCCGCAGGCCGGAGCGGCCGTGAGCAACGTAGCAGGCGATGCGAAGAAACACGCCGAACAGGTGAGGACATTTGCCTTCGAGGTTGCTGATAGTTTGACCGGCACACCCGCTAACCAGAGTTCACTTTGACCAGTTCTCGGCAAATGCTGGAGATTGGGTTTCTCAGAACCTTCCCATTGCTGCTGAGACGCTTGCAGATATTCTTGACAATGCAAAGAAGCATGCTGAGCATGTAAGAAATGGCTCCAAACCCTCAAGCCATGCCTGAATGTTGTTTGTTGATGCATTTTGGCATCCAGGTCTCGATTCAGTTGACTTCGAATGTTGTCCCAAAGAAAACCCAAGTTGTTTTGGGCGATGATGGCGAGACTGTTGAATTGGTAGGGTTACCCAAGCTTACAGCTTGAATTAACACCTTCATATATCGGATTGTCTTGTCTAACGAATATCTTGCTTCGTCTAGATCCCGATTACTGTCTCCGACTGGGCAACACATGTCCTCCCTTTGCTTGTTGACACAGGTAAAGAACTTGCGGAGAGCGCCAGATTCGAGTTTGAGAAGGTAAAAACCCAAGGCCCTATATCGCTTGCTCTGTGAAGCTGATCATTTTATCTTTGCAAACTGCAGGCTCAGAAGTGGGCAACAGAACACCCTACTGCCACGGTCTTCATCATACTAGGAGTCGCAGGCCTCATCATCTTGGTTGCTTACCCCGGATTGTTCTACACACCCTTGTTGGACGCATTGGGATTCACTTCGGAAGGAGTAGCTGCAGGTAAGAAGATGGCTCTGTCGTCCGCTCCATGACAGTTCATAGCATACGCTGACACTCTCACCCCGTGTTATCAGACTCACTTGCAGCAGCAATCCATTCCACTATCGGCAACGTCAGTCCGGGAAGCGTCTTTGCGTTTCTTCAAAGCGCTGGTGCGGAAGGCTATGGGGCCGTTGCTCTCGATGCTGCCCTACGGGCAGCTGGGGCCACGATCATGACTGCTGGAGCTGTAGATCTCGCACGCCAGTGGATGGAGGAGAAGTTTAACGGGGATGTTCCTGTGGTTGAAATGGGACTGTAAGGTCTGTAGATACTTACATAGTAGGTACCTCTAGGCTTTGAGTTCCCTCTTGTTCACTTCTGCCAAAGACGGTCTCTTGCAGTTATGACGTTAGAAAGTGCAGTACCTACACAAACCCTTTCAAGTGTTTTCACTTGACACAACACGGTTCCGTTTGCTCGCTGCCAGAGGCCCGGATTTGACCTCCGGGCCTCCTGCGTCCAACTACCGTATCCCGCGGTCATCGGCATTTCACTAGCTCTTGGATCTTTGATCGATTGTCAGATACTCTCTATCCGCCCAAGTTCATTTCCATTTTCTGGAAGCCTCGAAAACAGGTGTTGACATACGTCGACAAGTTCTAAATTCTAGGCATCGTTCATCAACTTCCCGGCAGCACCGGCAGCACCACCCGCCGCCATGGCCGCTCCGATAGCCTGACCAACAGCCGCAATGGCTGTACCCTCAAGACCAACCATTGCCGCGCTCGTGAGGCCGGCAAAGGCACTTCCGGCCGCGACGTTTCCGATGCCGGATTGGATCGCTGCCGCCATGGATCCTGAGCAAATGAACGATGAGTGTCAGTACGCACCCCATTGAGAGAAAGACATAGGTCTTTCTCGAGGTCCTCTTACCTGCTGTGATGCCCGAAGCACCAAAACCGATGGCACCCAGAATTGGTGTCATGAGCAAGCCCGGTGCCGCGAGGATGACGACGCCCGTCACGCCGAGCATGATGTACATCATGACTTCGGGATTCTCTGAAACCCAGTCTTGAGCCTATAATTTAGGTGACAAGGTCAGTTGCGCACTTGGTCGGAGATGGGAAGAAGAGAGGAAAGATAGTGACCTTTTTGACTTGTTCCTTGATGCTCTCACCAAGGTCTCCGGCGGTCTCAACTAGTTTGGGCAGGATGTTGGATGTCCAGTCTGACACTCTCATGGCCATCTAAACGGCAACTGGTCAGCAGGGGGCTCTTAAAGGGTACAAAAAGGACGGAAGACACCATACAAGCGGAAGCTCTTGTTTAGCATCCTGCGCTATGCCAAGAGCCCCTTTCACGTCCTCTGAAATCTCGTTAGTCACGTTGACTATGATCTGTGAACGAAATATTTGTCAGCATGCATGGTAAACCAGCAAGAAGAACGGGCAAGGCCATTTCCTACCGGCTCGGCCTGCTTCAAAGCGTTTCCAACAAGGTCAGAAAACGTTTGAGACATGTTTTTTCTCAACTCGTCAGCCCCTTTGCCAGCTTCCTCCGCCTGCTTCTGCGCATTCTTTCCAAACTCGTCCATTCCCTTGCCAGCCTCTTCAATCTGTTCCTGCGCATTTTGTCCAAACTCGGTCATTTCCTTGCTAGCTTCCTCGAAGCTCTTCCCTGCGTTGTTGGCGAACTCATCGAAACCTTTGCCGGCTTCATCCATCATCTTGCCGAAATCCATCTTTTCTCAGTCAATGGGGGATGGTTGATGGTGAGTGCTAAAGGGTTTGGCAGACAAAAGGGAACGAACGTGGTATTGGGAAGAAAGAAAGAGCCTTTATGGATGATTGGATTGTTTCGTCATTAACACTTTGGGTGAGGAAGTACGCCTCAGTTCCATGCTCGAAGTGGAGATGTTGTAGTAGGCCTCGGTGCAGGAAAAGCAGAGGATGACAAACGCGCAACGCAGGTAGCCCTGGTGCCGCTCGACTTCCGTGGGACTATGTCAAGCCCAAACGGAAAATTGGTATTGACTCAAACTGAATAGTATTGGGAGAGACGTTGAAAAAGCTAAACAGATTGTCTGCCTTCGAAACGCGCTTTGGTGTTGAGTGTCGTGGATATTCTGCACATGCCAGTCGGAAGCAAATTGGAAATCGCCACCCGTCCATGACCTGCATAGAGGCCTACAGCGACAGCACGTCACGCACAGGCGGACCTGGGACGAAAGAGGCAGCTGCAAGATCAGTGCACAGAACGGTCAAAGACCCGCTCCTTCCCTCCTCCCTACCACTCAACGCCTTCCTGTCAACTTTCCACGGCCTGACAACAACATTCATCAACCACTTCAGACCAGACCATTCTTCAACCTCGTTAACTATCGTACTTTTATCAAGATCAAAATGCCAGCGCTGCCTTGGGATGAAGAAGGATGGGATGATCTTTCCCGTGAAGAGAAGCTTGAGAGAGTCAGTTGCACCTTCCGCTAACGTCGTGGCCTTAGTAATGGGAAGTAGCTGACTGAATATCGTCACACTCGTAGCTCAGACAATGGATTACCGAGAACCGCGCCAAAGCTGCAAGTATTGGTCTCAGTGTCGTCGGACTGACGGTTGTCGCTGCCCCTGCGTTGGTCACGGCTCCTGTTGTGGGTGCTTTGGGTCTACTTGGCTTTGGGTCTGGTGGTATAGTAGGAGGTAGGTTGCAAGAGTGTGTATCATCTTTCTCAATGGCTAACAAATAAATAGGGTCATTAGCAGCAGGAGCCCAGGCCATCATTGGGAACGTCGCTGCTGGCAGCTGGTTTGCCTCTCTCACAAGCACCGCAATGGGCGGATACGGACTCGCTGGCCTTACGACTGCCGTTCAGTCAGCCGGAGTGTACACATCAGTGACAGGGCTTATTACTGCCATGCTGAATAGAAATGAAGGTGGAGACGACGATGAAGACGATAGTGACGATACAGATGGAGCCGGGCCCCCAAGCCCAAAGGGGCCCGAGGATGACGGAGACGGGTCTGGTGCGGAAAAGACTCCTCGTGCGAGCCAGGATAAACCGCGAGACAAGGACTTCGACGAAGAGACCACTTTGTTCGATGACTCAGGGGCCTCTGATGAAGAGTCGTTCATACAAGTCCCGGATCCTTCTCCAATCGGCCGGCGGATTATCATAGATCTTTGAGAAGCTTTGCAACTTGGTGTCTAGAGGTACCGAAAACCCAAAAGCTGCACATTGTCCATTTAGAAGGACGTTGACCATAGCATCACTGATGGTACATGGATACAGGAGGCCCAAAAAGTTCCGAAGAGAACGTGAAATCCACGAATGCAAATGTCCTGCAGGGAGCCTTTACCAAACGCGCTTGTCCAACGGCGGCAGGAAATGTACCTCTATGAGTGGCTTTTCCCCAGTCCATCATCGAAGTTATTTATCTATAAAGCAGTGTCGTCCTCTTCCCGATTTTCAGCCCCCGTATTTGCTTCCTCCACTTTCTTTGGTCTCTGTCTCGACTGTCGCTGTTCAAGATCTTTGCTACCACTTCCATTCCTTATCGTCCGCATCGCCAAGATGACTCGAAAAGGATACTACACCCGTTGTTCCTGTCCGGCAGGAAAGCTTTCAGCACCGGGGGTACCAGAATTTCTGGTTACTCATATTCATCTCCCACCTCAGGACAAGTCGAGCGACTCCTCGCCTCCGCATCGTGCTGATATGACGCGGCAGAACCCCGGTGTACCATGTCAATGCTCGACCGGACGTACCCGTCTCCCTGGACGGCCCGACATAATCGGTCTCCATTTCCATGGCTTGTCTCCGACGAACACGGGGGATCGTGAGGCTTCAACTTTGGCTGAGGACGCCGCGAACTTCAACAAACGTGATGAGGGAGATATATGGTGGGCTGGAAAAGGAACACAAGACTCATAGGTGAGATTCACATCCCTTCTTTCGTACAATTACAGGCAATGCCTGGCTCTTGAATGTGCCATGAAGCCCCAATGGCGTTCTGCTTCTAGCTAAAGCTCTCATTCTCTTCTAGAATTCAGGAAACGAGGATATCGTGCTCGTGTTGGCCGCGACTGGTGTCATTATGGGTGTGGCATTACTTCCCTTCTTTCCGGTGATACTTCCCGCCTGTTCTTGGGCTGTCCCTGTTGCCTGGGAGGTCTTGAAAATGGTGCTTAAAGGAGGTAAGAAAGACTTCTATCTCCCACTCCCACCGGAAAGTCGTCAATCGTAGGGCTAACAATTGTTATCAGGCCCTGCAGGTTATGTACCACTCCCATTTCCTGGATATCGTGGGTTCGGACCCATATAGCATGGCAGATGGCCACCAAAAGCACGGCAGCTAGGGGAGTGCTCGACTAGATGGATTCAACGCCGAGAACCGTTTTCTTGTTTTGCTCACAAGAGGAGTAATGGTAGGGGCTTGGGAACCAAATCGGACAGTCTATCCTCACGACCGGAGCAAAGCGAGGAAGTTAATTGCTTTACATGTATCAAACTCACATGCGTCTGGTTCGTTTCCAGCTGAATGTGGGCGCTTGCTGCAGGCCGCCTTGCACATGCCAACTCATAGGTACAAGCTCATGTACATGTGGGCTAGCCTTGCTGCGGGGTACATAGGTAGCTGTGATATCTCGGACAAGACATCACTTTTCCATCTTCTTCCTCTTGGAGAAAAGTTCTCGGCCATCGTATCAACAGGCCCGGGCTGGTCTCACAGATCAACCATTCCACTTCTTCGAAGAGCAGCAAGACTTCAAGGTCTACAGACCTACAGAAACCTCCTGCACCACCCAACGCCACTGTCACACCTATCACTGCCTAGACTATCTTCGCCGGGGCAAACTCCGAATGTGACACGGAACCTCCATGACCACAAGTACAAAGGCATGTCCCCTTCGCCCTTCCCAACCTCGCAGCATAGCTCTTTCCACCTTCGACCCCCGTGTCAGAATTCTAACGAGTTCAAGTTGCGACAGCATCAGAACCAAGTTCTTTAATACCAAGAGATATCAAAATGACCGAACGCAAGATTCCGCCAAGCAACGTGCCTGACGATAAAGTCCCCCGGGAGTCATCCAAAGGCGAGCCAACGAAAGACCTCGAGACCTCCGCCAGAGAAGTCCCCGCGGAACCTGACACGTCATCGACCAACGATCCTCAAAATGGCCAACCTCAACCAGACGACGACTCGCTCGAAAAGATAAGATGGGTGAGTGCCTCAGGTAGCTTGCGCGTGGTCCCTCTTCCGGGCTGGCCCAATGCCTCAGAAGGAAACACAAGCTGACTGAGAGCTGGTGCGTGCTCCTACACAGGCCAAAGAATGGATCAAGCAAAACCCCAAAGCAGCAGCAGCTCTCGGTCTCACAGCCGGCGGACTAACGGTAGTTGCTGCTCCCGCGCTGCTTACCGGACCGGTGTTGAGTTTCATGGGATTTGGTTCTAGTGGTGTTGTAGGAGGTACGTGTATGTTCCCTCTCTTCGTGACACCCGATGTATCTCCTCTGCTTCGGCGCTTGTGTCACTGCCCTGCGTCTCTGAACATCAAGTTGACCGTTTCGCTTCGTAGGGTCTATCGCAGCCGGAATCCAAGGCATGATAGGTAACGTCGTGGCTGGTAGCTGGTTTGCGACCGCTACGAGCGCTGCGATGGGAGGGTATGGAGTCCCTGTTGTTGCGGCTGTTGGGCAAGGGGTTGGGGCGGCGGCGGCGTTTGTGGGTGGCGCGTATGCTACTAAGGAGTTGAGGAAGGAGCAAGCGGGTGAGGAGGAGGAGGCTAAGGATGAGGATGGTGAGGTTCCGGAGGATCCAAAGGATGGCGATGATGAAGATGGTGCTGTTACGGAGAAGGAGAAGGCCTCTCGTTGGAGGCAGAGTGGGCTGGGCCGCAGGGATTTTGACGACGAGTCTACTCTGTTGGATAACTCTGACTCCGAGAACTCTGACGACAACTGGCTTTAGGAAGACCGCCCCACGCGTCGCGGATTTCTTTTCGAATTGTTGGTTGAGTTGGCCATCGATCTTGAACAGAACCCTGGACGTGGTCCTAGGCCAGTCTCTTGCCCGCCGCTCTTGCCCGCACCTTCCATGTTTGCCTGCCGCTCCTGCCTCCGACCTGACCCTCCCGCTTACCCCACGTCATCCCAACTTTCAACCCCGTCTAGGGTATATAAGGTCCCTTAGCTGGCCACTCTCCCGTGGTGTGTCCCGTTGGTGTAATGGTAACATTCCTGGCGTGGTAAATCCGCGTCTGCATGCGTGCCGCAGGAAGACAACGGTTCCAGTCCGTTACGGTTCACACCCTTTTTTTTTTTTGTGTGTTTTTTTTCCTTTTGCATTTTGTGCTCTGTCTGTTTGGCACCAAGGCAAAATAAAACTAGCTAGCTCTTTGCTTGTCGATCCCCAAATTCCTTCATCCTCTTGTCATGCCTGGATCACTGGCGACTGGCTCTTGCTACCCCTTCACTTCACTCCGTCCTCCTCCTATAAACCAACACCACCTCCCCCTCCTCCACCAACTTCCCACCTTCCTCTTCCTCCCCATCTCCCTCTCCTCCCATCGGAACCTCCTGCCTAACCCCCCACACCTTCAAAACCTCCTCGTACTCCTCCACATCACACCACGGTCCAATCCAAACCACCACCTCAACTCTCTCAGCCTCCTCCAAATACCTCCCCACCAACCCCCCACTCCTAGGATATACAAAAACCAATCCCCCCACCTCCCCCAACATTTCTTTGTCGACCAGCGCCCAAGTCCCCGGAACGGTAACGGTGTTCTGCTCCGGTAACCAAGTATTCACTTCCTTTCCTTCCTTTAATTGGGAAATGGGAGGGGCAACTTCGACGCCGTAGAAGGAGGCAGAGCGGGATGGGTAATGGTGGAGGAAAAGGGCTTCGAGGAGGCCGGGGCCGGAACCGATGGAGAGGGTGAGGGTTGGTGAACTTGAACTTGTATGTGGTGGGCCGGGGGAAGGGAGGACGCGGTTGAGGAGGGAGAGGAGGGGGAGGGAGAGGGAAGTGCAGGAGGTTGGGTGCCGGGTGGGGGTGGTGGTTAGGGTTGGAAGGGGGGTGGTCATTTTTTGTGGTGGTGGTGGTGCTTTTGTGCTTGGGCTGTTGTTGTTGTTCGTGGTAGTTCTTGTTCAAGACGAATGGAAGGTTTGGTGGAGGGTCGAGTGTTGACGTTGACGTTGACGTTGATGGTGGATCTGTTGGGAAATGGAGCTAAGAAAAGGGGTAGTGGAGACTGTAGCGGTTGCCCCTGGAGATATTTGTTTGGGTTACAATGTTTTGTTGGTGAGCACTGCGTGAACAGAAGATGTTGGTTTGGGAAAGTGTTGGAAGACTCAATCGAAAATGCAGCCTGAAAAGTTTTGAGCAAGGTACTCCACCATGGTGCTGATTGGTAGAGGGATCCGGCAATATGTACCTCTACGTTTTTTTCACGACCACACTTCAGGGTCAATGGGTCCTTTCACACGCGGGAGAGATACCACAAGATAATGCTGCTGGTCTTGAAAACCTGGTAGAAAAGATCATAACTTCGTGACTTCGTAACCTCCCCTAAACAACTTGATGAGGCACCCGATTCACCTTTCCCATGAAAACCCCTGTAACCGAGACGAGTATGCTGTCGATATATTCAGATGTGTTCTTACACTGTCCTTGCGTCGTCGTTGAATATGATATGTAGGTCATGGTTACAATCCTCTCATCTTTTCAATCCTCAGAACCCCACAGCACCAACGTTAGCGTCCCAATCAGCCGGGCCGACCATAACCACATCAGGGACTCTACAGTAACATCATCATCAACCCCCCACCTGCCCCTGCGCATCCTCCTTCTTCAACAACCTCTTCCGATTATAAAGATCCGTATTCAACACATTGCTAAACCCCCTCCCCCTCAACTCCTCCTGCACCTTACTAACCAACCACCCCTCCCTCAACCACCGATCCACCTCCCTACTCACCTCCAGCGGCAACTTCCTCGCCCGCGGATCGCTCGTCTGATCCGAGGGGCCATGATTATGCGTCTTGTGCTCTTCATTCGGATAATGCAGCGTCCACAGATCGGACCCCTTCGCCGTCTCAATCACCTCGAACTTGAACAGACACCCGCACTTTTTGGAGGTGCGATCGGTGGTCGGCTTGCGTCTCCCCTCGGCTTTGGCGGCTTGGATCACGGACTCGTCCACGGGGGGTCGGTGGTGTCGCGCCTCGCCGCCCCGGAAACATACCCATCGGACTTTCTTCTTGCCGGTTACTTTGGCGCCGGCGATGCGCATGCTGTAGCCGCGCGGGATGGTCCAGTGGTCGAGCTCTTCTTGCATGCTGGCTCGTGAGGAGATGGTGTAGCCTTGTGGAGGCGGGTCGAGGGGGATGAGGTCGGGCTGGGCGTTGTTGGAGGTGCGACTCGGTGGTGGCGGGTGTGGGCGCAGTTGTTGTGCGACCGAGGGAGATTGGGCGTTGGTGATGGTTCTGCTACCGGCGCTTAGTGAGGGATGGGCTAGCACCGAGGCAGCTGGGGCAGCCGATGTGCCAATGGAGGTTTGGTCCGCGTTCACATTGCTATTCGCGGCATTGTTGTTGAGGAGAAGGGCCGCTTCAATTCGGGTGAGTCGCTGATCGATTGAAGTGAGAGTGTTTAAGATGGTGGTGAGGTGGTGAGGTTGAATATTCGGCATAATGAGCGGTCGCGTAAGGTATCCTTTTGTGAGTGCAGTCGTTCAATCGGTCGCTGGCAGTGGAATGCCGAGCTATTCGTGCACTCGCTGTTGTCGATCTGCGTGTATAGGAACTGGGCTGGACTATATCTAACAGCCCTCCCCCTTGTCAAGTGCAGGGCACCGCTTTCTAGTAACTTGTAGGTGTGAAAAATGACAGATGCAATAGTCTCGAGTGCTATCGCATATATGGTTCTCCGAGGCCGTTCGAAATTCCAAGTTGAACATCGCCAGCCTATCTCTGATTGACTAGGTTGGTGTTTGTGGCTTCACCCGTCACGTGGACTGCACGAATCGACGGTCGCGCTGCCGAAAGAAGACATGATAACGCCCAAAGACCGCTGGCCAAATTGGTAAGGGACACTATCGTGACTGATAAGTATTGTAGTTTGGGAATAGTCCGTTCCTATTCGCTAGTGGTCGGTACCACGCTGCTTTGAGGCAAATAGTGCCCCTGATACAGCTTTTAGAGCCCCTTGTTAGTGAAGTCGTTAAGGCGAAGAGATAGCGACCTCGGCATGCCACAATGGATTAAGACCAAGATATGCTGAAGTGGACGATGTTCCGCCATATTCAAGTCTAACCTCCTTTGCACGATGCGTCTTCGTGTGCGATATCTGGATCGTATATCTTGTCCGCGACAAAAGAACCCAGAAAGCAAAGCAACGACAACCTCATGTGGCATATACATAGCCAAAAGCCACACCACATCAACTGCGTGCAACAGTGCGGCCTCGGACACTAGAGTTTGATATACGGGCTCTTTTTGACCATGATATGATCAAACCGTGATCTTCATTGACTGTTATTGATACCTTCTAGCCATCCAGTATCGGAACCTTCGTCTAGACCACGATTTGAAACATCCCCGAGTTCTGTACGTCATGGGTGGAAAGAACTTGTAACCACTTGCTCTACTGCAGTAATGCAAGCAATAAACCGCCCGAAGTGTCCAGTCATGTCCTTCCTTCCATACTCCTGCTCTTGGTTTCCCTTTCCACTTGATCCATGACGGTACTAGTATACCGACCCTTTCTATACCGAAGAACGACACTCGCAGTATAGTGTTCCAACTTCAGGGAGTTTTCGAACCGGAACCCAAGCGACTAAGAACCTTGTCCCAAGCTCTCTTAAGACGACCAGCAGATTGCGACGACGAATGGCCGGATATCGAAGTGAAGATTGAAGTGCCACGGCTGGTTTCGCTGGCTCCCGAGTGGTTACGACCACGGCCATCATGGAACGAAAACATCTTGTTCGAGCTCGTGGTTGTAGCGCTGCTGGGTCTCTCGCCCGGGAAGGGGGTCGGGGAACGGTGGGCGAGCGGTTCGGACCGAGCTCTGGGACGACGCTGAACGTCCTGCGCGAAAGCGATTTTCTGAGGCATTGTGATGGGATTGCTTTGGGTACGGCTTGAAAAATTTGTTGGTAGGTAGAGGTAACGTCAAGGCCCGGAGCCGTTGTTGACAGATATGTGGTGATAGCAGTCAAGAGGCACGACCAGTCGTTGCTCCCTTGGGATGGATATTGGCGCTGATTTCGGATTCGAAGATGTGGGTCGGGATGTCAGAGAGTGTAGATACTGTTCGCTTGAGGCTCGAAGTCGGTATCGTATCACTGCGTACTGTTGATGTTCTTGATGGTTTGAAGGACAGATCCGAACGTCTACACTCGTCCTCTTGTCTCTAGGGAATATCTGCGCGGTCGACGTCGGCGGCAAGGCGTACTCCAGGTACTTGCGATGCCCAGACTTGTTGAAGGAGAATCCGAAAGCTGTTGGCTAGCGCGGGGAAATCTGAAGGAGTGTAATCGCGCGATGGTAGAGCGGAGTGAAGGTAAAGACTGACTGGCGGGCTGGCCGACGTGCGCACCCAAGTGGGATGGGACCTTGATGACGAAGACGACCAAGGTTTAAGCAATTGGCAGGAAAAGATCAAATGTGTATCATGGTTTTAAACCCTCAGGCATGAATACCCCACCGCTCAGAACTTGATTGCCGTCCCCAACCAGAGTCAACGCAGGTTCATCCCGTTGGCGATCTTGAACTAACACGTCCAACCTGACAGTTCGGGTGAATGCGGGCGTGGGGTTGCCTGGTAAAGAACGATATGGGGCAGATGTCCACTTCACCCAGTCATGCAGCATCGCGATATGGCTTCTTATCGCGGCGATTTGCATTCGCAGTCGTGCATCACATCCGTCTACCGTACAAAATCCACTGATCTGAAACCCAGCGGTTTGACCCTGAAATGATGGGCGGTCCCACTTTGACGGGAATTTCCTGGTGGTTTGATCCCCACGTGTTTCCCACCTCTCGAACCTTCCTGTCGACGACCAGTGAAGCTCGTGGGGGTCGGGAGCGGGAGGGCAGGTGCACTGCAGTGACTCAGTTTTACGGAGCGAACTGAACTCTGACGGCAAGCTTGACCAGCGGAAAGTTATATATCGATCCCATTCTCATGAGTTCCGCCTGTGTCGACTCTGTCTTGGCTGCCCCATTTTCCTTTTGTCAGGTCGGGATTTGTTAGTCACCCGTCGGATCATGCCGAGCTCCCATACAAACAACCTTTCACGGCATGTCAACGGCAATCATCTGCAAAGTGATGGTTCATCTGTTTGGACTGCCTGTTTTGCTCACCTCAGTTTTTATCCAGTCACTGGCATATCCGATGACAGACCTCCAAGGAAAACAAACGTAAGACATACTCCCTCACCGAGGGTTTCCGTCTTTCGCATAATCGCATTTCCGTATAAGACCGGACGTTGAAAAATGACGTCTTTTACGCTAAGGAGGGAAAGGGGACCCATGCTTTGTCAATGTGGATACTGCTGCCGATAAGAAACCGATAAGGCTTAGAGAGCTGAAATTAGATCTCACCCCACTGGGCTGACGGAGATTGGGCTTTGCATGGCCCACCGGAGCCCACCAATGCAGTGCAACCCACCCGACCAGCATCATCACTCATCACAGTTCTGCACGCCAGCATGGACGCTGCCAGCACAGCGCAGACTCAGAGCCCTGAACGTTGCAGTTGCACTGCCGTACCTCGGCTGCCGTCCTGTCGGAATTTTGACTTTTTGACTTTTGACGACCCTTGTAATACGAATCGAATCGCCTCTTTGGGGCGAGCCCGGGGACCTGGTCTGGGAAAGGAAAAAAGCCGGCGGACTTCACCCCTGGAGGACACTACCTGGATGTTCCTACAGTACTCGCCGGTATGCTCGCTGCCTGTCCTTGCCCCTTTCCTTCAGCCTTCTTCCTTGGGTCCTTGGCTACCAGCGCGATTATAACGATCCCGATGCCAGCATGGCGGTGACCCAGCTTCACGTAAGCTGCATTTTACCCCATAAGGGAACCCAAAGGAGGGTCCAGAGAAGGGCCCAAAAGATCACGAATGAGTACCGAATAAGACCCCAGATGGAGTCGCAGACAGGCTGGACAACGAGCCCACCGGGGCTCCAGCAAATCGCGAGACGCGCTCCTGGCGCTCTGGTGTTCCATGTCAAATCGTGGAAACTCAGCCACGACGCCGACCTCCAAGGGTCACGACCAGGATGGGCTTTTACGGACTGTTGAGAGGATCCCAGAAGATCCGCCTCGTAAACTGACGTTACTTGGGATCTACATGGCCCAATCCAGCTAGTGCTGACCCATTGGGCTGTTGCCTCGACCGACAGTTAAAATGAAGGTCTGACTTCCGCCAGGTCTCTCCATTCTTTTTTGTGTATATACAGCCCATTCTTCCTTCGTCTTGTTCACTCTTCCATACCTCTATCACTCTAATATCAACCTTTATACAACACCTAATTTTCCAACCTAATCCCAAACCACCCCAAACCGCCAACATGAAGTTCATGATCGCCACCGTTGCTGCCTTTGCGGCCACCGCTGCTGGTAAGATTTCGTATATCAAGCTACATGCCCTATACACTCGCTAACCGCATCATATCTACAGCTCTCAAGATCACCGAGCCCCAGGAGAACGCCCAGTGGGATCTGTCCCAGACCAACACCATCAAGTGGGATCACGTCGATTCCGACCCCGCGACCTTCCAGCTTGTCCTCGTCAACCACATTACCGGCGGCGAGGACGACGTGACCATTGACGACAAGGTCAAGACTTCGGACGGCGAGTACAAGCTCACCAACTTCGTCGCCGCCCCCGGTGCCACCTACAGCATCAAGGCCTTCGGCACCGAGAAGACCAACAGCGGTCAGCTTGCTGAGTCTCAGACGTTCAACGTCACCAAGTCTGGAGGTAAGAACATTTCCTTTCCTTCTGCCTTGCCACATACATAATGTATTCAGTAACTAACGCTCCAACCCCTCCAGTCCCCACCACCACCACTTCCACCGGCACCGTCAAACCCACTTCCTCCGGTACCCCCGCCACCTCCTCCGGTGCCGCCCCCAGCAAGACTTCCAACGCTGCCACCGCTCTTGGCGTCACCTTTGGCGTTGCCGGTCCTCTTGCCGCTGTCTTTGCCCTTCTTCTTTAAGTTTGAAAATGTTTGGGGGAACTGGATACCATTCTACTGCATGCATATATAAATAAGCGTTTTGGATTTTGATACCACACATGACGGAAGGGCAATGGGATATAATACCGTACGAGTATGACAAACAGAGACTCCTGTAACGACAATGGGGGAAAATAGACTGGTCTAGTTAAAGCAAAGCGAATAAGCGAAGGTTTAATGGATGAGGAATACCCTACTTGATTGATCATGAGTTTGACCCACATTTGCCGCGATTCAGGCCAGCGGGAGGTGGAAATACAGAGTGAAGTGAAGTGTGCTTGAAGTAAAGGATGTTACGCCGCATTAGGACTTTATCTCACAACTTCCACGATACAACGCTACAACGCCGCAGCAGGAACGTGGTGAAAAGCATGCGGCCCGCAGGGCATATGAGCAGCAATAACGGTGTGTCCCGATGGTATCAGATCTGGTTGGAAGTGATTTTGCTCGGACTTGAAAGAAAGTATCGCGCATACGATGCAACCTGACACAACACACCGTCAAGACTCGTGGCAGAATGTTTCGCCGCGCTTTTTTAGGAAACTGTTTAGTGTCACATTCAACCGCATTCCTTTAACTATACTGTGGGTACCATCCATACTTTAGTATTCAACTCATCAGAACCTGTTCTGCTTACAACGGAAACGAGACCGCACCTGTTCATTCTTCACTAGATATCCAATATCACCACCCACCACCCGACCACTCTCCCACGCACTCCCTCTCAACCTCCCCCAGGGGCATCCCCTCCATTACAACCCAAACCACTGCAAATCCAACTCAGGATGCACCGGCACCGTATGTCCCACCCCCCTCGCCGAGTACCCAACCAGTTTGCTTCCATCCCCGTACACAATCTTCGTGTACCCACTGTCGGGCGTATCCGTCGCATTCTTGCTAAACGAAACCCCATGCACCGTAGACCACTGCTTCAACTGCTCCGCCAAATTCGTATAATAATTAACAAAGAAATCCGCCTCTCCATGCCACGTCTGCACCTTGGGATACTTGCCCTCCGTATATCCCGCTGGTGTTCCATAAATTCCCTTGAGGATGGCCGCCCACTCCGGCCCCGTCTTTCTGTTCTTACCAGCGGCGCAAGTCGGATCCGACGTCGTCGGGCTAGAACCGAGGGGGCCAGCCAGACAACCGGCGGCTACACCGGAGTAGCATGAGACAGCAGAGAACAGGTCGGGGTAGGCGGCGGCCATGACGTTGGACATCATGCAACCCGAAGAGGAGCCGGTGACGAAGACCTTGGATGGGTCGGCGTCGAACTCGGAGATGGCCCAGCGCACCATGTTGGCGAGCGAGGTGGTGTCGCCGCCGGCGTCGCGGGTGAGAGACTTGTTAGAGGCCACGTCCCAGCAGTGGTTGTCGTGCGGGGTGGAGGGGTAGAGGACGACGAAGGAGCGGCGCGCGTCGGCGAGGGGGCTGTACTGGGACTGCTGGAAGTATTGGGGGCCGGTGCCGCCGCACATATGGAGCTGTGTCGAAGGTTAGTGTTTTGCATCTTCATGTCGTTGGAGTTTCTTTTCTTTCATCTTCATGATGTTGGGGGACAAGAAGAGAGGACAGGACGAGGGGGGTTCTTACGGCTAGGATGACAGCGGGATTGGGGGATAGGTCCTTGGGAACGTAGATCTGGAGATCCAGGCCGGTTGGGTTCTCGCCGAAGTTGGTGACTGGCGTCAAAGTGCCCGTGGGGATTTGACTGGAAACTTGACTGGGGACTTGACCACAGTTGGCTGCGAGCACAGTGGTGCTTCCTAGGCCCAGGGCCAGGTACGTCAAGAGAGAAGTTCGTACCATGGTGTTGATAGTCGACAATGTTGCAGAGCCTGGTCTAATGAGGAGGAGTGAATAGGAATTTGTGATTGACACTGGTGTGACACTTGTTAAAATATCATGCTGAAGACGGAGTGGCCACCACCTTTTTAAACCATTTCTTTGAACCAGTAAATACTGACGGGTGATGACCGCGGTGACTTCACACGGTGAGTCCTGTAATTCTAGTTTCCTGTTTGCTCGAAACGGATCTACTGTTGTAGTTCGGTTGTAGTTCCGATATATCGGACTAATCGGGCAGGTAATGATTACCTCAATGCCCTTTTGAGACACCGCCCAGAGTTCGGTGAAACGACGGTGGGTAGCAATGCGCACAAACCCTCGTCGCCTAGCCCTAACCGACGAGCTGTCAAAGACGGCAGTTGTAAACATCACCATGCGGCGACCAGGGCACGGCGACCAAACCTCCGAGTCCGATAATGGCTTGACATCCGGCCCGTGAGCCCTTCCACGCGCACGGATTCACTCGTGGCATAAAATTGGGATCCGCGAGGTACGCGCGTCTGCCATGACTTTGGTAGACTCCCTGTCAATATCGGTGGGCGCTGGAAGGTTGGATGAGTCTGGATCGTGAAAATGATAGGAATTGGAGAATGGAAAAGGAGTCGAGAGAGAGGCCGGATTGTGGGGGGCCAAGGGAAGTGGAGACACAGCGGGGCCGGATTGGCCCACTTGCCGTTTTCCAGAAGACCGGGACTTTGCGGGGGAGGTCAAAGCTTCCGTTCCCAACTTCAGCACAGTGTTATCTTATCGGGCTTGCGGGTGCACGGTTCACCCAAAATTGTTACCAGCTCCAACCAGTGCTCACTGTGGACAGCGGCGCGCGCTGGAAGCAACCCCTCGGAATTGGCGTCGCGAAACTTGTAACTCGATTACCATTTTCATTCTTCTCAACATCTTTCACCATCTGCGCCCCAACCTCGAAACCAAGGCTGACTCTCGAGATACATTCTGTGAATACACTCATACAGAAGTTCCCCTTACAGTCGAATCCCCCATTCACGCGCCGACCTTCAACTGCTGATCTCGAACCCCCATCCTCCTCGCGACGTCAGAACGATTCCCGAATCCCGACAGGGCTGCGCTCCCAACGCATGACGAAGGGCTCTATGCCCATTTCTTTCGACCAACTTTAGCCGACTCAACTGCCCACTTCCTCAATGGCACCGAGCATACCAACCGAGCCGGCCTCGAAGCGCAACGGCGTCAATGACCATGAAGTGGTCCCGATAGGGCCTTCCCCGGGGCTTTCGTCCAACCCGCCACGCTACATCTCGGAACAGACGCTGCAGCAGATGCTAAAAAGCATTGGCTATGACGAGCAAAGAGAAGATTCATACAGACTCAAAGGCGTTCAGCTCATTGATAGCGTTCGACAAAGCATCAGCCTGTGCGGACCCATCGCTTCCAAGCTTTACCCACACACCTTGCTGACGAGTGCCACAGCCCGGTCAAGACTTTCGATACTGCAGCGACATACTACCACAGGTTCAGGATACGGTTTCCGAGCGCCGAGTACAACTACGAAGATGTAGCTCTTGCGTCGTTATTTGTTGCATGCAAGGTGGAGGATACGATAAAGAAGTCCAAGGATGTCCTATGTGCGGCGCACAATATCAGGCAGCCCCACGATCAAAGGACTCCGGATGATAAGGTTCGTCAATCGTCTCGTTGGCGATCTAGGGTGCACCTGCTAATGTTGACCGAGCAGATGTTCGATGGTCCATCCAAGTTTACAGTGGGCCTCGAGCGTCATATCCTGGAGACCATTGGTTTCGACTTCCAGGCTCAGTATCCTCAAAAGTTGTTGATCAAATTGCTTCGGAAGATGTTCCCAAAGGGCGAGAAAGGGGACAGTCCCGAGGTCAAGAGGTTCATCAGCGACGCATACGACATGTCCATCGATCTTTACAAGACATTTGCGCCCTTGAAGCAACCAAGCTTTCCTCTTGTGATGGCAATCCTTGAAATAACAGTCCTCCTTACGGGAATGGGTGGAGATCAAATCTCGCAGTTCTATTCCGACCGGTATCCGGCTAGGAAAGGCTGCATCCTCGAGGTCATGTTGGATCTAATGGATCTCTACACACAATTTGCAAAGTCCACCAAAGTCGGCAGCAGATACGATCTTAACAAGTTGATGGGCGTTAAAATTGACATCAACAAGATGCTATCAGGAAATCGGTACCACCGCCACTTTGCATGGTGCGACAAGTGTGTCCAAGACAGCTCGGATGCCCTTTCCGTCACGCCGGGTTCTGCGATTTCGCCTGCGACTAACAGCTCGCTACCGGGAAATAACACCGTCAAGCGGAATGGCAAGTCGTCCGAAGGAACCTTGCGGTTTGTCTTCGACCATGAAGATGCCCGCTTCGAGCGGGAAACAGTGGCGGAATATTTTGACGACGTCTACGAGGAGATCGAAGAGGAGGTCGAGGAAAGAATCCCAGATGAACCAAGGCACTCGAGCCGGAGTGCTCATCACTCGCATTCATCACACCGCAATCACACCGACCATGGATGGAGTCCTTATTCGCGAAGTCGGCATGGGGGCCACAACAGTGACCGACACAAGGGGCGTAAGAGTCACGGTTACTATTGATCACTGTTTTCTCTCTCTCTCTCTCTCCTTGTGGGTTATGGGGCATATGGATGTGCACGGTGTTTGTGAGGGTTTGTCTTTTACTTTGGTTACCATAGAGTTCAGCGGCTAAGGAGTTTACGGCTACTTGATGATACCCAGTCTATAGCACATCCGGAATGGAAAATGGAAGTTGATTGGACGCGTTCATGTCATTCGAGAACGTATCTTTCGATATTGATGATTGGGGCACAAAAGCCTGGATATGAATAAAGGAACTCTATGTGAGACTCCTGCAACAGCATCATGTTTGAACTTTCCTTTCGCCATCCGCCCGGGATGCCGTGAGCTGATCGTCCTTTGGCGGCAATGCTATAGTTAGCAATGTGCGAAAACTAATGCAGCCAGGTGACTACATGGTGCCAAGGCTGATCCTACACTTACAACAATTTCACTAGGCAAGGTGGCCGAGTGGTTAAGGCGTTGTGTTTAGGTTATCAAATGATTAACTTGAAACCGCAATGGGAAACCTCGCGAGTTCGAATCTCGTCCTTGTCAACGCAAAATATCTTTTTTGCAACTTTTTGGTCCTATTCTTTCGTCATGCTGTCCTTAGAATGCGTCGGTCAGGCAGTCTTTCGCTTTTCCTGTTCAGTCTCCCTCTATTATGAGCCTAAACTCTTTTTTTTCCACGTTCGTACCCAATCCCATATCTTTTGAAGACACCCGGGTCATTTCAACGGCCGCTTCTTTCGGCGTCAGAAAGCAAGCCTTAACCGCGCTGCGGCTGACATCCGAATTCCAAAATAGGTCATGGACATAACTGGGCACCTCTCTGTTGGCGGAGATAAGCCGCTGGGGGCGCTCTCTTTTGGGTCTTGAGGCGGTTCGCAATAGGCGCGGGGCAGCACAAAACACTTTTTTTGTCCTCACAAAAAAGCCCAAAACCATCATCTTGTTCTCATGGCGTGATATTTGCAGGCCCATTGTTCGGCCGCGGATGGCTTTGGCAAGGCGCTTAAGACGTCCAAATAAGACTGTTGAGTTCAACCCGTTGCTATTCTCTCATCTATCCCCAAAAGTATCCATGCGTTCGGAAAAACCTACTGCTTTGACGTTGTTTCGTCCAAGCGCCTGGCTTGTTTCCATCGCGCATCACGAATGGCCCCATCGAGATGCGTTGAGGAGTGTTGTACCAGATTCTGGATAAGTGATAGCATGCTAACAGAAATACACCTTAAGACCTAGTCCATCTGTTAGTGACAGGGGTATCGAGATCACTGCTACCTACTGAAGCGTCTCAGGTTCCAGACCCCTGGACCCCTGATTTCCTCACAAGTGTCAGAGCCCTTGGCGTCCCAGAGATCCGAAGCCCCCTGCCCCCAGCTTCGCTTCCAGATTCCGGGGATGTCATTCGTCGCCATTGGTTCATCCAGATTCACGAAAGACCCCTTCACGCTCTTACACCAAGGACCTCCCATCGACCAGTGTCACAAAGCCATGCCATAACTGCAGCGGATAAGGAGCCTTCCGAGCTCCCATGGGGTCACGGACGAACCAAGTAACTAACCACTGTAAAGGTCACTATTAACGCTGTCCGGTGCATCCGCCGGCCGCCTCAGCGCTCGGGCTTTGTCTGGGCTGAGGCCGCGTCCCCTTGTCCTTCTTGTGTGCTAAGACAGCAACACTTTGTAAACGCTCCAAGGAGTCTGCCCTTTCCATCCACTCTCGAGACCCTACCTGAGTCTCAAGACTCAGTTAGGAACAGCTAAGGCTCCTTGAAACATCTTTCAGGATCCTCCATGGCTACTACACAACGAGAAACAATGTAAACTAGGCGCTGGGCTGGTGGCCATGGCGGATGATGCTGCGAGGACAAAGGCATATATAAAGAGAGCAAGACAACTTCCCTCCATTCTTCTCGTTTCCATCATTATCAACTCAAACCAGCTCAAATACACTCAAAACCATACATCCCCGGAGGATCTTCATTTCAACGTTTCGTGTTTCTTCAACTTAATTCTCATTCAGTTTCTGATACCAGCTCAAACCCGCTCACTACCTTAATCCATACCAACCAATCAACCGTCTCTCAACCCACACAGACAACAAACCAAACAAACAAAATGCCTTCTCTCACCAACATCCTCCTCGCCGCCACCCTGGCCCTCTCCTCCGTCTGCTCCGCCAAGACCATCCCCGTCAAAGTCGGCGAATCCGGCCTGACCTTCTCCCCGGAGAACATCCAGGCCGACGTCGGCGACGTCCTCGAGTTCTGGTTCTACGCCCACAACCACAGCGTCGTGACCTCCACGGCAGCCAAGCCGTGCGATCCCAAGACCGAGAACGGTTTCTTTTCCGGTTTCTTCCCCGTTGCTCAGACTGGTGTTGCTTCTGTACGTTACTACCTATGATCGTCGTTTCTCGTTCCTCCTTCAGTCTCCTGGACAGTATTCTAATTCTTCGGTACAGGAAAACGTCTTCCGCGTAACAGTCAACTCCACCACCCCTCTCTGGTTCTACTGCTCCCAGGGCAAGCACTGCCAGGCTGGCATGGTCGGCGCCGTCAACGCCAAGACCACCGATGACTTTGACAAGTTCAAGACGGCGGCCAAGGCGGCGACGAGCAACGTGACTCCCGCCGGCGGTGTCTTTGGTGGTTCCGTCGCCAAGGCCTCTTCCTCTTCCGGTTCTGGTTCTTCTTCCGGTGGTAGCAGCACCCTGGTTCCTGTCGCTAGCGGTACTGGTACTGGCTCGGGTGCTCACTCGACTGCTTCTGGTTCTCCTGTTAGCGGTGCTGGAGCTGTTGGTGTCTCTTTTGGTGTGTTGGCTGCGGCGCTTGGGTTTGCTCTTGCTTAAGAAGGGTCGAACTGACTGGGTACTGGTTGGTTATGCACATGGTGTCATGAATTTGAGCTGATGGATGAGAAACGGAAACATTAAACAAAACGGCGGTCTGAAGCTCTGGGCTCCCTGGTGGAGAACGGATGTATGTTAATAATGTGTTATTTGAACTGGTTTTGAGCATTTGGTTTTCAGCACTGTTTTTGAATGTGCATTGTCTGGCGGTCATTGGGTTGTTTTGCATGTTTCTCGTTGTATACCACGTCGCCCTATGTTTTTTGATGACTTGATTGGGTCTTGGGAGAGGAAGCATTTAGAACAGGGGATTGCGAAGAATGAGTGATGTTTACATACCTACACTTGAAGATTCATCTGCTTAGATTAGTGTAGTGTCCGTTATTATAACTCGATGGCTTAACCGTTAACCCGAACGCCCTTACTCCCTTTCCCTCAGCAAAGTTCTAAACTTAAAAGCAAAAGTGTATCCCAAAAAAGCCATTCATAACCCATTTTTGCCCATTGACCCCCTTATTCGGCCCTCTCCCAACGTCAAACTATACCCTTATCAAACTGCAAATCAATCTCTCCCGACGGATTACTCGTCCACACAATCTGCGGCCCAGCAACCGTCACATCCTCCAACTCCGACAACCCCACGGTATTATCATTCACCACCGCAATCCACACATACCCAAACATGTTCTCCGGCACCTCCGCCACCTTATTCTTATCCAGCTTCGTATACTCAAACGTCCCCCAGGGCCCAACCCACGCAACCCAATGCTCGCCATTCCCCTTGCCCCCCTCAGCGCCAGCCGGCACCGTGAAATTCAACGTGACCTTGAGCGCCCTATCCTCCGACGTGTCGCCCGAAAGCTCCTTATGCACCACCTCAAGCGGCGCAAACGGCTTCTCAGGCATATTCTTAATCTTGCCGCCGTTGTCCGGGCAGCTCTCGACGAAGTGAGTCATGGCATAGCTCCAGGCGAGCTCGACAGGCAACAACACCTCCCTGGGCGCGGCGGCGGCGTTCTTGTTCTGGATCATGTTGATGACGGCGGACATGCGGCTCTTGGCGCCGACCTCGGTGACTAAGGCAGGGAGGAACCAGGAGTCTCCCTTTTGGGCGATGAGCACGCTGACGTCGGCGAGCGCGCCGATTTCGAGCTTGAGGAGGACGAGGGAGGCGATGACGTACTCGTCGATCTCGTCGCCCGCGGGAAGCTTGAAGGTGCAGGCTGTGTCGTTGAAGGTCCCGCTCGGGTGCACGTCGAAGCGGTTGAGAGTGTCCTCGAGGGTCTGGTAGTGCACGGAGATCTGGGCGCTCATGCTTTGGATCATGGCCACGAGGCTGTCGGGGTAGATGCCTTCCCATTCGCCGTCTTTGGCGATTTTCTTGTACCAGGCGTAGAGGGTTTTGCCGAGGATGCGGTCGAGGAGCTTCAGGGTTTGGAGGAAGGCGATGGTGTCGTCGGAGATCTCGTCGGGGTAGGCATAGTGGCCGGGCTTGGAGCCGCCGGCTGCGGTGTTGATATGGATGGAAGAGTTCGCGTTGTTTTTGGAGCCCGAGAGGTACTTGGTAGAGTGTCCACTTCCCGCTGATTCTGTGGGAGCAGTTGTAGCCGTCGACGTGGCACTGCTGGTAGTTTTATTGGCATCGGCATCACTGCTTTTCTCGACTAGAATCACCGGAATGACGAGATTAGGTCCGTCAAAGACAGGGTTGATGAGTCCGTCGATGACCGCAACACCACCAATAGGGGCGTAGTCGGGGATTTTGCTCTTCTCAACCGTTGAAGCCTTGGCAGAATAGGCTTCGAGAGTGTTTCCTTTGGAAGGGCTGCGCAGATAATGTAAGCCAGAAGTCCTAATTCCCACCTTAACGTCACTGCTTCTTGGATAATTGACTTACGCATTAATACTGCCCACCATGCCGGATTTGCAGTTGCTATCATTGGCATCGTAGAACCAAATTGGCCTGGTGTGTGGGACCAGGATATTAAAAACAGCATCGAAAGAGTCATTCTTGACCGTAATGAATCCACTGCTGAACCCTCCATCAATGGGAACGCAAGGCTTGTCAAAGCTTGATTCAACGACAGAGTGGTTCTTCTGGTGGAATTTGAACTGGATGATGGTCCCGGGAATCTCCTTGATGTCGTTAGGGGTGACTTCATTCTTTCCATTTTTACCGATATCGACGTGCATTCTGCGGAATCCCCAAGCTGGGCGTTGACTGTTAGGTGAAGTGTTCGCTTTGGCTTTCGCAGCTTCTTTTATGTACTCATCCATCTTCTTGGACTCGCTACTCAGGAAGAGTTAGCTATCTCTACCAGCGCATGTCCCCCATGCCGTGAGCACTTACACATTGATACCATGAACCATACCAGATTGGCAGTGGTTCCCTTGACTGCAGTAGACCCATCGAGGCTTGGTGTCCTTGATATTGATGGTGAATGTGGTTTTCGAGGCTTCCTTAGGCGATGAAGCTGGCACAAAGCCGGAGAAGAAGCCGTCCTCTAGAGGCTGACAAGGCTTATCGAAGCTTGATTGTACCACCGAATGATTCTATGATGTTGTTAGCTCGGGTTGATTCTTGACTTGGCTTCGTGGCCTAGCCACGGAAAGGAAAGGCTATGCTTACCTTTGAGAAGAATTGATACTCTACTGTATCACCAACAGCAGCCTTGAGGGTTTCTGGAACAAACTCAAGCTTCTCATTCTCACCAACCTTAACGACATGGTGGGCACCTTGCGCAAGAGATGCCAACAGCGGAAGAGGTAGCACCAACCAAGATGAAGACCACATCTTGCAGTGTCGACTCAAACAGTCCTAGAGATGGTGATGTCGAGGCCAAAAGAAGCCTATGAGAAATTATATACGATCAACATAATCCAAATCTCGAAGGGCAAAGAGGTTTAATATCAGATCTTTCCTTCGCGATAAGTCAGCATCGAGGCCAGAGCAACAACGAAGTGCGAGATGCCTGATAGGGTCCCTGCTGTAGTACCCTCGCTATCCGCAAACACACACCTGCTAGGGCTGCATTATCTTGCTATAGGGTTGTATTGGCTGTCCCAGATGACAGGGGATCGCTATTTCAGGTCCTGCCCAATCTCCGCAGCCTCAGTGAGGAAGTGGCTGAATAGGCCTAAATTCGATTGGATAGCCCTCTGTGAAGTGCCGACGGAGAATAATCAACCAGGCGTTAAATTCGAAACATACGGGAAAGAGTTTGGGTCAGCTCATATGACAACAGACGCAGAAACCCGTGCCGTTGTCATAGTATCAAAAAGATACTGACCAGGCGAAACGAAGAAAACCTAAAGTGTTTTCCAGTCAAGATATTAACCTGTTTCAATGTCCCGTCCCAAGGCGCAGAAAACAGCGAACCCTAATATCGAACAAACGGTTCATGTTGCGGGAAGTTGCGCAAACCCAAAACATCGCCAAGTCGAAGCTCTTGACGCCTGAGATGGGGGAACTGGGATCGGTAGCCAAGCGAATCAATCCTGTCAGCACTTGACTTGAAAAGGTGAGCTTGTAGCCTGTAGCTGGAGTGCCCCACAAAACAAGCGCTCACCAGGCGCGCAACGTGGACCTGTTGGAGCGATGTTGAAGTGTCTTCCAGGGGAGCATTGTTGTCGGTTGTTGTTCAATGGCTCTCAACAGAGGCGCATTGCCTTCCCGTCTCACGCTATCCAGGGCTGTGAGACTGAGAGCAGCACCGCATCCGCGCCACGGCCAAGACTCTTTTCCTTCATCGGTGAACATCTTTCGAAAAATCGCAGACCGCCCAAAGATAGCTCTCCACTGAGGAGTTTAGCTTTGCTTGAGCCTTAAGCGGATCCACTGGACTTTTTCTTTGGAGGCTGGTGATGCTGGGGTTGGCTCCTTAGCGTCCTATTTTGCTGCCTGTATTCCGCAAATACCCTTCTGACACAGTGCCAGCCAGCCTGCTCCACCGGTTGACGTGGTTCTTCCCGTTGGGTATAACCTCGCATACATCCTCCCGTCTTTTGCGCAAAGTGAAAAGTTATTGCTTGCGCTTGGTGTTTGTCTTTTTTGAGTTTCACTCTCAGCATAGTATCCGCAGGATTGTCTGTGGTAAATTGCCCTTTCATATCGCAGAGATGACGCGGAACCTCTTTTGGAGGGTGGCTCCCGGCTCGATGTCAGTTATTGCGTTCGTCCTCATTACGACGGTCCTATTCGGTCAGCACAGCTGGTGGCTGGATGGCGTCTACTTTCTGGAGGTACGTGTTTATGCGATCATCCGTCGTGGAAGGCGAAGACGACTGACCATTTTGTTCCAGGTCGATGTGTCCAAGATGTCCATTCCCCCGAAACTTGGGGAGTCGAGTATTTTGAACGACATCTCGACGGTCTCCGGCACGGATTACACTGGACAGAACTCCACCGCCCAGTCGCTCGGTGTCGCCAGCAGATACACCGTTGGCTTGCTCACAGCTTGTGGGCGCGGCAATGGGACCGCCGTGTGCATGGAGGCGCACGTTGGCTACTATTTTAACATTCCGAAAGTCCTCCGTTTCCCGGCCACTTCGTTGCAAGGGAACGTGAACGGCACCTTTTTGGCGGCCACAGAGTCATACAGAACAGCTAGCGCCTTCATGTCCAGCGGTCTCATCGCCTCCAACGTGTTCAACTTTTTGGTATCCATCGTAGGATGGTTTTCGCCCAGAGGAGCGGGCGTCATGAGCGCTATTTCGACGTGCTTTGCCATCTCCGCAACCATTGCGGCAATTGTTGTCTTCAACAAATTTAATAACGCGATCATGGCCACTTATTCGACGTCTATCGGCTTGACGAGCAACCTGGGCATGTCTGCTATTGTTATTGCCTGTCTGGCCGCCTTCATTTCGCTATTGGCCAGCATTTTATACGTCAGTCGTTCGCTCAGGGAGGATCCGACCCGCCAGCGGCGCCGCATTAGGAACCGCCCGGTTGCTCGTTCGGCCGAGAAGAAGTCGATGCCTTTGATGGAGGGCGGCAACAGCTACAACATGGAAGGCATCGAGGTGTACCATGGTGCGAGCGATGGTAACGGGCAAAGCCAGCAGAAGAGCGGGTTGATGGGTTTCGTGGGCAGCAAGCATAACTATGTCCAGGTCGAGAAGCAACGTCCCCAGGGCGGAGACGACATTGCGAACCAGCCAGTGTCTACCCTTGGCTCACCATATTTGGGACCGCGGCTTGATGAGGACTGGGCGGCTCCAGATGAGTACACGCAAAAGAGGAAACCGGTTCCCAGCCCCCCAAGACTCGACATTCCCGGCAACAGGCAGACGAGGGATCAAAATGCTAGCTATGAGCCGTATACTAGCACGACAACGAGATTTTAATGGATGATTTCGATTAGCCCTTCGTTCCGGAGAAAGGAGACACGAAGCGACGCAGTTCAGCCATGGTATGATAGGTTTGACGGTTCGGATTTGAGTTTTAGATGGCGTCGGATGGGTATGCGGGTTTGGATGTCCTCCTGGTTAGCGCTCATGAGATAATCGGCATTGCTTGTACGTTTTTGGTAGACCTTTGGAACATTTGGTCGGCGCATATGATGTACGATTTCAGTGAATAATTACGAGATCCGAAATATGGTGTCCGATGAGGCGTGACTTGTTGCTTCGATTACCTGGCGTGTTAATTTTGTGACTTTTTCTTCTTGCCGCTCAACCTCTCCCTCGTTGTTGACGTATGGATGGCTACATACCGACAAGACGCAGATTCACAACTTAAAGTCGACGTTGGTCTTTTCCCACCCAAAGGGTGTTGGTTCCAGGGCAGCCACCTTCTCCGTCAGCTGGACCTTCAAAGTCCTGGATCTCTCCGTGCATAATTCGTACATGGTCGTCAAGTTGAAGAGAAGCGTATGTGAGGTCCGGCCGGAGTCCACCAAACTCTCAAGCAGATTTTTGCCCTACGTCACCATTATCCGTTTAGCAACTCTTGATACGAAGTCCAAGTCAGAACAGCGAGAACTTACCTCCTGCAACCTTCCCACGTAGAGCAAACAGACCCCCCTGTTTACACCAACCATCTCGTCATCCGACACCTTGCTCAACTCTTCCCACTGGTTCAATGCTTCAGAGTACTTTCCATCGGCCATATCGCACAAGGCATTCAGAATCCTCTCCGTCATGTCATCCGAAGGGCCTTCGCTGCTCTGTTCGGGCTTCACGCACTTCCTCGCGGCGTCAACGTCTCCCAGATGTAACCACAACAAGGCCCTCGCCATCTGCATTTTACCACTCCCGTTATCACTTTCCTTCAGCGAGGCCAAGTGTTCCACTGCCCCCTTAAGATCATCCATCTCGACCAGTACGCCGGCGACCCTAACGCCTAGATCGTTTAGCCTTTCTCTCCACAGCTGCTTCTCCGAGTTGTCGTGCTTGGCTGCCGCCTCGGCCAAGCGCAAGCGTGCCTCTCTGGCCAGGTCGTAGTAGCTCATGACTGCACGTCTCTGGTCGGCGAAGCTAATAGCTTGCAACCGGACCGCCAAGACACGTAGCTCCCAAGGAATCAGGTTGTGACCTGTCTCATCAATGTAAAAGGCTGCATTTAGATCCTCTAGAGCTTTGACCTCTTGAGTGGCGAGAGCGGTGGCGTCAATGAGGGTTAGGCAGGCCAAGCGGACGTAGAACAGAGAAAGGATGAGGGCATGGTCGACCGGGTCCGGAGCAGGAGCACCGTTGGCCCCGGTGAGTGCTTGGGCGGCAGCAACAGCGGCGGCCCGAAAGTGGCCACCGGCAAGGAGATCGGGGATCGGTGTAGAGGCTGAGGGTTGTTTCGCAGACTGGCGGAAAGGGGGCGGAACGTTGAGGGGGGTCAGCTCATGGTAGATGTCAGGACGGAGGAGGTGGGAAAAGTCGGGTGGAGGGCGTGGAGCCCCGTGTCCGGAGGCAGCGCCACTACCGGGGCCCGGTGAGAAAGACATGCGGGGACTCCGGCCGGCCGGGGATATGGACAAGGGTGGCGGTTGACGGCGGGAGTGGGGCGGAGCGGGGGAGTGGGCTGCTGGGGAGCGGGGGAGAAGCGGAGAGCCGGGGACCGGAGCCCTGGGTTGATGTCCGTGTCCGCCGGAAATCATTTGATGTTGTTGCTCCGCGTGTGACGATGATGTTTTCTGATTGGTCTGTTGTTGAGGAGGCAGGAGAAGAGATGCCAGAGGGGTGCTGCGCCGCAGTCAGTCGACGTTCAGAGCATTGGATAAGGGTCAAGGTATGGACTCACTCATCAACATCAAGGGGGCCCTTGGTGGAGGAGCGCGGGCGCGTGGCTAAGACGAGAGATGGCTTAGTTATCAGCCTGATGTTTGACTACCTCTGTATCTAGATAGACTAGATAGAGTTGAGATATGTTCCACCTACCTTTGACAGCAGACCGCGTCCTTTGATGCCCTTTTGGATGCTGTGATGATGACTCTTGATCCATGATGAAGAACAGGCCAAATGAAATGATGAAATGAAACAAGGACTAGTTCTAGTGGCACTAGTGAATAGTGACGGATTGCGCTCAAGTGCAGTTCTTGCTCAATCAGTTGGTTGTTGTCGGATTGCCTTGAAGTGGAAGTGTGACGGTGGTGAATTGTTGAAGCCTAGCAGAGAGTAATAGCGATGTGATTGTTCCAATTCCGCGGCGGGGAGCAAGGAGGTGATTCCTATTGGGGCGGTTGTTAACGAGATTAACAGCGTCAATGATCACAGCCCCTGCTTCCGTTCTCTGCTGTTAATTCGCCTAACACGCCTGCCACTAGGTGTCCGTACCCGACCGCTCGGAAACCGGCACCCGGGGCTGCAGGCGGAAGCTTCCTTTTTCAGTGGGCACACCTCACCAGTGAGACAACTCCTCGGAGGAATCATCTCTTCCCTTTCAACTTCCACCCATCACAGCCTCCATTTTACTACAGCATTTTCGTTCAACTGTTTACTTCTTCTTAGCAATACAAGTGCTGATCCCCGTTCGTCGTCAGGTGAATGCTCCCCGAGCGCCACGTCCCCAATGGCTCTTGTTGAACGACCCCTTCTCACCTCCGCGAGTCCTCACTGGCATCGTCGTCATGAGGCTTCCTTTTATTCAACCTTTTGTCCATATGAGGAGAACTCCCTCTCACCGTCAACATGTCTTTTGAAAACCACAGCAGACTGTAGTCGACCCAAGGGTCCTCAAGCTCATCAGTATGCCTTCTCACGTTCCCACTTTGACCTCGGTCGACCTGCTCGGCGAGCTCCAAGCACCGGGCACCGGGCACCGGGCACGGATCTGTTCCGGAGTTCAGTTCCGGACCCAATGATTGGTTTACAGTTGAACGAAACCGACTGGAGTTTCAGCTCAGGAACAGCTGATCCGTTCGCATAGCTCACATAGGCCAGTGCTTATGATCACTTTCTCTTCGTTGTTGTCTGATTACTTGTTGGCGGGCGATTAATTATTCAATGTGGCGCCATGGTAGAATCGCGGTGTTGATTCACAACTGTCTAGACTTGTCTTCATTTCCCATTTCGATACTTCGTTGCTTCTTCACAACCTCTATTCCATGTGAAAACACTGGGCAATTTCACCCCATGGGGATAGACTCAGCATGGGTGGCGCAAGCGAGGGTGAAAGTTCAAAAAAATACGAATTATGACATAAAGGTTGCAGTCGTTAAGCTTTGGGCACATCTCGGTCACAACTCGGGGACTACCGTACCGTACCCCTGATGTTGACAGGCCAAGCTCTGTGGCTGTTGTCATTTCTCGAGCGTTCCTGTCTTTCCCACTATGACCGATGAATAAGCTCTTGGGCTTGTCCAGGTTGTTTATGATCTTCAGCCCTTCCGCCCTCCTCGTCTCCGGCTGCTTGGTTGACCTTTTACTTGACATGGATCAATATTACGACGACAGCAACAACAAAACAGCATATACGACGAGTTCTCTGCGAGACCTCCCGTCAAGATGGCCGGATTCCTGATCCCGCCGTGGTACAAATCGTATGAGCCAACGGAAAGCGATCTCATCTTGGCGACGTTCCTATGGGGCTTCACCTTTGCCATTGCTATCTGTGTACTCGTCAAGGGAGTAAAGCAGACACACCGATGCTTTCGACGCTGCCACTTCTGGAACCTATACATCATCATGATTTGGGCAGAGTGGGCATCATGCCTTTGTGTCGCTGCCAGCAGCTGGTTGTTTTTAAGAGGCGTCATTCAACCAAGGTTACGTTCAACTACTTGCCCATCAATGTTTTTGTCGACCTGGATTTCTGTTAATGCAATCAGGAGCTTTGCTGACTTGAGATGATACCATAAAGCTTTTGGTACTTCTTGACGTTGAGTAAGTCACTTCCTCAACATGTCATTGGTGCATATGTTATAGGTCGTGGAGGCAAGCGTTAACGTATCACTCGCCATTGATCTATATATTAGTCATTTTCTGGACCATCAAGGTACGCAATGGTTTTTAAACAATTACTCTCTTTCACAAACAAACATGAGCTGACCATCGCCACATCTCCCAGACACAATGCCTTATGCAAATTCTTACGAACCGGATTTCCCTCATCCTCTACAACCCTGAGAAGGCCAGGAAGCTCAAGCTCTACATCTTCCTGGCCATCGGCGTCATCAATGTCAGCGTCTTCATTGTCTGGATCCCCGCCCGCCTCCAGCTGAGCGAGAAGTGGATCCGCGTCAACGCTGTCTGGGACCGATTCGAAAAGGTCCTATTCCTAGTCATCGACGGTGGCCTCAACTACTACTTTATGTGGCTTATCAAGTCGAAATTGGTTGCCAACGGGTTGACCAAGTACAGACTTGTGTACAGATTCAATCTGTTCATGGTCGTTATTTCACTCTCGCTTGATGTAAGCGTCATTCTTTGTTCGCGTACATACGATGCATGGGCTAACGAGCGCACTTCGATATAGGTCCTGCTCATAGGTTCAATGTCTCTCCCCGACGACGTCCTTTACGTCCAAGTCCACCCCCTAGCTTACATGACCAAACTTTACATCGAGATGAACATTGCCGAATTCCTCGGCAAGATCCTCAAGCAACCGAATCGTCGACACAACTCCTTTTCTCTGTCGAACGACTGCCACAATCCCACTACGCGTAATGGCCGGCGTCCTGATATCGAAGCGACCGGCAACCCGATTTCCAACCGCGAATGGCGGAACTCAAAACACCAATTTCACGTCAAGCCATCTGGCGGGCAGATGCACCCGCTCAACATGGATCTGTTGACAGGCGGGGAGAAGAGCCATGATCGTACAAACAAGTGGGGTAGGACTCATGGGGCTGGATTGTACGACGTCTGTGCGGAAAAGGAGGACGAAGTAGGAGAGCCATCGACACCAAGCGAAGTTCATGTCAAAGATTCGTCATGGCCGATGATGGAGGTCAAGAGGCGATCAAGCAGTTCCGAAGAGATGAGGCAGCCGAGGAGGGTTCGACCTGGGATGCAGCGCGCAGAGACTTCTGCCGGGTACGACGATGGGGACGACAACAGCCGTGATACTACTGGTGATGGGTGGCGTGCCAACCGTTGCCTTTCACAGGACCATCGGAGTTCAAGGCACAAGCGGGATAGTGGTGTGGAAACAGACATGGATACCTCTACTGATGGACTGATGCAAGGAGCGATCCCGCCGACAAAAACCTACAGTGACCATGAGGAGGGGAGATGACAATCGCTTCAAAAGGCTTGGTCTAGGTCAAGGAAAACTGGAGGCTCAAAGCCATACTATAATATCAGAATGGATTCGGACTCGCAAGGAGAGAGGGTTCACTGAGGATTCTGCGTCAACAACGACTGGTTTCCCGACCCTACTATTACGCAAGAACATCTTCGGACACATGACGTCGACGCAACAAAACCGCAAGGTGCAATCACAACTTCCTATGCCTCGAGGCATCTTGCACCACCCTTTCCGAGTCCTCATCTTTTCCTTCATCACTTTGTATTCTTGTACAATGGTAGTTCCCGCGGGAACATCAAGCACTGTTGACAAGTCACCCCTGCAACGTTACCAACAAGCGTCAAACTCGAAATTGCTAGTGTTATTACGACACAAGACTCCACGAGAATCACGGTTCATTGACATTGGGTGTCACGATCTGGATACTTTCAGGTAGCCAAGGGTCGTCGAGTCCATGATGGGGGGGTTTTCTGCAAGGGGTCAACAGCTCTTCATGGTGTCACTTCAACTTCCAGGCGCGTACGAAGCGTGGCACATGTTTTTCATTGCTACATGTACATATGTTACGGTATACCAAAACTTCAATGATCAACTGTGTGCCCTGGAACAAATACTTTTGGTCACTTGGTCCCTTGCCGATTGATACGCTGTGTCAACGAACACTTGCCTTTTCTGGCGCCAACGTTAGACAGTATTATCAAGGGGATTAGCAAAGCTGAAGTGTTGGAGATTATGATCCGGGAGAAAACTCTCACGGGGAAAGAGGTCAGAAATGGTGAATGGGGAGTAAGCTCGGTTCTAACTTGATCAGGGAGATTGTGGTTGATCTGAGGCTTCGCATTGTTTGTAACAAGAGAGCTACACCAGACACTCAGCGTTGGACGGTCTAGGCTTTGCCAATGTCTTTTGCCACTTCTTGTCTCTCTCATGAAGCGAGATCCAGATCCCGCAGGCCGCCAGCTTGTGGCATCAACTGAACTATACAAGCTTACTCGGCCAGTTTCGGATGGTGCACGTCATGAAAGCTTAGCTCGATAATATATATAGCGAGACCGAATCAAACAGCACATGGCATGAACGGTTCCAGATCGGCCTATTCGCATTTCACGTGTCAGGTGTTGCGATCTGATATGCAAGAAACGCGCAGTCTGGCATTCCATTGACATCAATTCATTCATTCCATCCTCTCTTGTTCGGAGCGAGCTTCCCAAGCCAGCTTCGATGTCTGTCTTCCACCTCATTTCCATTCCATCGAGGGAGGAGCGCGTGTTAGAATGTGCTACGTGCCAGCGTCACGGGTATCACGTCGTTGCAAGAACAACGTGGGATCGAGACTCGAAGAGAGGAGAAAGGAGGGGGCAACAGATTCGAAAACGAACTCGAACTCAACCCAATTCACGTGGATTGAATGAGACTGAAGAGCAGGCAGAAGTGGAGTTTATATCTCGGACGACCTGCCGTCACCGCACCTTCCTTGACCGGATCGAAACCCAAGCTGTGGCTTCACCTTCCAGTATTCCATCCCAAGTCGTACCTTCCGCACCTTCCCAATTTCGAGAACCGTTGCTGGGGAGCCGCAAGATTCTGCCTCCCTCGCCCGCTTCTGTTTTGAAAAGCCTTCTTCCATTCACTGGCGGTTGCCTCCTTCCTCCTTTTTCTACCCCTCCTTGGGCTCAGTCTCTCTCCTTCGCCCTTCATCATCACCAACTCACTTTCTCTCCCCCCACAAACTCAACATCACAACACTTCAGGTTGGCAATCCCTTCAGCGCGCGTCCACTCTTTCCCCGTCGAAGATGTACTCGTCTTCGATGCTCGTCGCGCTTTTCGCGCTCGTCAACTCTTTGCCTGGAGCACTTGCGGGCTTCTCGCCCAGTGCTACCGGAAACATCGCGATCTACTGGGGTGAGCAGCTTCTTCCAACCGAAATTGCGCGCGCTTCGTCGAATACTACTCAAGAACACTGAAAGAACTAACCATGAGATCAATCTCACGATACAGGACAGAACTCTGCGAGCCAAGTCGGCGGTCAGCAGCGTCTTGCCTACTACTGCCGCAGTACGTATTATCTCCCCTTCACTTTTGCCTCAGAATTCCAGTCACTCGTCTAACACTGGGATTCATAGACACCAATGTCAACACCATTCCTTTGGCGTTTCTCACTGTAATCAAGAGCACTGAGGTCAACTTTGCAAATGCTGGTGATAACTGCACCTATTTTCCTGGCGATACCCTCAAAAGATGCCCTCAGATCGAGTAAGTTCGCTGCCCTTTCATTTCAGTGTCCACACACAGGGAAGCCGAATTTCTAACCACTATTCTGAGCCCACAGGGAGGACATCAAGACCTGCCAGTCCCTCGGCAAGTCCATTCTTCTCTCCATCGGCGGAGCGACATACGTTGAGGGAGGCTTCAGTTCCCCAACCGAGGCCGTCGATTGGGCCGACCGTCTCTGGGCCATGTTTGGCCCTGTCTCCAGCTCCGACAAGCGCCCTTTTGGTAGTGCTGTCATCGATGGTTTTGATTTTGATTTCGAAGCCGTTGCCAACAACATGGTCCCATTCGCCGCTCGTCTCCGTTCCCTCATGGACTCGGCCGCTGCCACATCTGGCAAGCAATTCCTCTTGAGCTCAGCACCCCAATGCCCCTTCCCAGACCTCGCTAACAACGAGCTTCTGAAATCCGTGGCATTCGACTTTGTCTCGGTTCAATTCTACAACAACTACTGTGGAGTGCATACATTCCAGTTCGGCTCCCCCAACCAGAACAACTTCAACTTTGGCACTTGGGACAACTGGGCCAAGACTGTCAGCAAAAATAAGAATGTCAAGATTCTCGTTGGAGTCCCGGGCAGCCCGTCAGCTGCAGGCATCGGGTACGTGGCTGGAGGCCAGCTGGCCAACGTCATCAAGTACTCGCAGACCTTCTCAAGCTTTGGCGGCGTCATGATGTGGGACATGAGTCAAGTCTGGGCCAACACCGGCTTCCTCGACAGCGTTGCCTCGGCCCTGGGCTCAACCGGCGGAAACGGTGGCGGCGCAGCCCTGACTATTGCGACTACCGCAGTGCCTGTTCCTACTACGACCTCGTCCACGCCCGTAGTGCATACTGCCACTAACTGGGTTACAGTCACCATCTGGGCCACAGCTACAGCTACAGGCAACGCCCCCGGTACGACTGCTAAGAGCACGTCGATCAAGAGCTCGTCGGCTAAGAGCACGACGACTGCGTCTACGCCTACTCAGGCTGTTGGACTGGTCAACCAGTGGGGACAGTGTGGTGGCAATGGCTATAGGGGCCCAACTTCCTGCCGGGCTCCTTATAGCTGTGTCAAGCTCAGTGACTGGTGGTCACACTGCAACTGAGTTTGCTTCTGCTTCTCAGTGAAGTGGATAGTCGATGTGGCGATCGACACTCTGTGGGGTGGGACATGAATTTCCCCGTCATATCTGATCGATATTGATTGATGCGGAGTGAACATTTTCCTTTGCACATATTCGGCTCTCTCATATTCTGGTTGTTCATATTCTTGTACATACACCATCATCTTCCTGTTTGTCACCTCTTTGAGCACTCATGGTACGGCTTTCAAACGCTTTCCTGCTTCTATTGAGAATGATCGACAAACTCGGGAGGTCAATGGCTTATACTCTTATTCGGATCTTTTGCTTTCCTTGCTCATAATGCTAGTGGCATTATGTCGCATTCTTCACTTATGGTTTCCGGCAAAGCTTTAGCTGCCAGATAAAGTTCGGGATGTGGGAGAACGGGCAATTTCACAATAAGAGCTTATTATGACGACGGTTGGTCCAATTCCCGACGTCATTTAGCCTAGGCTATAGGTTTCGTTTTGATATTTCTCTCAACCACAACCCATTGATGTTCCTTCATGATACCAAGTTATGCCAGTCTGTGCCCTTCCTGTTTTGGGCAACGGAAGGCTCATGTATCTGAGCAGTAGATACTGATCTGTCAAAGACGCGCGGAGAAGTTTATCCCACCTCTCTTTTCATTAATTTCGCAGCTTCTCATTGATGGGAACTTATTTACTGTGTCTGCGTGTCGTAACCTTAACCATGAAATGCCCCAGGAGTCCCGTATACCCAACCTAAGGTTTTGCAACCGAAGAGGGAATAAGCTCACCAAGCTAGGATGAACTTACGACTACCTCACTTCATAAGGTTACAACCACCCCGCGTTTCCCCGGATTGTACAGTAACAATGGTCTAGACTCTTCAACCTCGAGCGAAGCTGAACTTGAGAAGAGCGGAATGTTACTGGGTATTGTCGATTTGCCGGCATTTCATGAATAAAAAGCGACCCAAGTCTTGACTGCCGGACTGGAGGATGCTTTGTACGGACTTTTCTCCTTGGACTTTAGGGTTTTCAGAACCCAGTAGACGAGTGAGGTCAAGCAAGGCCTCAAATCGCTAACGTGTTCATTAAGGTAGACAAATGCATATTGCATAGAAGTGCTAACCAGGCTCACGGCTCACAGAAACGGGGAAGAAGTATCCAGAATCAAATCGCAATATGGGAAGTAGAGTGAGTGTAATAACGAAGAGCGGCCGGCGACTGCAGACAGCGAGAGCTCGCTTGGATGAGCATCACGACATACATTCAACCGATCCCACCACCTCGGTTGGAACGGTATATTCGATCTCTCGTCTCACATTAAGCACTACTAACCTAGCTTCATGAAAGTAGATAACGCGGACGCGGCAGCAGGCAATCTAACAAACCCCGGAGTCCGATAGAGTACCATCGTTTATTGGGAACTGGCGGCCGGCATTACTTTAGTCTCTTCAAACTATATTGCATGCACAGGTCTTCCTCGAACTATTCGACATTGTAAGTGAAGATGGTGGAGGGTACGGTGGAAGACACGGTGAAGACCGGCTCGGCGATGAAACCGAGAAGGAAAGAAAAGCGACGATGACTACCCCTTTCGGCGTTGTATCTACACATTCTCTGCTTTCTATCCGGTTGACGGTACTCACTCCAGCCCTTAGAGGTAGGTTAGAGGCAGGTTAGAGGTAGGTTAGAGGTAGGTGGCAGGCAGGCCAGCCAAGCTGCCATGGCCATGATGAAATCGGAATGTGACCTTCCCGCCATCATTTACAACCGAGCGTTTGAGTATCATACTTCAGAGCTCACCAAGCGGACTGGGAAAGAGACTCACCTCGACAAATATAATAACCCCTTCATGAACCCCTCAAAGCCGAGAGCATTTCCGTTCAGCCAGATTCAAGCTCTTCAAGCCTCCAAAGTCCCGTCCAACCAAGCCATCATCCAACAACCTCTTACTTACCAAAATAAAACCCACCAAGTCCCCAAAAGACACCATCAGGATGACCCGCATCCTCCTCACCCTCCTGGCCACGGCCGCCGCCTTCCAACAGGCCCTTGGCGCCCCCGTCGCTCAAGTCGGCGCAAAGCCCATCGGCGCCGCTCCTCCAGCGCTGCCCCCCAAGCCCATCCCGCTCGGCATCGCTCCTCCAGCCCTGCCCCCCATCCCGCTCGGCACCGCTCCTCCAGCCCTGCCCCCCAAGCCCATCGGCACCGCTCCTCCAGCCCTGCCCCCATGCTCATCGGCGCCCCTCCTCCAGCCCTGCCCCCCAAGCCGATCCCGCTCGGCGCCGCTCCTCCAGCCCTGCCCCCCATCCCGCTCGGCACCGCTCCTCCAGCCCTGCCCCCCAAGCCTACCGTTACGGCTTCGGTCCCAGTGCCGCCTAAGCCTACTGTTACCGGACCCCCTGCGGGACCTAAGCCGACTGTTACTGGTGAACCGCCTAAGCCTAGCCCTGCGGGACATCCTAAGCACTAGTGTTCGGGGAGGCAGCATAGCTGCCTTCCCTTCCCCGGGCGATGAAAGGCTGGATCCTGGATTGTGGCCCGTGTAGATATTGGATACTGGGTTGCACCGTAGCTGAAATAAAAAGTAGAGAGAAACCTTTGCTTTGAAATCGATGTACAAATGGAGGTGCAAATGGAGGTGCAAAATGCACTAACAGAAATGAAAGTTAAGATGTTAGGTCTAACAATTCTTTTGTGGGAGAAAAGTGCAGTTTTGGGCCGTGTGTTATGAGTTTGATAGTGCAAACGAGGTTTTAAATGGGGGCCGCCCGCAAAAAGCACTAACACCCTACCCGGACCTTTTAGCGTCAACCGTCGTGTAAGTGGTGATGGAGTTTGTGGGGGAATGAGATGGAGGTTGTGAGAGGGAGGGAAGGGGGTGAGGTGGTGCCTGGTTGAGACTCGAGAGTTGGAGGTGGAAAAAAGGAAAATGCTACGATGACGGGACTCGATTCGTTGCAGGATTGGAAACGGTCGGGAAGTATCATCGGCATGGGATTTAGTTTCGGTTCCAGTTCGGGGCAGGGCCAAGGTATCAGGTCGAGACGGGTCGCAGATGCGGTCGAACTGTTGACGGTATTCTTGGACTCGGAAGTTCCAGGTTGTTGTCTATGTTCGCTTCTGGGGAGGATCAGTATGTATTGCAGTTGAATCTTCGTTCAATTAAGACTGTGCTTGAATCTCATTATCAGGCCTTCAGCTATAAACTTCGGCGAGCAATTAATGCCATGGGGCCTCAAAATATCGAGTTTCATGTTTTGTGCTCACATGACCGTCGAGTGTCGTTACCCCCGAGATTGATCACGAATGGAATGCGGTTGTTGCTGGTCACGAGACCAGGGCCCAAGCTCAACTTTATGCCTCGACCAATTGTCATCGACAAGTTCCAGACGAAAGCGCCCAAAATGTAAAGCGGGTTTGCCAGAGGAATATTCCGTCCACTTCAGGACATGTGATAGTAAGATCCAAACAGGCCGGAGTAAGGAACGGAAGTCATCGTCTCTTGGGAGGACCCGCCTGAAGCTTCATCTGCGGTGTTGGAACCCTAACCCTTCACTTGAAGCAACCTGGGCTGGAGTGCCCGGAGTGGAACCTTGAGGATTGTGACGATGATGGCATCATGGCAATGCCAGAATCCGTTCGCTCCAAGATCGCGACCTGAAAATCCCATGTGCAAACCCGGAAACACGAGGCGCACGTTGCGAGATGGAGAGAATGCTGATGCCATGCAGACACGCGACCGCACGGGGATAGCGGAATTTCTCAGTGTGAAAGGCGGAATCATGTCGGACAACTTGATGCGATGCCTATCGAACTGACATTTGCGCAGACGCCTTAACGTCCTTGCTTCTTGCATGTAAGTGAGCATCATGCACCCCGTGTTTTCCTCAGCATATGCCATCATGCGCAGCTTCGAGCATGGCAGCATGCGATGGGTAGTGTAAAAGCACTTCCGTTATCCTGTCAATCGGCCGGTTCCGAAATCTCAACTAGAGCATTTTGCGTCTTGCGAGACGTCAAAAGGAGAGCGGTGGACGTCAACCGCAGCGATCGCCATAAACCACAAATTCCCTGGTGGGCCTAGCTCGCCTACTGTGTAGTTTGGGACCCTGAATTCCCTGAAAAGCCAAGAAGTTCCATGGACCCTTTGGTCCAGCTAAGGGCTTACATCATCACCGCTTAGTGGCGGTGACGACGTTGTTGACGAAGAGGGTCCGGAAGAAAGCATGGCAGTTAGCGTCGGTTGTTGTTGGCGGCGGAGGAGATTGTTACGTAGGGGCAGTGGATTTGTTGTATGAGGTGAAGGTGGAAACCACCAAAACACCATGACCGAGGACCAGTGATGGCAGTGACTGCCTCCGTCCTCCTCCCCATCGCGTGGCTATGACGACGGACGGAGACAACGGGCAACGGGGGGAATTCAACACCGACTTGGACTGGGGGCCCGTGAGGCTTTTACGAGAGGAAGTTCACGAGGTCCACCTCCAGCTCGCTTGTCGGGTCTCCGTTTGAAGCCGAGCTTGTGTCGAGCTTCGGGCTCGAAGTTACCGGGGAGATTTGCGAGACTTCACCCCAACCGCTGGGCGCAGGGAGGGAGAGACGGGAAAACAAAAAAAGGGGTCTTTGTTGACACTTTTCCACTTCGCGGTGGTGTTGATCTGATCGTGGGCGGCGGGATCTCAAATGGCTTTAGAATCAATGGCACGATTCTCGACCCAATCTGCGACTCTTGTTTCCCGTCCGAGTCCATACAGATTTCCCCACCGCGCCAACCCCCGTCCGTTCCTTGCACCTTCTCTCACATGCAAGTTTGGAATGTGGCTTCATCTTGTCCAAAACTGGGCGCATGCAGCCGGGCAGCGCCGCAGTTTTGGCAGTTGACAGGAAGTGGCCGCATAACCGCAGTAGCCACGCGCTACAGCCGTCTGGGGTGCGTGCAGCTGGCGGCCGCGGGACACGGCTTGTGTGTTGTCCCTCGGCTTGCCGCTTAAGTGGAAGCTTGGCGCTGCTTTCCCCCCACAGTTGACCACTCCCTGACCAATCGCACCAGCCAGTGAACGTCTGGGGATGGTCGGGTGTCTGGGCAATCTGGGGAGAGGCAGACGACCAGAACGGGCTGGACGGGAATAATAAACAGCTGGTGAGACCACCTTTTAAACCTGATCACCCCACCATGGGATGCCCTCGGATGCCTTCCATGCCACCATGATGAATGATCTTACGGCTTGCCGACTCCCCAGTGTCCCGTTCGGTTGACAGGCCTGCTTTTGCATATCAAAGTGTTGCATTCTATATTGGCTACCGGTACTCAACCCACCCCCTCATGCGGAAAGGGCAGAAGAGGACGAGGATACATATACCTGACTCGTGCCCATTCCCAAGAGAGAAAGGGTGACCGCTGAACCATCAGAGCATCTCCTCCCCCCTGGCGACCCAAAGTGTTCCCAATCTCGTCTTACGTTGTTCAACTCCGCAGTCCGATCTGCAATCTGCTCTGCCTTGGCCCTTTTGAGATCTCCGCTTCCCCACGTCGCTCTCGTCCTCCGCTGCTATGAGCTAGGCGTGCCGTCGACAGGATCCACAACGTCAACAACAAACCCATCTTGGAAATATATAAGACGTCACTCCCCCCCCTTTCTCGAAAGGAAGAGATCATCATCATACATCGATATATCACACCTACAAAGCCCATCCATCTACATACTCGAGCTCAAGACGCCTCAGTCACCTATAATACACTACCTCACAACAACAACAACAACAACAACAACAACAACAACAACAACAACAACAACAACAACAACAACAACAACAACAACAACAACAACAACAATAACAACATCAACATCATCCATTACAACAACAGTCAACAAGCCCACACTAGCGCTGTCGACTGTTCTTACACCAAGTGACCAATAACGACAAGCCAAATCAACAACCATCCAAAAAGCCATAATGAACCGCCAACCACCTTCCCGCCTCCTCACCACCTCCGCTCGCGTATACCCCACCTCCCTCCCCCACCTCTACTCAGCTTCCAACAAATCCACCAAGGGTCTCAAATGGTTGGTCCCACTTCCCCGCAAACCACCCTTCTCTCCTCCATCTCGCAATCTCACTAACACATTTTTCCTATAGGCTTCCACCCCTAGTAGGCATCGTCGCCATCGGCTACGGCATCACCACCTACCGCGAAGCTCAGATGCAACAGCGCGTGGCGGCCATGGAACAAGCCGAGATGGAGAGGCAGCGTCGTGCGAACATGTTGGCTGACGCCTATGGTGACCGCGGCAGTCTTGAGGAGCTGGAGCGGGCTGTTAGAGCGTATGAGGCTCAGCAAAGGCAGTGAGCGACTCTCATTGCTGCTGCTGTTCCCGATCGTCACTTTTTCTGTTCTGTTCTGGACCGACGCACTCATACGACGCGACACGGCGACGGCGACGGCGACGGCGACGAACTGAGTGACTGAGGCGACAACTTGAGCCAAGCCGATTTCATGAAATGATTTACGACGAATGGAGTTTCTTTGGGGGAATGGGGTTTTTGGCGTTTTGGGGCCTAAGTCATATCGGACGGGGCTGATTTTCTTTTGTTTTGGGATTATCATGGGAAACGGTACGGGGATATGCATCAGCGTCAGAAGCATCCGCATACGTGCGTGCAAATTGTCTGAGCCATGCGATTTTTTGGGTTATTGTTTTTTTTTTTGGATATTTTGGGGGATGGGATACCCACGGGTATTGGCTTGTTTGTCGTTTTGGAAGAAAGGGCGTGAGAAGTCACAAGGGCCGACGCCTGTTTTATTTCAGCATCGTCAGGATGCAGAAAAAGGGGGAGAGGGAGGCGAAAGCTGGACGAAATGCCCATCGTCAGCCTTTGCGCCGCAATCCTCCTCATTTATTCATCTTCATCGATGTGTTGGTAGTTTTAGCTTCATCACCACGAGATCTACAACATTGCCCGGTATTTTGAGGGCGTGAAATATTATAAACATTTGAATGAACAGAACAGCTTCATCTCGCGACTGGAACCGTGATCATCAAGAACACACAGACACCACCATTTCCGGAAAGACATGCTCAGCCGACGAGCTCACCCAAACAAGCTCCAAGCTTCAACAGATCTTCCTCTCCAAACCAAAAAGCCGAGAGCTAAAGAGCTAAGAGATGATCCTCGCCCCCCCTATTCGTTTACCCCGACCTCTCGAGTAGCTCGGTCCCTTAAATCCGAGGCCCAGCCGAGCGTATCTACGGGCAAAAAGGTACGGAGGTACGGAGGTACTCTCCGAGGCGCAGCAACGAAGTTACATCCACTTGGTACCTCCCGTTCCTATGAGAATGGTCCCATATCAAGCCACTGCCCACCTGTGTTCGAACCACACTCCAATGAGTCCCGAAGGGACCCCACGAGCTTAGAGGCTGGGCGTTGTCGTTGATAGGTGGCTCGGTTCGGGAAGTGGTAATGGAAGTGAAAGTGGAAGTGAAAGTGGAAGTGAAAGGGTGGGATACACAACAGCAACAACAACAACAACATCATAGGTAGGCGAACATCATAGGTAGGCGAGGATGTGAATGGTGTCTGGTTGTGCTGTCAGGAAAGAAGCAATTCCCCCACCGAACGTCAACCACGACACCACGACACCACGACACCTCATAGCCATAGGGTACCGGCAGCAGCTGTGGACGTGGACACTGGACAGTAATCCATCACATCTTGTCCTCTTCCCTTTGTTTCCCCCCTCCCCCCCCCTCTGTACACGTACTAGCGTACTAGCGTACTCCGAGGCGTGAAACCCAACCCTTTGCTGTCGTGCCATTGCCCTTTTTGATCAACTTTTAGGAGGGCCTGGAGGGGTGATTAATGGTTGATGCAGCCACGGGTTGCACCGTCACAGACCGGTGCGAATCTGGTGAATCTTGCCAAGGTTTACTTGGCAGGAGGAGGGTGTTATTGAGATCGTGGGTGTGGTGGAGAGCGGGTCAGGGAGGGCACGGTGAGGATGATCGGACGGTTGATGGTGTGTTGACAGTGTTGTTGACAGCGGGATGGGATATAAAGATGGGAGGGGCCAGGCTGAGCGAGGTAAGTGACCGTCTCATACTATGAAGCTGCTTGGAGCTAGGGGCCTTCTTCGAACAACCTGGTGTATGTCTCTCTTTGGTATCAACGCCAATACTATTTCCGATGAAGGGCTATTCCCAAGATACCGGCCCAGTGGTTGAGGGCATATGCTAACCGTAAAACATGACATGAAAATATGAACAAAAATGAAAAGGAGACCGGGTGTGCTCCACGTACACTACTTCAACAACACATCCATCATCTCAAAGCCGGCTTCTTCTTTCCTTTCGCCTGTGCCTCCTTGGCAATCTCCTCCTCCTCGTCCTCCCACTCGCCGTCCTGCTCCATCTTGGCATTGGCTTGCTCCTCAGCATCACCAGCCAGTCCCTCGCTGTCAAACCCGTCGTCGTACATATCGCTGTCATACGGGTAGTCGTCCATGTCCATCTCGTCCTCGTCGTCGCTTTCGTCCTTGCTCTTTCCGCCGGTGGCCTTCCTGTGAGCAGCCTTCTCGGCCTTCTTCTTCTCCACGTTGGCCTTCTGCTGCTTCCTGCGCGCCTCCTTCTCCCTCCTCTTCTGCTCCCACTTCTTCTCGAGCTCCCTGATCTCCTCCTGGGTCTTGTGCACATACTCGTGCCACAACACCTTTCCTGAGCAGATGCCCTCCTCAACCTTGGTCATGCGTAGCCGCATGCGAGGTCCGAGCTCCACCAGCTTTACTGCCCTGCGCTCAACGTTGTCGTTGTGGCCCTCCTCTTCCTCCTCAGCAGCCTCCACCGCCGCAATGGCAGCCCGAGCCTTGGCGCTCTTGACCTTCTTCGGGCCTTGGTCCAGGATCTCGATCTCGGCGTCGGTGTCGTATTCGCTGCCGCTTGTGCCGTCCGTCATGTAGCCTTGGCCATCCTCTCCGCCGATCATGAACTCTGAAATGTCGCGGAGCTTGCCGAGGTTCGGGAGGCCGCCTTTCCTGCTCTTGGACTTGATGAGCTTCTCGGCGGCGTTCAACCGCCTAAGGGGCTTGGACATGCCGACGGCCTTTGTTGTGATGGCGTAGTGGCGGAAGTTGATGATGAATGAACCGTCGTTCTCGGGCGACTTCTCGCGGTTGAGAAGTAATACTCTGCGAATCGACTTGAGAGGGGTCTTCTGGGGGTTGATGGGAGGGAAGAGGGACTGGAAGGCGGTCGTCGTGATGGATTCGAGGTGCTTGGGGACCTTGGAGTTTGCGTCGGCGTTGGGATCTGTGAAGTTGTTCATGACCAACTAGATTGCACCGTTAGTAAACAAAGTAGGTTGAAAGTGCAGACAGCAACATACCAATGGGGGAGTGAGGTACTCCTTGCCGCCGCCCTTGGGGTGCCTTTGCGCCCTCCGCACATCTTTTGCGAGAGAGTACTTGTCGACTCTGAAGTTGAATGTAGGGCCTCGGGGAGCAATAGCAAGTCTGAGGTTGGTGTTTCCAGACTCGGATCTGGAGAAGAGCAAAAGATGTGTGACGCCCAGCGGGCCGCACATGGTAACGTAGTCGCGCAATCTGTTGGCCTTCCTCTCCTTTAATCTAGTCGCAGTTGCGGGCTCCATGACTCTCCTGACATCGGTTGCCAATTGACTGATGCTGGTTCCCACTTCGCCGGCGCCAATGCGAATGACCATGCTCTTGGGGTCCTTGCGGTCGGCATGGCCGTTGAGGGCCGCCGAAGAAACGGGGTTCTTGGCGCCAACGTGGGTTCTCTTCTTGACTCTTTTCCTGGCCATTGTGAATGTGGTGGTGGTTGTTGTCTGTGGTGGGTGATGTGGGTGGTGAAGAAAGAGGTGGTGATGATGTTTTAGTTGAAAGGTCTGGAACTGGCAGACCTGACTCGAACAGTGCAGAATTGCAGGCAAATGTCAATGGGCGTCCCTGATGGAGAAGCTTGGGACAATGGCCCGTTCTGACAAAAATTTCGGTGGGGCCGGGGCTTATCGTGCAGGACCCGCCAACGATAAGCCTGGAAATTTGGGGAAGATCAATGGAAAGTGACATAAAAGTTCACTGGGAAGTCCTCGCGCCCTTCGCTGTCGGTCCACCCCCATTATTCACCATAACTATCACCAACCATCATGTCGACAAAACGGAGGAATATTTCTGACGAGCCCAGCGCCCTCAAAAAGGCGGCTGCTCCTTCTGCCCCCGAGCTGAAGAAGGAGAAGAAGCTCAAGGATAAGTCCAAGGACAAGTCCACCACCAAGAAGGCAGAGAAGACGGAAAAGAAGCAAGATGCGCCAGAGCCAACAGAGCAGTCAACAGAAGAAGACTCGGCGACTCTCGACAATGCGCCGGAACAGGAGGAGGAGGTTGAGACTGTCAAGAAGTCCTTCAAGGATCTTGTATGTTTACTTGTCAACCCGGTCCATGTCAATGCTACGAAAGTGCTAACTGATATCCTACACAGGGAATTGTCGACGCCCTCTGCGAAGCTTGCGAACGTCTCGGATACAAGAACCCGACCCCCATTCAAGAACAGTCGATTCCCCTAGCCCTCCAAAACCGCGATATCATTGGTATTGCCGAGACCGGTTCCGGTAAAACAGCAGCCTTTGCCCTTCCCATCCTACAAGCCCTCCTCGACAAGCCGGCCCCTCTATTCGCCCTCGTCCTCGCGCCCACAAGAGAACTGGCAGCCCAGATCGCCCAGGCTTTCGAAGCGCTCGGTAGCTTGATCTCGCTAAGATGCGCTCTGATCTTGGGTGGTATGGACATGGTCACACAGGCGATTGCTCTCGGCAAGAAGCCCCACGTTATCGTTGCGACTCCCGGTAGACTGCTCGATCACCTGGAGAAGACCAAGGGCTTCAGTCTGCGCAGCATGCAGTACCTGGTCATGGACGAAGCCGATCGTCTGCTCGACATGGACTTCGGTCCCATCCTCGAAAAGATCCTCAAGTTCCTCCCCCGCGAGCGCCGGACCTTCCTCTTCTCCGCCACCATGTCCAGCAAGGTCGAGTCTCTGCAGCGCGCCTCGTTGCGGGACCCCCTCAAGGTCAGCGTGTCCTCCAACAAGTACGCCACCGTCTCGACGCTCAAGTCCAACTACGTCTTCATCCCGCACATCCACAAGGACACCTACCTGGTCTACCTCTGCAACGAGTTCGCCGGCCAGACCATCATCATCTTCACGAGAACCGTGCTGGAAACCCAGCGCATTGCGATCCTGCTCCGCACCCTCGGCATGGGCGCCATCCCCCTCCACGGCGGTCTCTCGCAGTCTTCTCGTCTCGGTGCCCTGAACAAGTTCCGTGCCGGTTCCCGCGAAATCCTCGTTGCTACCGACGTTGCTGCCCGTGGTCTCGATATCCCCAACGTGGACTGCGTCATCAACCACGATCTTCCCCAGGACTCCAAGACCTACGTCCATCGTGTCGGTCGTACTGCTCGTGCGGGCAAATCTGGTCATGCTATCAGCATTGTCACACAATAGTAAGTTTTTGCGTCCGTTTTCACCATATTCTACATGCAACAATGAACCTAACCATGATGTAGTGATCTCGAAATTTGGCTCCGTATCGAAGCTGCTCTCGGCCACAAGCTCGACGAGTATCCTCTGGAGAAGGACGAAGTCATGGTGTTCAAGCCCCGTGTCGAGGAGGCCCAGCGCCATGCCAGGAACGAGATGAAGTCGTTGATGGAGAACCAAGGCAAGCACGGTGGCTTGCTCAAGCGGAAGCGCGGAAACGGCCAGGGTGGCGGTCGTGATCATATGGATGCCGAGGAGGGTTAAGGATCCATGGCATTAATGTAGCGGGGCGATTTTCTGGTTAAAAGCGAACAAAAACACGATAAAATGTTGAAACTAATACCTGTTCGGTTGAGCACAGTATGTTTGTTGTATTGGAAGTACATGTTGCGATATGAAGATACCCCGAGGCTTGAAGGGAGCTCGGTGCAGAACGCTTTGTGCCTTTAGTTTAGGATTTAGATGGATTCCATGTCGGTTATACCCTTGAGTCTTTCGATACCAATATTCCATAAAATGGATGGACAGAGAGTACTGATCAAAACCACCACCGAAAGGCATGATCAACAACCCCCCTCAGTCAACACCCTCGTCCAGTCAAACTTCCTCCACCTCTTCTTAAACCCATCAACCCGCTCATCCCCCCTCGACCACCTCCCCTGCCTCTTAATCACATCCGGCTCAGCATCCAACATCCCCCCAATGATCTCCCTCGCAAACAAATCTCCCTTGGGCCACCGCTCCGAATTCTCCACCACATGCCCCAACCCCCCATCCAAATTAAACCACACATGAAAATACGGCATCTCCTTCGCGATACTCCTCCTAAACGCCAATTTGCCCATCCCGCCCTCGCGTGCCGCCTTGCCCGTATCAATCACCTTCTTATGCTGCGCCCACTCGTCATCCGCCGAGAGCATCGCCTCCCGGAAGAAGGCGGGCGCGGTATCGCCCAGGTCCCAGGGCATGGGGACGGCCACCATGGCGGCGTGCAAACGCCGTCCGGGAGCGGCCGCGTTCTCGTAGAAGAGCACCTCGCGGCCTTGCTCGTGGTAGAGGCGCGTGAGCGACTTTTGGAAATTGCGGATTTCTTCCCACTCGTCGTCGTCGCACTCGAGCAAGTTGGTGCGGTGGCTGATGGGGACGATTAAGGCGCCGCCTTCGGCGCCGGTTAGTTCGGGGGAGGTCGGGAGGGTCAGGTAGACGCGCGTGGCGAGGGAGATGATGGGCGCCACGGGCAGGTTCTTGGGAGGGGGTTGCTCTTCGTGGTGGCAGAGCGGACAGGTATCCAGGATCCGGTTGAGTTTCCTGTACTCGGCCACGGCCACGTTCTTGAGCGAAGCCTCGTTCTTGTGCACGCGCTTGGCCAGCTTGGCCGCGTTTTCGTCTAGGTACTCGAGGTCGTTGTCGAACTTGGCGTCTTTGGCGATGCGCTCGGCTAGGCGGAGGCCTTCGCCGCCGGCTTGGCCGCGCGTGCGCCGCTCTTCGCGCACCATGTCGTCGATGCTCATGTCTTCGTTTTCGATCACGGTGCCCCGCTCGCGGCCCCGCTTGGTGTTGGTTACCGCTACGACCTCGCCGCGAGGCCCGGCTAGCATGCGGTTGTGTGAGGCGTCGAGGACGACGGCGGCGCCGGAGACGCTGCCTGCTTGGAAGGCGTTGCCGGCTTGGAAGGCGGCCATGGCGGCGTCGTATTCTTCCTCGAGCTTGGCGGCTTCGGGTGCCTTGCGGAGCTTAGCTTTCATAAGGACGGCGCGCATGCGGTTGAGGGTCGATTGGTCGATGGGAGGCGCCTTTTGTAGTTGATCCTCAATGACAAGGCCTTGTGTGGGCGGCGGTGAGTCGTCGCGATTAGGGGATCCGGGTTGCTGGAAGCGCGTCTTTGCCATGCGTTCTGCGTGTAACTCGCCTGTTGGCTTCTCTTTGCCAGCGTAGCCCTCGCCGTAGAGCTTCCTCCGGTCCACCTCAATCTTCTCCTCCCTGGCCTCATCGAATTCTTCCAGGCTTCCGAAACGCTCGATGGCGACCTCCTCAACCGACTTGCCCGTCTGTTCCGCCGTTGTGTAGACTGCCTTCAGCTTGGTCATTCGCCATTGTGATCCTTCGTCACAAAATGTGTAGTTGACCACTCGCTTTCGTGGAGGTTCTTCCCCCCTCTCAACACCCCGCTCAACCGGCAAGGACCAGTTCTCCATATCAGCTAACCCTCTGTTGACCTCCCTCTCGTGCAGAACCCGTTTCGGCTCTTCCTTCTTTGGCGATGGGCTTCTCTTTCTGCCTCGTTGAACGTAATCGACATCTATAGCAGATGGTGTTGTCATCCAAGAGTCGCGAACAAGTGCTGGCTTGTCAACGTCCATGGGGGCCTTCTCCTCGTCCGGCAAGGGCAGGTCCTCTTTGGCGTCTGTTGGTTTGAGGTCTTTGGTGTCCTTGGTGTTGTGTCTACGTTCACTTCTGTGCTCCCTGTCCCTGTCCCTGTCCCTGTCTCTGTCCCTGTCTCTCGACCGGTCCCTGTGTCTGTGACGGTGTCGCGATTCCTCTTCGTGGCGGTCATCATCACGCGAATGGCGCGATCGCTTGTGTCGGTGTCCATCCTTGTCGTCTTCCTCGTCGTCGTCTCGAGATCGATGTGATCGGTGGCGGTCACTGTCCCTCTCTCTGTGTCTGTCTTTGTCTCTCTCCCTGTCCTTATCCCTAGTTCCATCTCGTTCGCGATCTCGGTCGCGGTCGCGGTCTGATGATCTGTCGCGGCGATGATGATGTTTGTGCTTGCGTCGTTCTTCCTTTTCCTTGGCGCGCTCACGCTCCGCCCTTTCCGCAGCGAGCTGCTTCTCAAAGTCTTCCAAGCTGTCCATGTTGGCAGATTTCGATTGTGCGCAATTGGTTGTTGTTCAGTCAAGCCGACTGCATGACAAGTTGACGGTTGATGGTTTGTGGAGGACGCTGCAGTGGAGTGACGTATTTTATCGGGACATTTAAAAGCGCCAATTGCTGCTGGTGCTAACCCGAAAGGGTAGTGTTATCATGGCTGCTTATCGTTATCAACAACCTCACTTCCATCCCGTTTATTAACAAACACGGCACTTCTACTTGTTGGACTTCTTTTGGGCAAGCTTGTCTCAACCTTCCCCATAACCGCGATGATGTATTGGCGTCATAACTTGAAACGTTTCTCTTACTATATATCGGAACTGACACCTTTTTGTTGATATATCATAAACTCAAAGCTCGGCTTAGAGCGTGGGCAAAGACATGTATCAATCACAGTCCAGCAGATCGAATCAACAACAACCACGATACACTGTTGACTGCACACTCAGCGTAGCGAACATGTTCTCAGTTGGGCTACGTTGTACATGCAAGGGAGGTCGAGCTCAATAGGCTTTATAAATATTAGTCAATTCACTTTGGAAGTTCACCGTTTTATCACCGGTACGATGTCTTCAACCGGCTGCACCAATGTTTGTATCACACAACTGCGAAACGGTGCTCGAAAGATGGGACAAGTTGCCTCCCGGCACGCTTTTATGTGAAAGCAACGGGAAGTTGACTGGACGAAGCCTAAGCTTAGCTTCACGAAAAGCCATTTGTAGTTTTCAGAGTGATAGGAAGGATGCGGATGCCCAGTTTCTGTGCCGCCAACTATTGATATCACGATGATGCTCCCATATCCATTTTTATACACCTATGTTTCAAGTTGATATGCGCTCAAATATTAAAATTACCTTGATCTCGGTTCTCAATAAGCATTGACATAATGATTGTTTTCGGGAGATAACAGGAAGAGAAACTTCAACAACAAGATGAGGTTCAGGTCGGGTCCCGACGGTCGAGACCAAGAGCTGCCAGGTCGCTGTGGGGCGGCCGCCGTCTTGGCCCGGTGTGACACCCATTCTGTCATCTTGCTGCCTGGAAGTGCTGGAGAGGACTTTTGTTGGGCACAATGGGACAATGCCCTCAACTGGTCGTCTTCAAAGCGAAGTCTTACAATGGATTTATTTGTGGGCGCTGAAGTGCTTTCGTAACAGACCTGTATGCCAAAATCCTATTTTATTTTGTTGAACTATTCCAAACCTCAAGAAGTCTGTATAAAAAAAAACCAGCGAAGAAAGCGAAGGGGTATAAAAACTTCCAAAAACCTCCACATGACCGTGTACCTGTCTGTCTTCAAATATTAAGCCACATTGACAAATCTCACCAAATGCGCCCATGTTTCTCATCAACGTGTATATGTGTTTTTATACAGCTGTTGAGCCTGTGGACCACGACCATACTGGTTACCAGGAACTTTCAGCGGGTCCACGGGTCCGTAATCCGCTGGGTTATACGGAGCGTAGTGAGACGGGTGCGGGATACGCGGGTCTAGTTTCTTCAGAGCCTCTTCCCTGTGCTCCTCAGATGTTTCCTGGTGGGTTTGTAGTCCGAAGTTCTTGTCCAGACCTGGAGACGGGAAACCGCTGTGTGACGATGGGTTCGGGCTTGCTTGTGGCCTGTCGGACGTGTACGACTGATTGGAATTGCGGTTGGAAGATGGCTGAGATTGGGGCTGAAGGTTTGATGGTGCGTGGTAGAAGTCGCCTGGCATCTCGATCGGACCAATCGAGACCGGTTCAGGGTTGGTGTTAGGCAGCTCCTGCGGTCCATTTGGCGTTCCGTAGCCGAAAGCAGCGGGTGCCTTGCCATGGCTGTTTGGACGCTGGTAGGATCCAGAGGTACTTGGCCGGTGTTGACTGGGAGTAGCAGACAACGGTCGCGGGATCTGGTAGGGAATGCCGGGAGACTGAGGTGGTGGAGAGTGAGGTGGTGTACCAGAGACCGACGAGCTGGCAAATGTAGGCGAAAACTGAGGGCCTGGAGACTGCACAGCCGATCGTCGGACCGTATTCCTCTTGTCGGCCGGGTTGAACGTCTTCAGCTTCCCGTCTTCGATCATAGCCCGAAGCACGCCAGCATCCAGTAACTCGGCCTTCTTGATGATGCGTCTCACCATTTCCCCACCCGCCTTCTTCGTTTGCGACTTGACAAAGCTCATAACAGTGCGACTGCACTTGATCTCAATATCCTCACGAAGATATAGTCCATCCGAGGGTGCCCCAAGAGCTGACAATCCCATCTCAAGCGGCTCTGGAGGCTCGTAGTTTGGCTGATTACCGGCGATACGATAGGTGTTGCGTAGGTCAACGTTCATGGGGGCGTATATGTGAGTCTGAAGACCCCATGGCATGTCATGAAAGCAGCCGTTGAACTTGATGGTCGTAGCCCCCATCCTCCCAATTCCAGGCACAAGCGTGACTCGTTCGGTGATCTCGTACCATGTCGCATAATACTCGTCTGTCTCTGCATTTTGAGGGGCCGCGATGGGCTTGTGGTCGAGGACAAGCGGGTTGAGAGTGATGACTTCAGAATGAGAATGAAGGATGTCGATGGCCAACTGTCGAGGGATGAAGCCAGGGATGGGCGTGATGACAGTGAAGGCTTCCTTCTTGCGCAACATGGTGGGCAAAGCAGCCATGTAACACCGATGAATGAAGGTGTATATACCTCTATAGAGGTGTAAGGAGAGCGTAGTAGCTGGTCTTCGAAGACTGGATTCGGCGAGTCGCTTGGATTTGGCAGAACTCGAATGGTGAATCTTGTCCTGGTGTAGGACGAGAGATGAAGCAAGAGAAGAAGTGGGAGGGAGATAACCCAACGGATCTTACGGGGTCAGCTTGGGGTAAAATGGACAGAACGTGGAGGAGGCAGGTTGGCAGGGCTGAGTATCAGGAGCGGCACCTCGTGGATGGCCGCTTGGTCCCCCGGCCACACTGCCTCCTGTAGTGCCGAACAGACGGATCTTCCCATTTACGTTTGTGGCTTATTTCACCACCCAGCTCCCATCACCCACCGTTTTTAACGAGTTTTGACGCGATAAGAGGCCACCGAGGCTGCGCCCACTCCCCGGCGCGGGACCACCACCATCCGCTTAACATGGTTAGCGGTCATTGGCATTGGTGAATTGCCCCGCCAGCATCCTGCCTGTAGTTTTTGACCGTTTCTGAAGATGACGTGAGACGCCTTTTCCCTCAGTGCCTATCCTCGTTCAACATAGTGAAATTGCCACTCGAACAACTCCTCGAACAATAGTCTTTGAGATCGAAGCTCGTAGGCCTTGACGGCCCGCGGCAAATGCTATTCCATCCGGCCGTTGAGATCCTAAAATATCCAGGCACCCATAATGTCAGAGTATAACTTGAAGAGTTGGGACCGCGAGGTTACCAGGTCGATTAACTACTGCGGTTGAGGGCTGTGATATTCGTAGATTAACAGCGGCTCGGCTGAAAACAAGAACCTGTCAAGCATGCCGTATGGGCTGTTAATATGTGCATGATAACAGGTCCAGGTCGCGAGCGGATTTAGTTCAGATTAGTAAAGATGAAGAATGAGATGCGGGCCGGCCGGATATGGATTGGATGTCGAGGAACATGAAGACAGAGTGAAAGACGTGTGAGAAGATGGATGGGTGAAAGGAAGGAGAAAAGAGACTCAAAGTCGAGGTTCCAAAGTCATTTCACTTGGAGAAACAAAAGTGCCAAGACTCACCCACCCCACCCATGTTCGTTGATGGAAACCTTTCCGCCCGCTATCGATGGACTTTTTTTGCGGCGTTGCCCCTCTACGGCCCCCGGACAACCCCGTCGTAACCACCTGCGACCAATCTTTAGTGACCCCGCCGCTTTTACGACATCCGTCAAACTTTCTTCCCGGAACTACAACACCATCTCCGGCGCAAACTGAAATCTGCAACAACTTCCATTTTACCCGACAGATAACACAGAAATCATCAAACAATCTCCCACACCCGCACCTAGTTGTCACACAATGGCTTCGACTTCGGCATCGTCTGCCGCTAAGGCTGACCAGCCTGTTGCCATCGTCTGCGTTGGCATGGCAGGTAAGTCTATGCCTGCTCGTCATGTTCTGAGCTTCCCCAACTACTGGCGAAATCATCCAACTGACCATACCCTCCAGGATCCGGAAAGACGACCTTTATGCAACAAATCAACGCCCATCTCCATGGAAAGAAGGAGCCTCCTTATGTTATCAACCTCGACCCAGCAGTCACCCACTCGCCCTTCGAGAGCAACATCGACATCCGCGACTCGGTCAACTACAAGGAGGTGATGAAGCAGTACAACCTCGGACCCAACGGCGGCATTCTCACATCCCTGAACCTCTTCGCCACAAAAGTCGACCAGGTCCTCGGCCTGCTCGAGAAGCGCACGGCGCCCAAGCCCGACGACCCGTCGCACACGCCCATCAAGCACATCCTCGTCGACACGCCCGGCCAGATTGAGGTGTTCGTCTGGTCCGCGTCGGGCCAGATCCTCCTCGAGTCGCTCGCTTCCTCTTTCCCCACCGTCATCGCATACATCATCGACACGCCGCGGACGAGCTCGACGTCGACCTTCATGAGCAACATGCTTTACGCCTGCAGTATCCTTTACAAGACCAAGCTGCCCATGATTCTGGTGTTCAACAAGTCGGATGTCAAGGATCCGGCCTTTGCCAAAGAGTGGATGACCGACTACGATGCTTTCCAGGCTGCGCTGCAGGAGGACGAGACCAACAACGCGTTTGGCGGAGCGGAGGGCAGCGGCGATGGCATGGGGTCGGGCAGCGGATACATGGGCTCGCTGCTGAACAGCATGAGTTTGATGTTGGAGGAGTTTTACGCACACCTTAGCGTTGTCGGCGTCAGTTCGTTGTACGGAACGGGCATTGACGAGTTCTTTGCCGCGGTGCAGGAGAAGGCAGAGGAGTTCAAGCGCGATTATCAACCCGAGCTCGAGAGGAGGCGCGAAGAGAGGGAGGAGAACAAGAAGAAGGCTAGGGAGAGGGAACTCAACAAGATGATGAAGGGAATGTCGATGGGCGATGCGGCGGGCGATGTCACAGTTGGTGATGTCAATGATGGAGAAGCCCCCGAGCCGTTGAGCACGGACGAGGAGAGCAGCGATGAGGAGTATGGCGACGACCCGAACGACGAGTACGACCGCGAGGGACTGCAGGCGAGGTACGCCGCTGCCATGCAGGGCGAGGATGACTCGGTTATGGCGGAGGCAAGTTTTGCAAAGTACCTCCACACCCAGCAGAGGTGATGAGATTGGTCATTTGCAATGCAGGAAAGGATTTGCGGAGCAAAGGCGACGAAAAGAGATACAGAGGGAAGGAGATTTAGCATACAACCGGCGTTTTTAGAATGATACCATACCAATATTTTAGGTGGCAAAAACATGATCAATAATCGAAAGCGATGCAGAACAGATCTATGATGATGTTTGATGGTGATGATGAAAAAAAGCAATGCTTTCTTTGTATGAATTCCCACAAGTCTACCGATATTTCCCAGAACGCCGCCATCATGATATTGTGATGAATATGATATCTTCCCTCTTCTGATCACATCGAGCCATAGGGTTAAGCTGAGCCGTATCATGACTGCCCCTCAAGGTATGAAGTTACACCAAGATGTCGGCAGTTTGAGCCTTCGTAGCCCAGCTTCCACCCACAAACGTTCCCGTCTTTCCTTGCCTAGTCCGGCTCCTGTCCTCTAGCATTAAGGACGTCCCAGCCGGCTCCGGCACGACGGGAACTTCAGCTCGGTATCGAGAAGACCACGACCCCCTCTTCCTTTTGCTACAAGTCGAATGGAAACAATCTAGCGAGCCTCGAACTGGACCATTCTATAACACCCAAACCGTTAGCACACTGTTTCCCTCCCGCCTTCTCAGATCCTTCCATCAAAGCCAAACCGGACAAAACGTACCTCTTGGTGCGCTCCTTATACAAGACGCGCGCACCGCACTTCTGGCAACGGATGGGGGCGCCCTTCTCGAGCGGCACGCGCACCGCGCAGTCGCCGCACGTGTACCACATGACGCTGCTGCCGCCGCTGTTGCCGTCGTTGTTGGAGGCTCCGGTGGTGAAGCCCTGGGAGTTGGGGACTTGGTATTGCTCGCGGGAAGACATTTTGTGTTTTTGGGCAGGAGTTGTTTGTAGATTGGGTTTGCCTATCGTCGGGTTAATTGGTTTGGATGGATGGCGTTGGTTGTAAAGATAAAGTTTCTCGAGGCGTCGACGATGTTGAGACGATGGATGAGATGGGTGATGTTGTCGTGATGATTGATGATTACTGGTGGAGTGGTGGTTTGCGACGGGAGGGACGGGCGCTATAGTTCACTGTTGCGGACGACGCGACAACGAATCGATGGAGGGAAAAAAAGGCGGGACGCTGAGGCAGAAAGTTCCAAACTTTGACAAAGCGGAAAGGTGACAAAGATTCGCTGCGTCGCGTGGGAATGCACTTGCCCCTGTCAAAAGGTATCCACTCCTCTGTGGGTAGCTGTCAACGCGGCAGGCACAATTCCCCCACGTTTTCGGTGGAGTTTGGAGGCCGAGGTTGTTTCCAGCGGTGCCCTGCGATGGGCCGGGTCTGGTCCCGCCGGCAAGCGGAGGTGATGCACAGGTGGGAACGGGCCGGGCACATTGTCTTTCAGATCCCCGGGCCTTTCGTCCCGAATCCCGCTTTCTTCACAACTCATCAGTTTGAAGTCATACACAAAGAGTCACCAGCGGCGTTTCGTTTCTGGATTTGTCACGGAGAAAAGGCGTTCTCTTCCTTTTTGACTTTCTGTTGCATTGGTTCCGGCGCACGGCATTCAGCAAACAATCATTTTCGGCATCACATACGTAGAGTACCTTACACTTCTGCCAGCACTTGTTGAGTCCTCTCTTGAGTCTCTCTTCACTTCAAATTCAGTTATCACCTCTTCAACATACACATCTATTTAAACACATCACTACGTTCTACGCCGAACCACACCGCAACCATGGCTTCCTCAAGAGGAACCGACAAGAAACCCCCAGCAACACCAGCCCCAACCTCTATCGTTCCCGACGCCAACACCTTCGACCCCGGCCTTCCCGCCTCCAAGACCAAGACCAGCAACACCAGCAACGACTCCGACACCCAACCCAACTGTCCCTTCTGCCACATCTCCTCGACCTTCCCCCCATACCCGCCCACCTCCCCTCCTACCCCTTTCCCCCCCACAACCTCCACCTCCCCCCAGCCACAAACCTTCCTCCTCCTCTCCACCCCCCTGCTGATCGCCTTCCTCGACATCATGCCCCTCTCCCCCGGCCACCTTCTCCTCTGCCCGCGTCGGCACGCCGCCAAACTAACCGACGTTCTTCCCGATGAAGCCGCCGAGCTAGGCCGTTACTTACGGATCCTTTCGGAGGCGGTGACGCGGGCGACGGGGATCAAAGATTGGAACGTGGTGCAGAATAACGGGGCGGCGGCGGCGCAGGTGGTGGAGCATATGCATTTTCATGTCATTCCCAGACCGGGGCTGAGGGAGGCTGAGAGGTTTACGAGTACGATGTTTGGGAGGGGGAAGAGGGAGGATTTGGATGAGGAGGAGGGGGAGGGGTTGGCGGAGAGGATCAGGGGGGAGGTGAGGGAGGTGGTGAGGGAGGAGGAGGAGGCGGAGAGGAAACGGGGGTTGAGGGGGAAGTTGTAGGGTTGGCTTTCTTTGGGGGGGATCTGGACTGGTTGGATTATGGGTGGGCGATGAGTCGGTGATATGGTCTGGCTTGGGCTGAGAGTTTTGGCTTGGAGTTTGAAAGCTTGCGGTACCGATTCGGTGTCAATGTTGTTTTTAAAGGTTGGGCGGAACGGATGTCACAGATGTTTGGTCACAGAGCATAGCCAGCTATGGGAAGAGCGCGCGTGGGGTATGGGTGTCATATCTCATTACTCTTGAGCATTTTCTGGAGAAGGGTCATTATTCATTATTTTTTTCTAACTAATGGTTTCCTCTCGCCGACACAACCCCTCGGTCGAAAGGTACATGGCATTTAATCGCTGTCACCAGGACCGAAGAAGATCTTAACAGGCAACCAGCTATCGCCGCAGACCTTAAAGCTGTGCGTCTTGTGAACCTCATCAATCTGAGCAATCTCCTCATCGGTCAAGCTCCAGCCATCGAGGTCAATGTTGGCCTTGATACGCTCCTCAGTGACGCTCTTGGGGAGCACACTCCAGCCCTTCTGGACACCCCACTGGAGGAGGACCTGCTGCACAGTCTTGCCCTTAGACCCGGCGATCTTGGCGAGGCTATCAAGCGAGTAGAGCGGCGAGTCGCTGCTGCCGAGAGGGGAGTAGCCGGAGCAGTGGATGCCCTTGGACGTGCAGTACTTGACGAGGTTAGGGGAAGGGTTACCAGGGTGGAGCTCGATCTGGTTGACGGCGGGGACAATCTGTAATTCGATATGTCAGGACCTCATCAATTCACAACACTCCAGGGGAGGAGCATGATCTTGCTTACCTTGGTGCTCTCGGCGCTCAAAAGCTTCTCCATGTTCTTGACTCCAAAGTTGCTCACACCAATGTTCTTGACCTTGCCGGTGTCAAGCAGCTTCTGCATCTCGCGCCAGGTATCCACAAAGTCCCAGTCCTTGTACACCTGCTTGGGGTTCTGCTTGTCAAGACTGGCGGGCCAGTGCATCAGGTAGAGATCGACATAGGGGGTATCGAGATTCTTGAGCGAGGTATCGATGGCCTCGGCGACGTGCTTGTGCCAGTCGTTGTCCAGCTTAGTGGTAAGCCAGATCTTCTCGCGGGGAACGCCCGAGGCCTTAATGCCTTGGCCGACCTCCTTCTCGTTGCCGTAGGCATACGCGGTATCGATGTGCCTATATCCGGCACGTAGGGCGACCTCGACGGCCTTCTCGACCTGACCGGGCGGGGACTGCCAAGTGCCGAGGCCAACGGCGGGAATCTCGGCGCCCGTGTTAAGCTTGAAAGTCTTGGTGCTGTTGACAATTGTAAGTTCGCGTGAACCTCTTCAAGGGGGTTGCTCCTGACACTTCATCACCAAAGTAAAGGTACTTACAGAGGAGCCATGGTGTTTGATTTGGTGAAAAAGTGTCTGGTGGAATTTGTGATGTTCTGTATCTTTGGAATTCCGCGTGAGACAGGTAACATGAAAGACAACAGAAAGTTTTGGATGATTGAGAGTCAAAGATGTCTTCGGAAGGGAAGTTCAACATTGTTTATAAAGCTAGGAACCCCTCTCTTAGTCAACCCCCACTTTCTCCTCCCACGCACGGTGCCGGAGAGCCGATTCCTATCCGTTCCAATGCATTCTTCTCCATCATTCTGGTGCCTGTTTGTATTACGAACCGGCTCTAACGAATTTGGCCTCTTTATCCCACGCTTCTAATGACGTTGATGGTGGCTCGAGGGTGGCACCGTAAGGTACCATAGCCCCGCACCTCCGGGGATAGGTAACAAAGAAAGAGCAAGCTTCCTGCAGGTTCCAAGGTCGGAGAGTGAACCGGGGAGTGGGGGCCAAACTCCAAAAGGAGGGGGACGCCGCCTTGTGGAGGATGGGGACCAACCGGGGCCGGTCCCGTCATGGCCAAGACGGGGTTGCCCGGCCCGATGACCGGGGCTGGGAATCGTCCTCGGAGTTCAAGGGGACCGCCATGAGCTGGTGTGTTTTCACGCCAATCGACAGTCCACGGATGCAAGACCCTAAAAAGGATCGCCTGGGATTTTTGGTGCTTATCTTCTCTCATCAAGCCGCTCGAATTCTCTATTAATAATAACACTCGCTCTCATACTAATTATGCTCTGATTGCTCTCCATGGCCATAGGCGTCATGTAAGCGTCCATACCATGTAGACGTCCATACCATGTAGAGGGTATGGTCGTCCCTCAGCCATCACTTCATCAGCAGCACACCGGCAACAGACCCCAGCAACCTAGCCGTCGGTCCCGCTGCTGCGGAAAGTAGCACACAACGCTGCATAATGATGCGTCAAGTCCAGCACGTTCTGTGGCAGGTTGGTCGCCTGGATGATACTCCTGACCTTCACAGCACCCTCGTCCTCGATGAGTGTCCGGATGGTATGAAGTAGTTCGGGAGAGAATTCGCTGTACCACCGATATTGCCAAGTCACCAACCTGATAAGAGCGGCGACAGTCTCGCGTGTGCTCTTTTGCTTCTCGAACACCTTGAGAATACCTGTGAGAGCCTTGGGGCTGAAGCGCTGACCCAAGCACGCCCGGTATGCCTCAACCGCTTCGTCCGTATGCTGTAGACGTTCAGCGAGACTGCCGAGAATCTCCCACTCTTCCGCCGACTTCTTGTACTGCATACTCTGCGCCCTGTACTGAGCCATCTGGGTGCGCCAGATGGTATATACGCGCAGGTCTTCGTAAAGAACCATAAACAAGCTGTCCAACCACCGTTCACATAGACGCTTGTTATTGAGACGAGAGAAGTGATCCTCGTTATCACCCTATCATATGTTAGCATTTTATACGGAGTAAATTTCCAAAGAGAAGCATCAGCTTGGAGACGTACGTTTTCTTCGGCCTTGCGGACTACCTCTGGGTCGATAGCGCTGGGAGGTCTCTCCAGGTCTTCCGTTTGCTCAGCAGCCAAAGTAGCATTCTTTTTCTCGTCATCAACCTCCTCAGTTTCGGCACCCTCCTTGGGGGCGGCTTCGCCGTTGGTAGTATGATCCGGGGTTCCACGGAGGGCATCGGTGCTAGCATTCCGCTTGGCAGGGTAAGAAGGCTCCTGCTTCTCGTTTCGATACTCGTCTTCCATAACAAACACGTTGCTTCTGATCTTGAGGAGTTGATCCCAGCCAATCTTGGCAGTCATCTCGGTGAGAATGCTGTATGCCTGCTTGAATGTTCCCCGATACGCAGCGGCGCGAAGACCAAGCAGGCTTGGGTCTACCTGCTCAGAGAACCTCGAATCTGGCTCGCTATCGATTTCGTCCAACCTTGTCTCTGGGAGGGTCGGTAGGTTTACGTCTTTTGGTTCCGGCATGACAGGCGCGTCCTTGTCCTGATATGTGAACATGGGACACGAGTTAAGGATGGTCAAGGCGTTTTCCCAATCCTCCATGGCAACGTAGACTTGAGCCAGTCTTGCCCAAGTGCCGAACTCACTGGGAGCGGCTATTGTGCTTCGGTCTGCACAGCCGAGAGCCATGCGTAGCCTTTCCTCCCTTAGCTCTGGAGTTGGGGCAGTTTCGGCCTTGTTGAGAAGGAATTCGGCCTGGGCATCAAGCATCACGTAATCCATGGGTGATTCCTTGAGGGCCTCGTACAAGACACGGACTCCTTGCACTTCCTCGTTTCCCATGAAGAGCACTTTTGCCAAGAGCGAAGCCACTTCAACGTTTTGCGACCGAAGCTTCTCAAAGAGATTGATACCGGAAGTATGGCGCCCTGTTGTTGAGAAATATTTTAGGAGGCCGGCTGTCAAGTGGTTAGAGACATTGTTGGGCACCTGCACCACGGAGTCGGACCCAAGTTGCCAGCCTATAGGAGAGTCAGTAAATCGCGTCTATGCAGAGTGGACAACTGGGGAGTGTTACCCCTAAAGAAGAGCTGCTCGGCAGCGCTGAGGAACTTGTGTTCGGTCTCGGTGCCGGTAACTGGGTTGAAGCGCCGGACACCCATGATCTTTCTGATTGTCTCGCCGCTTCCATCGTCGGCATACGAGTATGCGCGGAGAACACTGCAGAGGTATGTTTCCAGCCAAAGTTCGTCGGTCGCCTTTCGTTTTTCGCCCCGCTCGTCGACGCAGTAACTCTCTACGGAGCCGGGGAAAGGGGCGTGTACGCGCATGTCGACGCGGGAGAAGGCATTGTAACAGCTGGAATGAGTATTTGTTAGGGACAGCTCAGGACGCAGTCGGCCAAAGAGTGGTATTACCAATAAGTGCCTTCGACGGTTTTGGCAGCGGCGGAATTACCAAACTCCTTGTAGGTCAGGGTGTTGATATAAGCCGCCAAACTGGCCGAGGAAGACGCGTCGACGCCGGTGACATGGTGATAGACACCATACTGATTGATCCGCGGGTCAGCGATGGCTGTCGTGTTGTATATGAAAGAAGTCGGAGAGACTGGTACGTACGTGCTTTCCGGGGTTCTTCAGGGGTTGCTTGACAAGGTGAACGAGATCTGGGGGGCCAAGCTCCCTGAGAGAGCTCAGAGACTCGGTACGAGTGTCAACCGCTTCATGCAGTATCTCTTCGGTGATCCTGTCCGCAATCAAACGTTAGCTTCGGCGAACTAAACAAGACAAAGGGTTGACTGTAACTCGAAACGGGCATCACGAACTCGGGGACAGCTGGCGCAACCATGGTGAGGGCGATGAACCGCCAGATTTCGGCGGGATGTTGTTGCTTGGTTTACAGCAAATCCGGCGGCGCAGTTGCCGTTGCTATCGAAATACGTCGTCGACAAACAGTCAGCCGCCCGGTTGGTCGTCCAAGGTCAGGACGAAAACGGGAAGATGACGGAAGAAGCTATTCACAGCGGGCTGTTTTGAGTCGAGGTTCGTGGATTGGTGCTTGCGTTCCATTCAGTGGGGGAACTGCTTCTGGCGTCGGGCCCGGCCCATTGAAGCCAGCGGTGCATGTACCGCCAGCACATGGAAGCTCAGCCCACCTACCCTGGCTGTCCGTCATTGCAATGGAGACAGGGGCAGGCAGCTTTCAAGGAGCACAGGCCACATGCCCATTGTTTCTGGCCGGCCATCCCTGCCGTTTCATGCACCGCCAGCATTGGTGACGGGAGCTCCCATGTGCCTGCCGTGATGGAGTGTGAACCCTTCTGGCACAGCATGGGCCGCACTAACAATTACTTTACCTGGCACTCTAGCAGTGTCCAACAGCGCAATCGCGTCTCACTTTGGCCCAGGTCGCGACTCTGACGACTACTTCGACAACTCAACCGGGCAAGACTTGCTTCTCTGCCTCTTGGCCCAACACACTTATTCACATTGGGCTTTAACGTATATCACACCCGGCATCTCTTTACCGTTGCGCCGTCACTCTTATCACCGAACAACCGCATGGCAACATGGTAAGATTGGCCGGTAGCTTGGAGTGTCATCAACCTGCTAACTTTTGTGTTTCCTGTAGCCAACCTTTCAGGCCATCAACGTCGAGCCCGAAGAGAACGTCGATGAGGAAATTGATACCACTAAGCAAATTCAAGTACATATTGTCTGCCCGTCATGATTCTTGCCAGCTCGGCCGCTTATACAACTCTCGTGACAGGTCGATGATGCCTTGAAACTATTCCAGAACGCCCTCAAGCTCCACGCCCAAGGGCCCCGATTCTTTGACGAAGCCTCCGACGCCTACAATGCCCTTTTCGAGTCCGAGATTTTCAGATATCCCGAGAGCAAGACCGAGTACGAGCGCACCGAGGAGCGACCAGATGGCACTCTTGTCGTCGAACCCACCCTTGCCCAGGGGCTGGAGGTCGGCGCTGCTGATGTAGATGGGATTGCCAGCACTCTACCGCAGACCTTATACCTATCCTTCAAGAACCACGGCCAATTCATCGTTGATCGGATTAAACACAAGGCACGGGCCAGCAAACAGGGGAGCGAGTTCGATTATGACGATCCCGCCATTCAACATGACGCCAAGAAAGCCCTGGACGAGTTCAGCGCTGCCCTCGACTATGACCCGTCTGATGCCGACTTATGGAGGAAGACCGCGAGGGTTGCCGCTTTTCTCAAGAGCGCACGCATTAGTCGTTACAGCTTAGAGGCAGCTGTGGAATTGGACGATGACCCTGCTGTTACCGATTTTGAGCCCCCTTCGCTCGCAGAAGGATTCGCTGGCGAACAGCTAAAACGACAACTCGAGGTCCTGGACGACAAAATGGCCCTAAGCCACCCTATCATGAAGGCATTCCGTGAAAAAGGTCTCCCGAAATTCTTGGAGCGCTACCTCGATCCGATACCATCTCTCCCGGATTACGCAAAAGCAATAGCTGCTCCACGACCGAGCTCTGACGAGGTTAGCCAACCTCGTCTTGTCATGAATCTCCCGAGCTATTCCTGGACCGAACTTGGTATTGCATTGGTTCACTTCGTGGCAGAACATGGCTTTTCTGGTCAAGCTGTCACGATCCAACTACCAGAAGGAATCGTCGAAGATGAAGATGTTCAGATGGAGATTGATAAACAGTTGCAGCCTCCTGAAGAAAGCACACAGGAGGAGGAGGCGGCAGCGGCAGCAGCTGAACCCATTCCGGCGGAGAAGTCTGGAGCCCAAGACACCGAAGAAGCCGAATCCAGCGTTAGAGAGACCAAAGTCACTATTGTCGAGGAGGCCAAAGCGGATCAGCCCCCAAAGGACAAAACATCTTCGTTGCCGACAAGGAAACGTTCGCAATCTGCCGCTGGCATACCAGATCCAGCAGATGAGGAGAAAGGCGAGACGAAGAGGAGCAAAAGAACGAGGCGGAGAGACACTGCACCAGAGGAGGCTATGGACCCTGCCACGCTACTCGCCACCCAGCTTCAGCCCTTCCAAGCCGCCGACCAGAACCTCTTTCAAATGACCAAGAATCTGCTCGAAAATTTGGGAGTGACAGACCGAGATACTCTGGATAGGATAACCGAGATCCTTGATTCTTGCGCTTCGGATGATCGAACAAGTAAGATCCAGAACCCCGCAACAACTGACTTGCGTGAGGCGATACTCCATTTCGACCAAGAAACCGCAAGCATCCTGCTGGACGGTCGGGAAAGTCCACCACTTAGCCTGTCTGCTTTCCTAGAACACTCAAAATCGCCATCCCAAAGGGCGGTCGAGCCGCCACAATTCGATGACGTACGAAATATTCGTGGCTTTGTTACGAGAATGAACTCGGGCTGGAACACGATTCAGGATGTTGTCTATGAGTATGTCAAGGCTCTCGCAGAGGGCTACTCGACAGAGAAATGGTCAGATCAGATGAAGGTTGCTGTTGTTCAAGTAATCAGCCGTTTGGACGAAGGGATCTACGAACGGGTCTTATACGAGCTTGAGCAATGGCAGTTGAGCGATGCGAGCAGGCTCCAGCCTTTTACAGATCTTGTCGATCTGGTCCACATGCTTTTCGAGCTACACCTTGATGTGTACGAGCGGATCACGAACCCTAACAGCGTCGTGGAGCAAATTACACGAACTAAAGCGAGGATAAGATTGGGAAGGTGGTGGGATCTAGCCACGGAAGTCAGCCGGCGGCGCTGTTTCGAAACCGATGATGCTTTGACACTCCGCTTCCTTTGGGCAGCTGTGGCCTTCATTACAGTTACTGAAGGTGTACCCCGCGAGCACATCCTTAATTGCTGGCATAGTTTGCGCGACCACCTTGCGACAACTTCGGTTCCCGATATCGTTCTGCCAAACAACGCAGTGATGCCGGAGATTTCGGTGGCCGCTGCCGATCGTGAAGTCAGCAAGCTAACAACGATGGAGTTCTTCCTGGGCCTTTTCCAAGAAGATCAGGGTGACCCCGTGTCCGTTATCGACACTTTGGAGCCTGTGCTTAATCCTGAATCAGTCTGCACCAACAGCTCATCTACTTCGGACCCTACTCAAGACGCAATGGACGAAGACACCGAGACTGCCGGAAACGTGAAGTCTATTAAAGATTGCGCCAGCCAGGGACTGCAAGATCTGTGGAACTTCATCGAGAAGAGCAGCACTGATCTCCGGTTGCTGCTCTGGTCGAGGCTTGGCGACGCCTACGGTAAAATCAAGTACACCACAAAACAGTTCTCGTGCTTCCTACGGAGTATTGAAACGATTGTGCACGATTTTGAGCGGGATGACTACGTCAGTACACCACAAGCAGCTCGAAAGGAGTTGTTCATGACAATGCTCAAGGCCCTAGATGACCAAATTATTCAGTCGTTGCATCTGGCGCTGAATCACAACAATTCGTTCGATATCATTGATGAGGAGCACATCAAGACTACATCAGCCGCTCTCGCCAAGGTCAGCTGTCTTCTTCACGTTGCTGCTATGTACGAGGATGAGGGCAGTGTGGGAATAATTCAGCCACCAGCAAGCGGATCTCCAGCTGCATCATTTCTCATCAGACTTCGGGAGATGCAAGTAAGAACATGGTCCTTGCAGTACACAGTTCTCAAGATGGGGATAAATCTTCACCCAGACATTTTCCCAACGCCAGAGAATGATCTGGCCGATTATTTGGCCGCCGTTCACCAAGTCCTAGGTCTAAGGAAGTACTGCAAGTCTTCCAATAAGATCTTCCTCAAGATGATGCGGGTCGAACTCTTGAAGCTGAAGAACATCGAAAATTGGGAGGATTATCTCGGTCAAGTCCTCTATGACCTTCATGGCCTCAAGCTGGGAGTAGGAATCTGGGACGTCCAGGAGCATGACTGCCCACCTGAGAAGCTCGAGAAGCGTCAGGCATTGGCAATGGTGGAAAAGATCAGCTTGCTTGCCCACCGAATGACAATGAAGGACTTGTTGAAATCGGACCTTAAAAACACTGTCGAATCGATGCAGCAAGCTATTGGCTCTGCCAAGTCAACAGCGCAAATGATGCACAATCATCGGAACTTTAACGAATATTTGAAGACGCCGATTCACCCCTTGCATTTGTACAAGGCCCTTACCGGCAATGTGGACCTGGATGCAGTCACTATCAACACGCCAGACAGTGCGCCCGCAAAGCACGGTTGGTTCTTCTTGCTGGGCATGATTGCTCTTACCAAGTTCAAGGGTGTAGACCTCAACCGCCGCCAGACCCCGGGTGCCCTGGACGATTTACGCATCGCAGTCACCTTCTTGCGACTACAGCTTCAGTACACACCAGACAGATGGGATGCCTGGTTCCGTCTTGCCGAATGCTTCGACTATGAGTTGGATGATATGGTTCTATGGACCGCCGACAAGATGAACAAGGACAGGGCAGATCTCGTCAAGTTCCAGCGGCAGTCGATTCATTGTTACACCCTCGCACTATCACACTCGTATGCCTCGACCTCAGATTCCAGAGTCTACGCGTTGTCAGAGGGGGATACTGAGGCGCTCTATGACCTATACCACGAATTTGGCATGCGAATGTACGCATCGAGCCGCGAACCTTTTGCCATGGAGCCCTTTATGCATTCGGATCAGCACCGGTTCTTCATTGAAACATCGGGCAATGGTACTTACAAAGAAATACTGCATAATCAGATGTCGGACTACCAAGTTTGGAAGTTCGCCGCGAGTTTGTTCCGGAAAGCCATGGCTGGCAAGCCCAAGGACTGGAAGAATCCATACATGATAGCGAAGTGTTTATGGAAGATGTACCAGAAACCGGCGAAGGAGCTCGATGAAAAGAATCGCCGCGGCCGACCGACGGTTCAAGCGGTCATCAAGGCTTTGGAGAAAACTGTCGAGATTGTTCGGGCGCTACCCAAACCTCGGCACGGCCAGGATCCGATTCTTGAGCCACACTACAAAATCCTATCAGTCATCAATAAGCTCGTTACCCGCGGCGACCTCCCTCGCCAGGAAGCTGCAGACATTCTGCAGCGACAGCCATTCGCTCCCGGTCGCGGTGAACAGGTTACGCTAGAAAATGATGAGGATTGGCATGAGTACATGCTCAGGTACATGCGTCACTTGAGGGATAAGGACAAGTCAAACTGGCAGCATCGTATGATCATTCGTCATGCTCGTCTCTTTTTCGATGGGGACGAGATTGAAGATGAAGAAGATGAGGCGAAGAAGGAGGCAAGCAAGGAGGCTGCTTCCAAGGCCTTTGCTGTTCTGCGCGAGAACATGTTCACCAAGACGATGGTGATGAACGTCTGGAAGTGTGATGCTGAACGCCCCGGTCGTCATCATGTCTACACGGAGCAATACATTCGGTACATGGCCCGGCTGTTGGCCGTCATGAATGACAGAGCTAATCTTGAGGCCGTACTGCGGCGCATTCGGAAGAAGGGTGTCGACTTTTACCACTTCAACGAACTCTGGCAGCATGGTGTGCAGATTTACCTCAAAATGATCCGGAAGGCGTTCAACATCCCAGCACACGATGAGGATCCTTTCAAGAACGTTGCACCAGAGGACTTTGAGGCTGTGGCTGAGAAGGTTGTGGAATGGGTCATCACGCCAGAGGCTGAGAATCATGCCGCCCTGAACGCCATGAAGGAAGCGATCGAGCTCAAGAAACTGAACGCCAATTTGATGAAAGCTGGACCGATCGATGACTTGATCAATGATTGCTACTCGATCATTCACCATGAGTTGCTTCCTGAGCGGGCTGCCTCAGAGGCACCACAAGTCGGGGACGAGCATAGCCGGGCTGGTGATGGAGAGTCACCCCAGAAGCCAGCAGAAGGGGAGGAACCCAAGTCCATGACCCTCAGCATCCTGTCGGCTCTTCAGGAGAGAGATCGCGCTGCTGCTGCTTTAGGCTCCCTGCGGGCCCCGTCCGAACAGCCCGACAAGATGTCAGAAAAGCAACTGTCCTTCAATGGAGACGTCGCCCACCGCGGTCGCAAGCTCGGCGTTCGGAGACCCGATGTCCTACGGAAGGCCGAACAAGCCGTATTGAGGGCCGCAGAAGGCCCACCGAAAGCCTTGTCAGGCGTCACTAGATCATCTCGAAAAGGTTCCGCATCTAGTGGTAGCGGAAGGAAGGGTCAGACAACCCGTGATGAAGGCGCTGATGACGATAACGATGAGACAGATGAAGACGTTACTCGCCATGATGACGAGGATATTGAGATGAAAGACGCCGATGATGAAGACAACAACCGGCCCCGCAGTCGCCGCAGCAGAAGAGGACAGGACGATACCCACATGGCCGACGATGAGCATGAAGAGGAAGCCATGTCCTCTCCTCCTGGTAGTGTCCACGACTCAGCCGACGATGAGAGCGATCTCAGTGATGTGCCGGCTGACTACGAGGATGATATCCCTCCATCCCTACTATTTCCCAACCTCAGACGCAGCGTCGATGCCTCTGTTGTCGCTGGTGCTGCTGCCGTGTCCGCTACGACCCCTATTACCCCCGGCAGACCTACGATATACAGTTCGAGCTCGGAATCAGGCAGCAGTAGCGCTGATGAGAATAGAAAATCGGTGGAGCCAAAGCGGACGCCAAGGAAGCCGAGCTGGCATAAAAGCCAGGCAGCCAGAGCTCAACATGAGCACAATCAGCGGCCGAGAAGCAGCAGTAGCGTTGACCATCATAAGCCTGCGACCGAGGGTGGCTCAATAGGACCGATGAGATGGGGGTTGAAGACCGGCGGCAGACCTCGCAATGGTAGCGGTGCTAGCGCTTCTGCTGTTGTGCATGAAGTGCCAGAGACGGAGGATGCTGAAGACGAGGAGGAAGATGAAGTGGAAGGGGACGTTGAGGATGAGGGTGATGATGAAGGCGAGCATGAGGGGGTCGAAGAAACCGTTGAGGAGATTGGAGAGACGGAAGAAGAGGGAGACGAGGATGTAGATGAGGAGATGGAAGATGCGGAAGGCGAGGAAGAGGTCGAAGAGGGCGAAGAGGATCATGAAGATGATGAAGGTGCCGAAGTGGAGGAGGACGACGAGGAGGAGGACGACGAGGAAGGAGACGAGGAGGCCGAAGAAGATGAGGAAGAAGTAAGGCCAGGTGAGCATGAAGGTGAGCATGAAGGTGAGCATGAAGGTGATGTAGAAGAAGGAACGGAGGAAGAAGAGGGGGGTGAAGAGGGGGAAGACGAAGAAGGTGATGAAGAAGAAGAAGATGAGGAGGAGGCAGGCGAGGAGGCAGACGAGGAAGAAGGCGAAGACGAAGACGAGGAGATTGGCGATGAAGATACGGATGATGGGAGCGAGCATGACAGTGCAACAGGGGTGAATTAGGGCCTCTACCTTGGTTGGGGGTCGCTCGACTCAAGCTCAGGGCCATCGAGCCCTGACGAGTTTGACGAGTTTGACGAGTTTGACGAGTTTTGGCGCATGTGATCCCAGAAGAAGGAACACGCACCAAACGTTGGTAACGGCGACGCTGGGTCTGGAGTAGAAGTCTTTTTGAGAGTTTATTGTTATGAATGAAGAATGGGACTCGCCTAAAGAGCTTATTGGCCTTCACTTTGTGTCCCATTGCTGATGTGTTTCTCCGTCCCTGCTTCTCATACCATGTAATACTGGTAGTAGACAGCGAACCCTAACCCCCCGTGTCCGGCCTCTATCTTCCCTCCAAAGTATGTGCCTGCCGGAATTCGGTGAGGGCCTTGATGGCCCAAGCTCTTCTCGTCCCTACGTAAACATGCTGGCGTTGCATCACACGCGGCAGGGGCGGCCCCGCTCTGGATGCCACCACAACAACCCCACAATGAACCGCCCTACCGGCTGGAGCGCTGCAGCCTTGACGACGGAGCTCTCCTTCTCCTTCGTGGAGTCATCTTGCAACCATTCATCATCTTCTCTTTCCCACTTGCAACTTCGTATTAGAGCTTCTATAGGCAACAAGCGCAACACATCTCCCACTGCTATAAGATACCCTTCTTTGCGTCGTCAGTTTCTGGTTACTTTGCCTTTCTCCCCGAGCAAAGAAATCCTCACCAGCCAGCTTACCCCGCCATCAACACAAGCAAGCAAACAAGCTTATGCACGCCTTGTTTGTTAGCCAACGTCACCGCCGTCCGTCGCTTCACTAGTCACTTTCAGTCTCACAACCGCCAAAACATATCCGAGGTGGCCACAGCATCTGAAGTTGAACATCTCTACTTCTTATCCGTCCTCACTTGATCACCAGTTACCCATTACCTACTAGCAACCATGGCCTCCACGAAGCGCATCGCGAAGGTATATATCACATCATCTCCATCCCAACGGAAACCTTAGCTCCTTGAAAGGAACGAACCCAACTAACGCACCCCCCTCCCTCCTCCCAGGAATTCGCAGACTGCACCACCGCCCCACCCCCAGGAATCTCCATCACCCTCCCCTCGGACGCCGACCTGCACACCTGGCACGTCACCGTCACGGCGCCCCCCAACTCGGTTTATGCGCCAGGCCGCTTCGGCCTGATCCTCAAGTTTCCCGTCGACTACCCTTTCAAGCCGCCCACAATCAACTTCACGACGCGCATCTACCACCCCAACATCACCAACGACTCGTTGGGGAACATCTGCATAGGTCTGCTGAAGAGTGAGAACTGGAAGCCCGCGAGCAAGGTCATCAACGTCCTCGAGGCCGTCAGGAATATTCTCGTCGAGCCGATGCCGGACGACGCGCTCGAGCAGCGCATTGCGGACGAGTATCGGAGGGATAGGCCCGAGTTTGAGAAGAATGCGAGGGCGTATGTGGAGAGGTATGCGAAGGGGACGGTCAATTTTGTGCAGGCTCCTCCTCCTCCGGAGCAGAAGGATGGTGGTGCGCCTGCTGCGGGTGGTGCCACTGGTGCTGCTAATCCTGGTCGCGCTGCTGGTAGGCAAGGAGGAGGTTCTGGTTTGGGTTCGGCGTCCCGCCCTGCTCCACCTGCGTAGGGGCAGGGGCGTAGGCGATAGGTGGCTTGCTAGATGCCATACGCCCTTTTGTCATCCGATGAAGCTGTCCAAGACGCATAGCGATGGCACAGAGTCTCTGATAAGAGCGACGTGGTGCGTAACTGGGGATGGGAGGTTGTTGACAACGCTCCTTAAACGGCATATGTGCGACAGAATTATTGGAAGGACTAGAGAGAGACCGGGTATTTTGGCAAGCTCTACCAAAGTCACTGGACTTGGTGAATGAGGCTAGCATTGGGCTGGAAGATGGTTGTCGAAGGGAGAAATGCTCAACCAGAACTGGATGTGGCGATCACTGGACGCCTGGGTTGGTCTGGAAACTGCTAGACATTAACGCAAGACAAGGCCGATAGTGATAGGCATCATTGATCGTGGCCATGAATTGTGGAGGAAATACATCGAACTGGCTCAGCTGAATGATGGAGCATGCTTTATTAGGAGGCACATAGCGATGTTTAATGCGGAAAGCCCCGGGAAATTAGTTTTGAGCCGTACATAACGAGCGCAATAAAAAAAAAAAAAAAAATTTACGGTCACAATTATTACCCACTTCTGCTCCGTTCAAGTCATGCTTAATTGTAGTTCAACTTATGCAATATGCAATATGCTTATGCTATATGCTATGCTTTCGAATCTCGAACTTGTCCCCTTCATAGCAACTTCCTCTTCCTAAGCTCTTTTTCTCTTTCCCTTTCGCCCTACCTAACCTTTGACCTTGTGTGACCTTGAGTGAATCCTTGCCTTGCCTTGCCTTGCCTTGCCTCCTTCTAAAAAACCATTCCGCGTTTTTTTTTCGATCCCCTCTTCCTCTCGTGTGTACATACAGACAAACAAACCAAACAGACAGACAGACGAACAAAAAACACAAAGCGCCGCAACCGCTGCCCTAACCCGCCCGACCACCCAAATGATAGACATGGAAGATGTGTTCTCTGAGAAAGGATAGGAGAACACACAAGAATATGTACAAAGGAAAAGACAGGGAGGTGCCCTCTGCTAGAGGATGTGGTTGGTAGTGATGACAGTGGTGGTGGGTGCTAAGAAAGCCCTGCCTGCATGTGCGTAGAAGAAAAGAGAAGATTATAGCACATGCAAACCACCACTCCAAAAAATGTTGTCTAAACAGCGCCTCCCTTGGTAACGAAAAGTGAAAGATGATAAATGACGGGTCATGACAACATCAGCAAGAGATACAGTAATGTAGTGTAGACAGACAAGATAAGGGGAATTTTGTTAGGGGAAGAAGACGTCAAGTCAGCTGAAGTAGATGGATGGGTAGAATCGTTTGTTGTTGTTGTTGTTGTTGTTGTTGTTGTTGTTGTTGTTGTTGTTGTTGTTGTTGTTGTTGTATGTGTCTTTGTGTCTTTGTTGATGTGTTGGAAAAAGGCTTAACCCCTTCAAAGGGGATAGATAGATATGCCCGTGGTATTGGAAGATTACAATAGGTAAAAAGCACCGCCTGAGCGGAGCGGGAGTTATACAGAGCGGAGAGAAAAAGGCTAGTATTTGGTTGTGGGTATGATGCCAGCAGATAGATGATGGGGGGTTGAATGACATGGATTCGAATGAGGAAAGGAACATTTTTCTTCTGCTCAGTAGCTCAGTAGCTTCCCCTCTCCAAGTGGTTATGGCTATGGTTATGATGAGCGCCTCCGCCGCCGAGGTTCAAGTTCAGAGGACCAAGAGCAAGTATGGACACGGGCCGAGGTGCACACTACATCACCTCATCCGCCCGGGCCTGTTCACGATCCCTTCCCCTTCTACTAAACAGCGTGTCCAGCCCAGCAGCCTGCGACCTGGACGCCGGGTTTCCAGTATGAGCAGCCGAATTCAGCCGGGGTCCAGCCTCGCTAGCGGCCTCCTGCAGGGCCCTCCACTTCTGGATGTTTTCGCGTCGTTCCTGCCGCTTCTCCTCCACCGCCTCCTGGGTCAGGTGTCCGATGCCGTTGCGCCGCTTGTAGCAGGCGTCCATCAGCATGTTGCAGTCGATCAGCCGCCGGGGGAAGGCCTGCACCACACCAAACATCTCCATCGGATCCTGAACCGCCTTGATCTCGTTCTCGCCGAGCTTGAAGATGGTGAGGGCGATGCGGAACAGGGTGCGAGAGCCTTCGTAGAAGAACACGTCCCAGACGCGCAGCACGGTTTCGATTGGGAGCGTTCCGATAAAACACGACATGAACCATGCCGTCATGCACAACGTGATGGCGGGAAGTCGGTTCGGGTCGCTAATGCTGAGGTTCTTGCCGCCGTGCCTCACGCGGTTCCCTAACCGGTGTCTTTTGCCGAGGTTCCCTTCAAGCTCGTCTCCACCGATCTGCTTCCAGACGTTGGGTAACGAATCCTTCAACGTCCCCATCAGTACGCCAAGATCGACCTTGGAGCCTTCCAAGCTCATTTCGTGCGTCCCTGGTAAGTAGACTCGAGTTATGACGTTCAACAACCAGAATGCCTGCTCTTCGGTCTCGACAAACAAAAGAAGCAGACCGGCCAAGAAGTTTAGTGATTGACAGTAGCCGATCCGTGGATTGTACAAGGCGAAAGCATGGAGAACGCGGCGCAGAGAGCTGATAATCTCTTGCTCCTGGGCAGGGTCGGCCGGTTGGGTGACGCCCGGAATATGTCCACTAGCAGCCTGGCTATCACCGCCGGGCGTTGTCGATTGTGGTGGTTTGAATCGTACGTTATCCGGGAATGTTCGGTGTAGGTCCTTCTCGATATCCTCGCAGATCAACGGCTTTACTTCACCCGTTGCACCCGGCAGCCTGCCTGGACCTTTCGGATCTAATCCTGCACGCCTGACCAAGTCATCGTATACACCCCTGTGCTTGCTGAGAAGTGCCGGTCCTCCGGCGTAATAGAACCAAGCCGCGCCGCGCCAGTCGGGCGGAATGCCTTTCCGGATAAACCTCTTCGTCTTGGCGCTTCTTTGGGGAAACCTGTTCGGCCTGTCCGTCATGAGAGAATTATCCTTGAGAAAAGCAATCCATTTCCTCCTGCGGCGTGCCAGGTATTCGCTGTATTGGGCATCCCAGGCATCATACTGCTGACGAGTAACGTTGGCATTGGCTTTTCGAAAACCGTATCGATCACGGCTACCCGGTTCCTCCGGTGGTTCGACTGGCATATTCGCGGTTGGAATCGGTGTAAGGATGGCGCGATATTGCTCCCCCTCCTCCTCCTCTTCTTCTTCCACATCGTCAAGGTCGGGGGTATCCATCGGTTCCATCGACTCCATCGAATCCGTCGGTGCCGTGGGAGTACCTGCCGCGGCGGGTTCCTGGGCCTGCAAATCAATTACATTATCGCCATCCATTAACTTGGCCGAGTCGTGCTTCGCCGGGTCCTTAGCGTCAGATTCCTGCCTCCTCCTTTCCATGGCCTCCTGGCTTACTGATTCCTGTCTCTGCTTCTCCATATACTCTGTGATTGACTGTTGCCTTTTCCTCTCCATGTCTTCGCTGATTGCCAAGCCAATGTCCTTTGGCAACGAGTTCATTAGTCCCGATTTTCTGAGATTGAAGTTGGATTGCCTTGCGGATTTTCGGGATATCGGTCTCGCTCCAGGTAATGGCAGTGGATCGTCGGTCATCGCCTCGAAGATTTTCGTGGTCCGGTCGGTGTCGGGGTCTGAATGACTGGTGGCTGGTCGGGAGTTTTCCCCCAGGGGAAATACTCCGATGTCCGGGTCAAAATGGTCGGTATCGTCCAAAAACCTTCGGCTTTTGCGGAATCCGATGCTCTCAATCTCCGAGTCGTTGAAGCCCTGCTCGTACATGCCCATCACGTCTTCAATGCTCGGGCCGTCGTCGGCTACCGAATTCGTCCGCCAGCTCGCGCGAGCATAGCCATTAATGATGGATTGCTCAGTGATACTATGGGTGGTTAGAATACTGCAGCGCTCTCCAGTTTTAGTAGCAAATGGAGAGCGAAAGCTTGGTGGTCTGAATTCCTCCTGGATCCACGCTGGAGGTTCGGTCCACGCTGGAGGTTCGCGAGCAGCAGGCGGGTAGAAGTTGTTGTAATTGTTGTAACTGACAGGAGGCGCCGGTCGTGCAGGGAGGCCAGAGCCCCCGACAGGTGGTGCAGGAAAGGGGCGCCTCGTTACTGGCGGCTGGTCCCTGGCGGCGTTTTGAAGCTGGTCATTTGACGGACGTTTGGCAATCGAAGACGAAAACGTGCTTGACGAGTGCGAAGACGCAGTAGAGAAGCGGCGGTCCTGGGGCCATTGATTAGGTGCTATGTTTTCGTTGTATTGTGTCGGGTGGTTGTTTGCGTGGTGCAGACTGTCGAACGAAGGCTCGTGGTGATGGCGGATCGGAGGCGCCGCTCGGACGACGGAGATGTCAGAGTTCTTGGATCGTATACTCGTCTTCCGCGGACGGGAGAAGTTCTCGACAACCATGACTGTGTCCGTGGTCGCCTGGCGAGAATGGGCAATTGACGAGGTGTAACTGTGGGTGGGCGAAGTAGGCGTTATGGGTATTGGCGAACGGCGCATAACCTCATCGTCGATCTGCTGACTTCCTCGGCCGACTAAGGGAAATTTCCGGATGGACAGCCGTGCAGGCGACGGTTCTGGGTCTTCTCGTTCTTCTTGTTGTTGGTCACGGCCTTGGGCACGGTCCGGGTCTGAGTCTTCGGGCTCGAGCGCCTCGGGTATAAAGGGGTGGGAGGAGAGGCCGGGAAATACGGAGCGCGGTGTCAGTCTCGGGGTGCCAGTGGGCGTAGTCGACTCGGCCCGTGACCGTTGTGACGTGATGTGGTTGTGTTGGAATGGACTCGGAGGGACGGGCGAAACATTTCTCAACGAGCGTGCATCGATGGAATCCCAGCGAGGGGAGGCCGGGGTGCGGTTCGGGAGCGCCAGGGGCACAGGCCTGTGGTGATTCATTGCACGGGCATACTGGGCGTGCTGCGGGTGTTGGGAATGCTGTTCTGGTGCTGAGGCTATTGCGGGCGAGATGCGACCATGTCCATGACTCCCTCGGCGCGGTTCCATGCGGATCGGGTGGTGGTTGTGGTTCAGGTGTGGTGGATGTTGCTGGAGCGGATTGTAATGGACGGGATGATGGTTGTTATTGAGGGCGCCGTGGCCGTGAGGGTGCTGATGGTGCAACGGACCTGAAGCGGCGGCAGAGGCAGTTTCGTGTTTCGGCCAGGGTCCGGGTCCAGTTGCATGAACCGGAAAAGGGACGGCGCCAATGGCACCATTGGCACTGTTGAACTCTGCACTATGCGCATTCGGACGACGTCCCCCAAAGCGTTCGTTTGGATGATGCATCATGCTGGTGCCAAACGATGCTGTGCTGGATGGTTTAGTTTGTGAAAAAAAGAGTGGCTAGGTCTCGTCTCTAGGGATCAGTCATGTGCAGCTTGCAGCAGCAGCATCATCACATCCGCCGGTGATCCAGATTTAGACACAAGACACGGCACCAACCCACAGATGCCAACCCAGATCCGTATCGGCAGCTGCGTATCAACAGCAAGCATCAGGTTATCTAGGGCAGTGATTGAACCGATGAACAAGAGTAGTATCGACTATCGAGGACTTGTGGTGTCCAATGGAAGCCCGAGTCCCAATGGGATGAAAGCCGAATCGGGATAAAAGTGATATGGAAAGAGCTGTTGTTACCACACAAGCTGGGCTGGAGATTGCCCGAGTTGCTAGCTTCTCGGAAGAAGTGGAAGAAGGTGAAAGGAGTTGCTGGGCTGGGAAAGAGAAGGCCGAGAGCAGAAACCCACTCGGCTCCTCTGGTCACAATTATTTTGTTGATATTTTCGCGTCACTAATTACCCACCCAAAATGAGGGCCGTACTGGCAACATCCTGCCCCTGGTGGATTCCCATTGAACTGTCACGACAGCCTTTTCAACTTGCATATTCAAGTCGCCCGCTTTGGAGCCCGAGATTATGCACTCCCCTCACTCAAAAAGGAATGTGTGTGAGCTTTGTGATTTCTAATAGCATCGAGGTTGAAAGAGAACACCGCAGCTGCTCCCAAATTCCCCGTGGAAATTGTCCACTGTGCCTGAAAGTCGAGACTCAGTCTGACACCTAAAATTTCTGACGTGGGATCCTGGGCCCCATACCTGCCTGTAAGCCTGCGCGGTACCTGAATGACCCCAGCTGCAACCTGATTTGCTGACTGCTGATTCGTACCTGGCTGCTTATTCACTGCAAGCGTGTGAGGGTGCTGTGGATATGCAGTGCAATGCTATGAGTCTGTATTGTTGATGATCTAGTCTAAGTCCGGCCAGGAACTTGGCCGATTCGAGAGGAAGTACAAGTACCCTCCCTAGTGTTCAATCTACTGGGTACCTCCTTCCTGGGGTCTGGCTTGTGCCAAGCCTAGCTATATAGGTAGGTGTATGTATAGCCTAGTGCCCTAATAATTTGCCCCTTGTTAAAGCGATGCGTTTTCGCGAGTACTTTCTTAGTTAATATATATGTTCTAAGTCTGTTTTGTTGTTTTTATTTTTATATCTTTCGTAATTATTCTTTTAAAATGTTGGGTTTAACCTCTTTTGTTGCTACTTAGTGATTAAATTCTCTTTTTGTATTATTGTATTCTATTAAGTATTTGACGATTCCTGACTTCTTTGTCTTTTGGGCTGTGATTTTGGTAGGTGTATTGATACCTTTGATTGGGATTAGAGCCGGTAGTTGTTTGTTGTAGGGGTCGAATGTTTTTGCTAGTTCTAAGTAGTCGATATTAATTATAGGGTAGATTTTCTAATGGGCCGGAAAGTTTAATTTGTAAGCTCCCCGTCCGATTCGTTCTAATATTTTAAATGGTCCTATATATTAGGGGCCTAATTTGCTACCAAATATCGTTGCTTGTAGGATTGAGTATATTTTATATAGATGTAAATATATACGTTCCTTTATATTGAACGATTTCATAATATATTTTCTATTAAAGTGGTATTTTATTAGAATTACGATAATTAATAAAGTATTGTAGGCTTTAATTTTAGATGTTAGTAAGTTTAATTTATTTAGTAGTTTGTTTAATACTATTTTTAGTGATTCCAGTTAATTGGAACCCCCAGACGATTTCGTTTGGTGTTTGTAGCGTTGACGAGGTACGGGAATTATTATACTTAAATTCTAAGCGTAGTATAATTCCGGGCTAAAGTTCAACTTTTTGTAGGCCTTGAATATAGTGGTGTAATATGGGCTCTATAATTTATATGAAACTTTTTAACTCTCCGTCTATTGATGGTTTATAAGTTATATTATATAGGAGTTTAATTCCTAAGTATTATTAGATTCCTTTTTATATTGTCGATACGAATTTCGGGTCCTTATTAATTAAAATTTGACGTAGTAACCCTTAATTCTAGGATAGTAGTTTTATAATTAACGCTTTTCCCTATTATTATATAATTTATATTAATTTTCTTGGGATTATAATAATGTTTTTACTATATTTGTAGATAATAGTAAAGTAAATGTTAAATCTTTCGAGTAACGTTAGTAAACTTAGTATAAAGTTTATTATAATAAAGAAATATAGGTATAGTAGTTTTAGTAATAGTTGTAAATTGCCGTACGGTTTGTGTTATTGGATGTTATTAATTCTATATTTTGGATATAATTTTAGGAATTCTTTTAATTTTTCCGATTCCTTCTTTATATAAAAGTTAAATAGGTTTAATATAAGTCTATTATAGCCTTGGTAATTTCTATTATAAAGTGCTTCGAAAATATTATATAAATTATTTTTAGGAATTATAAATTTGAATAAGTTGTTTTGGATTTTCTAAAATAAATCGTTGTGTATTTAGAATGGGAGTTGGGCTTTTTTAGGGCGGAATGTTAAATTCTACTATATTGTCCTATATATTATTGTTTAATAGGGGTTTTCTATATAGTTGTTAATTAATTGTTATTTAAAGCCCGCTTCGATTGTAACGATTGTAGCGCCTATAGATATTTATATTTTGTTAAAGTTCTTGTCGTTGACGAAGTCCTCTAGTATTTTAATTTTGGGTAGACGAATTTATACTTAAGTTTGTTCTATTTTATTATCCTATATTGGGTTGTTCTATTCTAGTTTTGATTTTCCCTATTTTTAATTTATATTAATAGATAATGTTTAATATTCTTCTATATTGTTAGGTAGTATATTTAAACCGCTTAGCTTTTGAGGGTCCGTTTCGTTATTATTTAAGTTGAGGCGGGAAAGAGCGTTAAGGATAATATAGTAGATGCTAGGTTTGTAAAGGATTTGTATATTAAATATATTAATGAATTTTATTGCTTTTATTAGCCTTTTATTTAATACGTTCGCCGCTCTTAAATTGGTTATATCTACGTATTTAATTATATTTAATATAGCGGAGTGGTTTATATAGTAGTAGCTCCTAGCCTTAGCTACGTTAATTTAATATCTTGCTTTAATATAGTTTATACGAATTTTAATATTTTTATTTCTATAGCTTAGTATTATTTTTCGGTTTAAGATAACGTTCGAAATAGGAAGGCGATTTGTTATATTACTATATGTAGGGGGTATTTAACGACTTTACTGTTTTTTATAATTTTTTATAGCGCTTGCTCTTCTATGTAATAGATTTCGATGCTAATCCCTCGGGTACAAGTATTGTAATTGAAATAAAATAGCTAATTCGGGTTAAAATAGTAAAATTTAGCTACGTTCGATAAGGTTTATTTAATGGTTTCGAAGGTGGCTATTTCTTTTCAGGATAGTAGGCTAAAAAGTATGGTTGCGGCCTAAGCTTTTCGATTATATTTATTCTTAGGAGGCGGCTTTAATAGATATAGTTTTGATGGATTTGGAGTCGATAAAGTTCATTTTAATTAGGTTAATTTTAATGGAATTGGTATTGATAAAATTTATTTTAATTACTTTTGGGTTTTATTTCTTAAATTTAATGTTATTTATATATCGTCCGGTTCGGGACCCTTTTGGTAATAAACTTTAAGGAGTTCGGTTTTCCTACGTTAGAGGAGATTAATAATAATGTTATAGTTGGGTATATAGTACTTTTAATAGCCTATTTACTTAATAAATATTTTGAGATTTTCTAACGTTTTAGGGAATTTAAGTTTAGTAATAGCTTTTAGTTTTTTTTTTATAGTTATTAGACCGAACGAATCGATTATACGGCCGAGGATTATAATTGAAGGGAATGCGTAAAAGGATTTCGAAGGGCCGATGGAAATATTCCGTTCCTTTAACTTTTTTAGAACCTATTTTAAATATAATTTGTATTCTTCTAATATTTTGGATGCAATGACGATGTTGTTATAATAATTAATTCTAACGGTGCTATTAAGTAATAAGTTTATTTAATATTAAATATAGGCGTTTGAATTTTTGAATTTTATAATAACGACGTTGTAGGTATATTAACTTTCTAAAGTTATAATTGTAAAAGCTTAATGATTTTGGGGATGGATTCGCTATTAATAATAGAAGGCTACGGTATTGAGAACCGTGATGAACGTTGCGTTTTTGATTGTTGTTAATACTTTTTTTTATAATTTTATAGGGTAGGAATTAGGAAGAACGTTCCTATTTAGGCCCTTAATATTTACTACTATCCTTCTTTTTTTCTATTCTGTATTTATTATTAAACGATGAATACTAGAAAGGAAAAGGGGATTTGGTGTTTAGATTTGGTTATTTCTCCTAATTTCTGCATTTTTTAAAGGTTTTTTATATGATTTCCCTATTATTAGCTTTTATTTGGAAAATTCTATAGTATTTTGGAATTTTGAAGTATTAGTCGGGTTTAAATTCGATTTTTATTTATTTATTTTCGGGTAGGTTTATAAACCCTTTATTTTGGAATACGTCGTTAAATTCGTTAAGAATTTTATTAATTTTTGAAGTTATTTCCAGATGTCGATTGTAAATTTTAATGCCGATTTAATAATGTTTTGTTATTAGGTTGGATCCTTAAGGTTCGAAAATAAGTGTTTGTAGAAGATTTCTGCTTACGGCCATCTGTATAATTTCTTTGATTATATTGGGTTTAATGCTATAGATATATAAGTGTTATTTTAGGGAAGTTAAATACCCGATTTTTATTTCCCTATGTATATAGATTGGTTTGGAGGTATTATTTTTAATTATAATGTATTAGTAGTTAAAGGTCGTTATTTAGTTGAATATTGTAAATTTAGGTTAATAATTAAGTATAAACATAAGGTTTTAGTCGTTAGTAACGGTATTGTAATTCACAGTAACTTAAGTAATTGTATTTAGTTGAATTATAATATAATATATAGAGGTGATTTTGGTATGGATTTTACGGCTGTGAGCTTCGATTCTAATTGGGATTTTGATCCCTTGGTATAATTCGATGGAGGTAAATCCTTTCGTTAAGTGTATATTGAAATGTTCCGGAACTAGATAATTGATTTTTAATAGAATATTCGCTTTTAAATTGTCGACGATAGTCGCTTTACGTATGAAGTTTATTAAGTGATAGCCGCTTTAGAAGTTTGGGAATTGGCTTTTAAAAAATATAAGTAGGATTATATATTCAGTTATAGTATGTTTGCTGTTACTAATGCTTTTAATTATTAATAAAGTAGCCCTATATTAGATTTAGATATTTAAGTAGTATTCTTTTAAAGTTTATTAATTAATTAGGGTAGAGCTATACCTTATATCGCTATAAGTATTTAATTTTTCTTCTAGGTTTTTTGGGTTTAATATAATATATAGATATATATATAAATAAGAATTGTAATTAAAATTTATGCCGATTGATGATTTATTATCAACGGTAGATTTAATAATAGGTATAGGTATTAAAGAAGTTAGAAGTTGGGTTTTATTAACGCTTATTCTTTATTTATTAAGGCTCTCCGCTTGATTAGTATTATTGGCTCTTTATTTTTTGATTGAAGTTAATTTTAATTTAGGATATTCGAAATCTTTATGTTATAAAAGGCTTTAATAAATACGTTAAGCCTAATCGCTTATTTTTAGTTCTTCCCTTTTTTAAGGCGTCCTAATTATTAATACTTGAAATATATAGTATAAATGTACTATATAAGTTTGTTATAGCTATAGAAGGTTTTAAAATAGGTATTGTAACGTTTAACTTCTATTGTGAAAATAAAGTTGGCGAACGATTTGTTAATGTTCTATCCTTGTTTATTTTGTAAATAATCTAATGTGGGCTTAAAATACGAAGGATTAATTAATAATTTAATATTAGGGTAAGGTTTAAAATAGTTATAGTTATTTATAGCGCCGTATGTTATAAATTTGTAATTTTGGGCATTTTGAATTGTCGGCCCCTAGTAGGATGAATTAGCGTTGTTTTAGTAATTACTATAGTACATTGCTTACTACTTTATAGTTTTAGGAGCGGTAGGGGGTATTAATAGATATCGATTTTCCGGGACTAAATTAATTTAATTATAATTAGTATACTAGTTGTTCTAGTTTTGGTTACTGTATTAATTTTATTAGTTTTGAGTTTGCGGGTAGTTGGACGAGCGATTTTAGTTCTAATTCTAATATAGAGTTTAATTTTAGTATAGAATTCAATATAAATCCTAAGCCTAATTCTAATATCTCCGATTCTAATTTCCGGCACTTCGACTTTAATTATAGGAATTTAATTTATCATTTTGGTAGCTACTCTATTTCTAGTTTTAATTTAATAGACGGGCGGGAATTGGGTTTCGATTGCGGTAGTATTAGAATGCTTATCCTCTAATAACGTTTTCACTTTCTTTAAATTCTTATATTATTAAATTAACGGTTGATTTTAAATTAGGCTTTATTAAATTTAATTGGATATTAGGGTTAAAGGCTTCGAAGATGGTTATTAATTAATTGATTAAATCGAGGTTATAACCTTTGTCGTTGCGAATGGTAGTTTAAATAAAGGCTTAAATATCTTTACCGTTAAATATATCTTAAAGTATAAACTTAGCTTTTTTAATCTCCGCAAATATTATTAAATAATTAGGTTTGACTTTATTTTTTAATTTTGCGTAAATAGTATCGATAGAGGCCGTTTCTAGTAGGAAACGGTCAACTTTAAAGAAAATATAATTATACTAAACTAGGGTAGGATTTAGAAGGTATTGAATTTAAATATAACGAATTTAAATTTTTCTACCGTTATTAAGATTGCAGGTTTAATATTTTAATTTATTAATGAAGGTATAGATGTTTATATATTTGGTTGTTTCTTTATTAGATCAGATTCTATCGATGGAAGTCGTAGATAAATTAAAGTAGTTAATATTTAATATTTTAATACTGTAGCCGGATAATGAAGGAAGGATTTTAATTATAGTTTCGGTAATTATTTTTGTTATAAGGGCGACGATCTCCGTTTGAATTAGGTTTCTAATTATTTTAATATTTCCGTTTTTATTACGTTCGATTTTTTAATTTTTTAATTTTCGAAGTTTGGCTTCCCAACGTTAATCTTCTCGGCGTTGAGCTTCTTCGAATTTAATTTAATAACGAGCGTCCTTAAGTTTAATTCGATAACGTTAATCTTCTTTAAATTAGGTTTAACGAATTTCCTTAAATTTAATTTAATAATAATATTGGGTTTCGAGGCGTTAAATGTCTTTAAGTTCGGCTCAATGGCGTTAAGTTTCGTTGAATTCTACTTAACGATAGGCTTTTTTAATTTTATTTTAATGACGATATTTTATAAATTCAGTTTAATAGCGTTGAGCTTGCCGTTATTGGAATTCTATTCTTAAATATATTGCGTAATTAACGATAGCTTCCTATTATTCTTTATACTATTGATTTATTTCTTATTTTTCGAATTATTCCTGGATTCGCTTTTAATATTATTTAAACTTATTGAAGAAATTTATTAGTATTAGAGAACGATGCGGGCTTAGTCCTTTGCTAATTAATAGGGATAGACGAAATTTTTTAAGATTAGGAGTTTCTTTAGAGTTAGTTTTAGGCCTAGGAATTTGAAATAGTTCGGTAGGGAGTAGTTGAAGTTGATATTATTATATTTAAAAGTTTAGTAGGGATAGTAAGTGCTTATATCCGATTTAATTATTGTAGAATTAAAGGTAATAAAAGATAGGAAGGTTAATTAGTTGCCGTTGAGGCTGTTCTTAGGGTTTAGGTTGGTCTTTAGCGGGTTAATATATTGGAGTGCCCTATTGTTTAGGCTATTGGAGTATTTTTAGAGGAACGCTTTATTTAATCCACTTTCGCTAATTGTTTAAGAACTTAGGGAATGAATTTTTTTTAGTATTTTAATTGATTGGGTATCTTTCCTCGTTAATGGAATCTTTTAGTTCGAAGGTAGGTTTGAGAAGTTTTGCGAAATTAAGGTCGTTTTCTATAAGGAGTGATGATTGAGGTTGCCCGTTAAAGGAGAATTTTAGGATTTAGCGAGCTTGTAGATATTTGTTAGTTATTTAGCTTAATTAAAATAATTTAGAATTAAGTGCGGGATAATACGTTAAATGTAGAAGTTTGCGTTTTATTTAGTACGAGTGTATTAGGCGGGGTATTCTATAGTTTTAGTTTAATTCGGTTAGTATTTCGTTGTTAAAGAGGGTTAGTAAAGATACTTTATAGGATTAGAAGAAGAAAGAAAAATTAATTAGTTTAATTTAGTAACGATAGTTTCGTTCTATGTGTTCGATATATGCTGGCGTACTATTTTGTGAGGGTGTTGTGGATATGTAGTGTAATGCTATAAGTCTGTATTCTTGATAATTTAGTTTAAGTCCGGCTAGGAACTTAGCCGATTCGAGAGGAAGTACAAGTACCCTCCCTAGTACTTAATCCACTAGGTACCTCCTTCCTAGGGTCTAGCTTGTGCCAAGCCCAGCCACATAAGCAGGTGCATGTATAGCCTAGTGCCCTAACAAACCGTCTCCCGTCCCTTTCTAGGTTATAAACGGTACAAGGTACCTTTGTCGTTTGCGGCTTTCTTGTTTGGGTCGTCTCAAACACACAAGAACAAAAAAGAGATATCAGGTCTCAGGTCCGGTCAAGCCAAGGGACCAGGGCTTGAGGGAACTTCTTCCAAGTTCCAGCTAACAATAGGCGAAACGACACCATAAAACGGCTCCTCCTTACCCCTACTCGCCCTGAGAGCTCGTACTTTTGTCTCATTTCATTACTCGCCTTACCTATAGCATACAGGACCTGTGCAAACCCTCTTCAAAAACTTACAAGACCGACGCTATGTATTATGTTACGACAGCGAGTCAAATCCGGAAAG